TGCAGAGTGCCAGACTGACATCATCATAGTCTGCATCCCCGGGGGTATCGGTCTTTATACAACTAAATATCCTCTATCCATCTAGACTATCAGTGTGTTGATGTCATGGGGAGAAGAAGTGCCAAGTACAGATTCAGCAGAATGAAAACAAATGCTCTACAGATCCAGCATGCCATGAATCTCCATACTTAGAATGAAGGATTGATGTGAACCACCCAAAAAAACCTGGCTGCCCAGGCTCTGGATACTGGATACTGTGTCCCAAAATCTTCCTGGAGCTGTGTGAACACATTACTCTTCTTTACTCTTCGTCTAATTAATCTTGGGACCAGCGTGTTCATCAACAGCACAGTCAAAAAGTGTGCGTGTGTTTTTTCTTTGTGTTCATGCTAAGCACGCTTAATTTTTGTCACTTCTCCATTGTGAACACACTATGTAATTAAAACCTGCTTAAAATGATAAAATGAATACGTAATATTGAATTGTGATACAGCTTCAGTCTTTCCAGGCTAGAAAAAGAAATTCCTCATTAATTAGCTACTGTTGATATGGTAATGGTAGCTAGTTTTACTTGGGCATATGTTTAGTATAAAATTTGTTTTTGCTGTAATACTTATAGATAGTCACGAGTGCTCACAGCACTGTAGTGTAGAATTGTTACCTTGTTAAATTAGCCAGGCTGATATATCGGCCATCTGAAGATGCTCTGCACAGTACACACAATTCTTCAAAAATCGAATTTTGGGGGATTCTTTCTGGTATAATTTAAATCTTCAACTTTTAAATTGTGGGCTTTATTACAGGGTTTGCATTTTGTTGATGGAGCAGGTTGAGCTGCAACGCTTAGGCTTGATTGTTGTGTAGTATTTCAGTTTTTCCCTCTGCCTTTTAAAGAGCATGTGAAGACACCAGTCAGTTACCACAGGGCATTTTTAATTAGAATTGAGATGATTAATTGTTGTTTAACAGCGACTTACCCAACAATAAGCTGCATTTTTGACTTTGTAAGACTGTAATTGGGAATGATGGTATAATTCACAGCTTTTCCAGTTTTCACTTGTGTGTCAGATTTCTCTCACTCCCTCTCTCTCTCCCCCCTTCTCTTCCTCACCGTTTTATCTAACATTAGATTAATGCTTTCCTTCAGGCTTAACCTAGTCTTTAATGGCCCCATTTTCTTTGAACCTCTGATCTGAGGAGGCTTAATGATATTTCTCTTACTAATCTCTCGCCCTGTCCTCTGTAATGCTTCATTCACAAAGACTTCAAGGTCCCTCATGTTGGACGTAGATGGGATGTGGATGGAAGGTTGGACATGTTGGTCACCGGTTTTCAGTGCAGGCATTAAGGGATAAACTGACGAGAGCAATGAGTGACTTATGGAGATGAAGACTACTTAATCTAATGGCACTTACACTTGGGCAGATGCAGAAGGAGAAGCAAAGAGCACTATTTAAAAGATTAGTGCAAAATAGTATCCTTAAAAAAAACATGAAAACTTTAACTTTGAAAATTTTATTAGACCTCAGTATTTTTAGAGATGTACTGTATCTTTATCTAAAGTGAGAGCATGTATGTTGTAGGTAGGTATTTCTGGAAGTGTATTAATATTTCATTGTTGCTTGTGCTACACATCTGCCAGTACAAAGCCACCAGTTGTCTTCTGTTGAATATCTGCAATGAATGATTAAAAAAAAGACTACAGTATTGGATGTCATGTTTGACTTGCATAATATCACTGAGTGGTTGTAATGCATGCTGCCTGTCCACAGCAGTGTCACTCGTGTATTTTCATGTCAGAGGTTTTAGAGCGGTCAAGCATTTGGTGACACTCAACAAAGCCTAAGAGTCATGGCTCGCACACTCATGCTGTACACAGCACTGCACACACTAAGGACACATGTCTGTTATGTAAGATACAGGACAACTGTTGGGATGTGTATGAGCATGGCGGCGTGCACAGACTCACACATGCTGCACAGATATTCTATTATGTGGATATAATTTGACAAATAATTGATGATGGAGCTGAGGGTGATGGTGATATTCAGAGTGAAATATTTGGCATTAAATGGCTTTCAGTCATTTAAACTGTTGCAGAAAGTCGAGTCAAGTAAATTTATTCATAGTTAACATTTAAAAAGGACAAATGTTGACACAAATGCTCTAACAGGGAGGTGGAAATAAAGATAGGTAAATACAAAAGTTTCAAATGCACATAAAAAATAAATCCAGCAATGCAGAGTTTGGCTGTATTCAAACAAGTCTTTCTATTTTCAAAAACCATGGGAGACTAAATATAACAATTACACAGTACTTGGACTGGACTTGTTTAAATAGATCTTTATTTTATGAAGAAGGTTAGATAAATAAAATAAGGAAGCTAAATTTTGTAACAGAAGTTAGGCAGATTTATTTACTGGCGGATTTACAGCTTCTCAAAGAATATACCATGGCCAACAGTTTTATCAAAATCCCAATACAAGAAGGGAGAGAAAGAGAAAAGAAGTTGTGAGATATATAACTTAATATAAGCATTTAAAGAAGTGTATGAAATTTCATTTGGGGAAATGACCCCATGGTCTTAGATTCCCTTCTTGCCATCATGCTTTCTCACCAGAAAGACATTGTTTTCATCCCTGCAGGGCACCACTTGTAAACAACTGTCACTATGAATCATGCTGATACCATACAACATGTAGACATAACGTAGCAGACAGAGGAATTATCATAGAAAAAGTTGCCAGGAGTTTACTTCAGTGGCAGTGTCAGGGTGGGGCACTGTGATGACAGAGAGCTGGTGGAGAGTGTCGGCTGGCTGCGTTTAGACTGGATGGGAGCCAGAGTGTTTCTAACAGGTCATCATGAAGGACACTGTCTCTTGGTGTCCATGTAGAAGACCTCAGTCTGGGAGTATAGAGGTCTTTGTTGGTTACTGTTATGCTTAGTTATAATGCTTAATATAACTAAACAATATTTAGATGATGAATTGTGTTGTTGGATCAGCTGTTGTGATTTATTGGTGTGCTTTTGAATTCCATAGTCCCTTGATCTGTCTCATCGGTTTACTGTTCATCGCCCCCGACATCCAGAATAATATAACACGATCTAGTACACGAGCAATTGAGTTCTGATGCCGATTTGCATATCCACAGTGTTTCTAAGACTTTTTGTAGTTAGGAGATTCAGGCCACTGTACTGGTTGTTTATGTGTTTTCACAGTCAGTGGCCTATTTCACTGAACAGTGCAGCAGTGATTCTTTTGCAGCTGCTTTTAGGGAAATTATCTTTAGCTTTCATGAAGCATCTTTCAGCCTATAAGCACCTCTGTAATATTACTTTCACATGTCGGTAGTGGTTCATATATTTTCTATAATTGTTCTTGACCCATGGCTCACATTTGTTCCTCAGTTATCATGCTGGTTCTCACTCTCTAACATTGTGTTCTATCATGACTTTTCTCAAGGCCACAAGAACAGAAATATCATTAGTGGTTCAATGCTATCAAACAGTCCTCTGGGAGTTGGGGTTATGGAAAAAAGGAAGAAGACATTTCTAGATGTGAGCTGATCAACTGCAGAGATATGAGCTTTAGCTCAATGGTCTCTTGTAATGAGGAAATGACGCGGGTTCAAGTGACCATTGCTTCATCCGTCATTATGTTTTTGTCCACACATGCATGCATGCAGCACACACACACAAATATTTTCCTCTCACGGTTCTATACAGCCTATCAGTGGAACAATCTGATGCTGGATGTCTTCACTCACATTTTGGCTGTGGGTCAGATCCCTCTGTGTTCGTCAGAGTTATTTCTGGAAGAGCATGGCCAAGGGGGAGGTGGAGAGCACAATGTTGGATAAGTGCTCATACCGTTTGGCCCTGCTGAGTTTATCCTAAATGTCTCTGGACGCAAGGCTAAATTTAGCAGGTCTGGGCTTTTGATAATTCAGGGGAATTTGGTTTTTGAGCTTGTATTATGAAGCAGCATGTCACAGCTTCTCTCCCTCCTGTTCTCAGCAGCTCCAGTGCTGAGTTTTACAAAATGCTCTTTGCAAGGCTGCTGCGAAGAAGGAAGACAAAATGTGCCGAGTTTGCTGTGTGTCATTTTATGTCAAACCCAATGTCCTAGGAGCTACCATGAACACAGAGAAGAAAAACAACCTCCCTCTCTTCTTCTCTCTCTTTAGTTCTCTCCATCTCTTTTCCTTTGTGTACTCTCGTCTCTCTCTTGGTCTCTCCCCCTCCCTCTCTTCCTCTCACACACTCACACACATACACATGCACACCATATTTGTTATAGGAGCAAAACATGCTTGCCTCATCATTTTATTTTGGTGTGCAAAGCTCTATTTCTGTAGTGAAATAAAGGACAGCCAAGCAGAATAGAAGATGCTCTGCTTCTCGTAGCACAGCAACATAGACTCACAGAAGTCCATGTCGCTGTGGATTCAGAAGAGGTTTCTCGAAGAGAGGAGGTCTCTGTAGCAGCTGTAAAGACCACCCGGTCACTGAACTTCCTACCTTTGGGAATCAGAGACATTTAGATTTAACGAAGCTGAAATAACAGTCCAGTGGGATCTGATGGATGACGGAGGATGACTCGAACTGTTTGGATGATATGCTGTGGCTCTGTTGGCTTTTTTTCATGGATTTACTTTTTGAGATGTTTGCATTTTAACGGACTTATAGATTGATTGTAATGGGACAATGGACCCACTGTATGTGTGGATACTGGCTCAGTTTTTCCCCTCGTTAAGATGTTTTTTGGTTGTCTGAGAAAATATGACAGAGTTCTACCTGGTACAGTAACATTTTGGCATTTGTATGTGCTTTTGTTGTTCTGTGTGCATAATTGTAACAGTGTGATAAGTTGATGCAGATGAACATGTGGCCAGTGTCTGACTTGACATACTCACCTCCTCTCACTTTCTCTCTCTCGCTCTCTCTCTCTCTCTTGTCTGCCTCTCTTTTTCTGTCTTTGTTTTTTTCCTCTGCAGTCTGACAGTAATGCCAGTTACCTGCGAGCTGCCCGGGCAGGGAACCTCGAAAAGGTTCTTGACTACCTCAAGTCTGGGGTTGAAATTAACATTTGCAATCAGGTAAGTTTTCTGAGACTGTTATTAAGAAACTTAAATGTTCGTGTGGATGTTTGTCCTCCTTGAGGTTAAAGAAGAATATTGAGTTATTCTTTTCTACACACATAAACATGCCTTTACCAAACTGCTGCATCAGCTAAATTTCAGATTCAGGGCTCGAGGGCTCACGTCTAACTGCACAAGCAGAATATTTTTATATATTTTATGATTTTAACCCTTTTATTAAACACAGTCAAACATTATGTCATAATATGTTTAAGTGCATGAGTGAAACTAACTCACTAAATATGTTTATTCTCAGAATGGTTTGAACGCTCTTCATCTTGCCTCCAAGGAGGGGCATGTAGAGGTTGTTGCTGAACTGCTGAAGCTTGGAGCCGCTGTGGATGCAGCCACGAAGGTAAAGCCCACCCTGACACCTATTGTAGCTCAACTGATGTTACGGGGACTATATTTGGATCCAGCACGAAGAATGGCAGCAGTATAGCAGTTACATGCAGTTACAGTATGAGTACTGCAATTGTGCAGCCTTTGTTAGGGTTCAATATTGGATCAATATTTAATGATCCCTGTGGGGATCACTGCTGGAAATAGTGAGAGAATCAAGGAGGAAAAAATTAAATATACTGCATGTCAGAATGAAGCAAAAGGAGTTCAGTATAATTGCAACAGTAGAATGTATTAATGGGAATTGTACCTAATAAAAAAACAAGGTGCACAAAAGCAGCAGCAGTAGTAGTGTTATATTTCATGGACTGTACAATATGATATCATTTAGTGTAATACATCCGGGGAGGGCCTCCTCCTCTGAAGCATCTTTACTCTGATGCTAAAAGGAGCTGAGAGGGAGAGCCATTGAAAATATTATCCAGATTTGCACCCAGAAGGCTTTCACTCCCATTTAGTCGTCTCATTCAGCTTCTCTGCCACAGGCCATAAGCCTAGTGCTGACATAAACACAGGACACGATGAAATATTCAAGATCAAGGAGAAAATCTCCCCAATTAAAGCGTCTCTCTATTGTGACCCCGAGGATGCTGAGGGATTAGTTTGAGATCTTGGGAATCCACTGCCTGCACCCTAATGGCAATCAATTTGTATGTTATGCAGTCAGGGGGGGTGGTGCCATCGAGGACACCAACATGTAGTAACACAGAGTGTTTCATTTAGGCTGTGTGGGGGTGTTTGATGCTAAAGTTAATTGTGTATCCGCCCCTCTAATGCTGTAGTGCTCTTGTTGTGGGAAGAATTAAATAGGAGGCCGTGTCCTCGGTTCATTAGCCCCAATAACAAATGCTACCCTTGTGAAAGTTTACAATGTTGAGACTGTCAGAGAGAAGCTGATTTAACTCTGTTGTAATTTCAGTGGCTGCAGTTTGTGGTGTTTTTATTGCATTAGATTTGTGAATCTTTAACTTTTCTTTTTGAAACAGTCAGAGAGAGATGGTTCAACCTAATTCTTTAGTCTGTAGTGATGTCGTGCTGGACTGATCTAGCAGTTCATGGTGCAACCCTATCACCCAGAAATTACTTTTATACTGTATACTACTAATTTATTTTGCCAGCTATATTTGATGGAAATGAAATTGGAAATGCTCCAGTGAAGGAATTGCTGTGGTTTGGTTCCACAAGATGTTAAACGTTATTTAACTACGTTGTGTCTTGTGCTTCAGATTGTCATTGAGTTTTTCAATATTTAACCAAGGCCACGATCTTTCCCTAACTTTAACCAAGTGCTTTCAGTGCCTAAATATAATCCTATAAAACTTTAATCATGCTTTAGTTGCTTTGAGCAGATATGGATTTACAAGAGTGGATATTGTTGGGAAAATGAATGAAATACTTTGTCTGTGAATACTTTGCTAATTAACATGTGGATTACCTTGCTTGGATGTTCAGAGGTTTAATGGTGAGAAAGACTGCAGTCAGCATCTCTACAATTTAAATGTTTTGTACTCCAGAAAAGCTTTTAGGCTCAGTAAAGCACACAAGCTCTTGTATTCAGCAACTTTATATTCCAAACAGTCTTGTCTGTCTCTTTATTTAAACTGCCTTGGCCTTAGCAAACATGGCTATCTGTAGTATACAGTCAAGTGACGGATGATCATGATTGCACAACAGCACTTGTTGCAAATAACAGAGCCAGTATCACATGGCCAGGAAACAGGCTGGGGGTAGACTGTGCCTTCACAGGGACCAAGGACCAGTACAGGTTCATAAAAAGCCTCCTGTTATCCTGCCTTTATTTATGGCCGAGGCTCAGCGAGAGCTCATTTACTGTATGTGTTGGACGTGCGGCATCGGAAGTGACACATTGTTGGCAGTGCAGGCAGGGAGATGCCAGAGCTGGAACGCAGGCGGTACAAAAGTGTGGTTGGTGTGAGGGGATTCACCGGGGCACATGGATACTGACATGTTAGACTATAGTGACAAACAGTCACACAGTCACACACATAAAAGCAGTACGGTGGGACAGGTGGGGCAGAGCTTAACACACATTCCTGTGGTTGTTCCATGTAATCCAGAAAGGAAACACTGCTCTGCACATAGCCTCACTGGCTGGCCAAACGGAAGTCGTCAAAGAGCTGGTCACTAATGGAGCCAATGTCAACGCACAGTCTCAGGTGGGTTATACTCAGCATGCACGCTCACACGCACATGCGCACAATGTCATAATGACAGTAAGGTTGCTGTTGGTCTACATTTAGTCCCTGAAACGACTTAAATGCACTCACACTGCTGTGATGCACACATTTGTTTGTATGATACTGTATCATAAAGTCGATGACATTGAGGGAATCACTCAGTGCAATGATCCTCACTGACAGAATCTGGCATCACGCCAACTAGGCCTCTGCCTCCCAAGGAAACTGCTGTCCTTGCATGTTATATTTAACTCTATCAGATCAAGGTGAGAGGAAAGACTTCAAGCGGCTTCTTTCATTTTGTTTTGTAGATGAGATTTATTGCCTGGGTATTTTTCATTCTCAACATTCTCACTTACATTGATATGATTTGATAGTAAAAGTGTCATCATTTGAGGCGTATTGGGACCTGTTACATTTTTTATGATGCGGTTTGCGGTTTCTATGCAAAATAGAGGAAAAAGCCTCTGCCATTAAAGTTTTAACATTTGTGTAAATGTGCGTGCATGTTTTGTGTGCAGAATGGCTTCACTCCTCTGTACATGGCAGCCCAGGAGAATCACCTGGAGGTGGTACGGTTCCTTCTGGAGAACAGCGCCAGCCAGAGTATGGCCACTGAGGTACTGTACGTGTGTGTTTGTTTGTGTGTTTGTGTTTTATTGTGTGTGTGTGTGTGTGTGTGTGTGTGTGTGTGTGTGTGTGTGTGTGTGTGTGTGTGTGTGTGTGTGTGTGTTAATATGTGTATGTGTGCCAGTCCTGTCCACCTCTCTATAGTCATATCATTATGTATCCATGCATTTTCTCTGCCTCAGTCATGTGTGGTCTTAACATCTGTTGTACTAACCACCTTCATCTCCTCTCTCCCTCTGTTTCCTTCCCTTCCTCCTTTTGTCACCCCGACGATACTCACTCTGTATCTGCCTGTGTCTCCATCTCTGTCTTCTTCTCTCTGTCCTGTCTTTACTTCCCTGTCTCTGTCTTTTTCTCATCCTCTCTGTCTCACATTCTTGCTCTGTCAACTCTTTGGCCTTTTCACCCTCCTCCTCAACCTGCCCCCTTCTCCACCTCCCCTCCTCCCTCCCTCCCTTCTCCCATCTCTTTCATGAGGGACTAGGCAGAGCTTCATTGATTGGTAGTGTATGGTGTTGGAGGCAGAGTGACCTTGAGTGGGTCACACACGAGGTTCGCTCCGCTCGCTGCCTCTCCTCCACGGCTGCTGCTGCCATTACTGCTCTGATTTACGTTGCTCAGCCTGTGGAAACCATACACACACACATAATTACCAGTCACCACACGTATACACACACAAGCACGTGAACAGCTGATGGAGCTAATGGAATACCCAAGCCAGTCTGCAGTCCATTGTTTTATATTGATGGGCTACATGGTAGAACAGGGGATGCCCTTCAGGACGTGCATACACATACACATAGATTGTGCCTGCACATGTGCACACGCACACATAGATGTAGTACTCGTGAACTTGATATATGGATGCAAACACATGCATTGCATATATATATGTGCTCATACACATATTGAGATACACAGTATGACACATTGGATAGGAGCTTTCAGCTGAATTATGCATCATAAGGATAATGTGTGTGGGAGATAAATGGGAACCTTCTCCACCACATCTATTCATTATGTAACTTACATTGCTGCCCCATATGGAGATGAGGCTCAGAAATCTACATCTGTTTGAGACATGGAATTTTAAGTTATAACTTAATATCTTGAACACTACAAGCAGGTTAAACTCTCATTTTGTCTTAAGTTTGAACTCCATATTCTTCTATATTGGTTTTCTATCTATCCAGATGAGTCATTTTCTGCAGAGCTCCCAAATGATTGAAACAAGTGATTTGACGATTTGATAATAGTGACATAAATATAAAATGGTCACCTCTACAATCGTAAAGTTATCTCTGACTTGTTTGAAAGAAAAAAATAATCCACTATCATCCACATGCAATGACCCCTCTTTCCCCTCATATGCAGGATGGCTTCACGCCTCTGGCGGTGGCCCTCCAGCAGGGCCATGACCAGGTGGTCTCCCTGCTACTGGAGAACGATACAAAGGGCAAGGTACGCCTGCCTGCCCTGCACATCGCTGCCCGCAAGGATGACACCAAGGCCGCGGCCCTGCTCCTGCAGAACGACCACAACGCGGATGTTGAGTCTAAGGTGAGTGACAACGCTGATGTCTGTCTCTGCTGGTGGATCTTCAGTTGGTTGCTTTGTTTTTTTAATCTCTTTGATTTTTTGATTGTGTGATTGTTTCTTTGATTATGGATGTATTTGGTTTCCTGTGTTTTTCTGTTTCTTGCTGCCTTTTTCTCTCCTTCTTTCTTGGTTGAATTTGTTTTTGATGCTCTTTTTGGCAGAAAGGGGAAACGAGCAGAAGTACATTTTGAGTTTATATATATTTAAAAACATTATTAACACATATTAACAGGACAACAATTACTGTATGCTTGTAAAATTTTGTATGGAAGACATTATTATTGGTGAATGTACTGTATGATCATGCTGGAAGAGGATTTTAAGTTTGAGATTATCTATATCTCAAACTTACATCTTAAATAAGTATAGTGACTATATGTTCATCATTTTTTTTTTTAACATAAATTATTTTGTACTGAGCTCCTTCTCCCGTCTCTCTGCTCCTCCACTTCATGTCAATGGAGGCCCTTCTCTGTTTTTTTCTGACTAACTGCCCATTCTCTCCTCTCTTGGCTTGACTTTGTAGATGATGGTGAATAGAACAACAGAGGTACACCTCTACTCTGTACATTACGTAGTCTCTCCATCGCAGCTCATAAAAACTCTGAAAAAAAAAAGAACACTCTAGTGCTCCTGACTTGATGCAGTAGTGTTTCTGCAGCCCTTCCACTTCCCCCTTTTCCATTTTAACTCAATGTCGTCTTCCTCCTCTTCATCGCTTCATTCATGTAGTGGATATCTCTAGTCATGGAGAGAGTCAGAGTAGCGCATGTTTCACTAATACTGATTTAGTTAATCCTGAGGCTGGAGGTTTGGGTATCAAGGTTTTTTCCTTGATTCTAATGGTTTCATGGTGACCAAAGCTTAAGCTTCGGCTGTTATTTTTGCCAAAATTCTTTGGGACTGTTGACAAAATGTTGTCCTACTGTGTCCTGACACAGTCCGTCCATGAAACTGATTAACATGATAACCAGTGTTAGCATGGAAAGTGGTTATCATTCATTGAAAAGCAGCGGTTTGTCCATAACCTGCATGGCAACCAAATCCCCATTAAGCTGTAAAGGAACCCAGCCTTCTAGCAACAGACAGCTAGTAGAATTAGTTAACTAGTCTACCCCATGTTGGTTTTTAGTACTTCTAATCCTCAACCCTTGCACCTAAAGCATTTTGCATGGGACCAAAGCAATAAGCTAGCTCGACACTGCTTCTATGGTAACAAGGAGCCCTTCGTCACACCAAAGTCAGGTGGCCACCTTCTGGGTGCGCCTGTTTTGGTTGGCATTGTTTCTGGCTTTGGCAGGCTTGCTAGTTATCTGGTATGACTCATCCAAAAATGGCTTTGTCACCTGAGACGCGTGTGTTATGGCAAACAAATTTGCGTAGTACGCTGATCAAAGATGGAAAAAAGTTATTGCAGATTTGATAAAAAGAAGATGAGATTAACTACTGTATCTCTGCAGATTGACTACAAAAAGGCAGATTTTTGTGGTTCATTTAATTTTTTGGTTACCATACTTTTCTAATATGATTGCAAAGTCTAAGAATATCTTTTGAAATTGTTCATAGTTGTAGTAGTGTTTTCGGTTTGGGACACCAGATATCAGCAGATATGTGGATACACAAGTCTGAGACACCTGCTTCCCACACGATTATTGGTTATTTGAAACAGGGATTTTCAGTGATTAGATAGCTTAATATGAGATTCCCTCCGTCATTGGACGGATTGTTTCCAGTGTCCTTTTGTTGCTTTGTCAGCTGTTGCTCACTAAGCCAGGGGTTTTGCCGGGAAATGATTCTCATTTAAGATGCTAACAAATGGACATCAGGTTCATTTGCAGGACACTTTTTGCACACTATCAGGTTGTAAGTGAGATTCATACTAATTACCTCTAAATAATATCTGTCAAAATTGAATTGTATATGACACTCAGGCCCACATAATCAAACTGTACTTTGCCCAGTGTGTTAGTGTAACGATGAGTGATATTTCAGTATCATGAAAGCACATAGAAGCCCGCATGGTATACTGACTTTAAAACCCCTCTAGTTGTCAGCATACCAATGGCCCCATGTTCGATGCTTCTATTAAAGGACTTTTTCTGCCACTGTGAGAAAAGTCAGGTGTTAGTTTAACAGTGTTTTGTAAAATGTGTCCTTGTCTGATGAAGTGTGATTGTATGTGAACCATAGGCCTTTGTAGACTGCTGTAAATGCTCAGTGTCACGACTGAAGTGTACATGAGTACTGTGTTTCATAGTTTGTGATGTAATGTGTGGCTTGTCTGTTTGCATGTGCGTGTTGTACGGCTTTCTTCAATCCTCAGAGTGGTTTCACCCCTCTCCACATCGCGGCTCACTATGGCAACATTAACGTGGCCACACTCCTGCTGAACCGAGGCGCTGCTGTGGACTTCATGGCTCGGGTGAGTTTATTCTGCCATCTGCTGTTTGGGAGGGGTATTACCAACATTAAAGGTAAATAAGAGTAAAAGTGTTTATAGTATGATGTTATGCTGGGACAATGGTTCTTTTTCGCAGCAGTCATTTTGACTTTTCATAGTAGGTAAAGCACAAGTGTTACTAATAACATTAACAATGTCTCAGTTTGATTCAAGTGTCTCATTAAGCTGAAAGCCTCAGTGAAAATGTAGCAGCTCATTGGAACTCAACCACCATTCATTTTATTATTCGCACCTGCGCTTTTCCTTCTGTGACATGTCAAAAGGTCTTCTGTGTAAAAGGCCTATTGTAGTCATTACACTCCTCCATTTTAGGCTCATTGCAAACAAAACCCATTCATGAATGCTAACTCACTCTACAGTTATTATTTAGCATGAGCCCCTCAGGTTAAGAGCGTCAACTGAAGACACAAATGTAAAATGTTGGATTTTTGCAGAAGTATTATTATTAGTAGACTTGGCATTTAGAGATGAAGGCACCTGCTGCTACAAGAAAGAAAAACTATGTGAAACCAGAGCCCCCCACATTAACTGTGATGAGCTGTTAATCCCTCTCTTTTAACAAATAATGACAGTGGAGACACTGTAAAGAGTCAAAGTTAAAACATGTTGTGTAACTCTTCTCTAGTACATTATACAGTTAGAGAAAAAGAGAATCCAGTTGCAGCATATTTCATGAAAATGAGCATTCATTCTCTTACCTTAAATATGTAGGGATTGAGAAGGCATCACTGTGGAATACAGTGGGAGATTTAGAGATGTTACTCCCTAAGAGGAAAGCTTTCAGGATTTTTGAATTGCATAATTTAAGCCCCAGAGGGTTGAATGAGGACCTAGACAGTGCACTGGATTATATTTGTTTTCAAAGAGCAAGTGTTTTTAAGAACAAAATTAAATTTTTATTAAAGAGTGGATGTGTTAATTCAGCTTCAGACTGCCCTTGAAATTAGTTAAGGATACTCAGACATGAAAGAGATTTTTTTAGTTTTTAAAAGAACAAGGTTGAAAGAGTACAGACTTTGTACTTTAAAAATGGAGATCCACTAGTCAACTGGACTGTATATAAGGAAAACCATCAGACAGCACTCGACGAAGACAAGATAGTTGAAAATGTTTTTAGATGTGTTTTAATTTTGATGGACTTGCGTTGAAGCTCATATTGGTTTGCTTCTCACTGTGTGTGTGTGTGTTCACTGTAAACACGGCAAGGGACATCATTATCATTTATTTTAAGTGGGAATTGGGGTCTCCCAGTGCCCACTTGAAATGATAATAAATGATACATCCCCTACTGTCCATTAAACAAAGCATTAATAAAGCATATAGAGCATTATAAATGTTACATGAGCTGTATTATAAGCTGCTCAGTCAGGTGCATCTCTTCACCGGTATCATTCTTATTTTAAGAAATACTTTGATATAATGAAACACATAAGCAGAGTATAATTAGTATTTATTTACTGTGATATTTACATTGTGGTCTAGAGCAGGTGCTAATTAAAACTGAAAATTACAATTAAAAATTTGTTTGTGGCCACAGTAAACACTAGTTAACCAGAGTCAACAGTGGCCTGTAATTATATCAGCTTGTGTGTGAAGGAGTGTTGGCGTTTGTGCTGCTTTTTGACACTGATTACAAGTTGGGTCCAGAAAGACATGCTACTGCAGGGGAGATAGATGGGATTCAAGAATGGAGCCGTTTACTTGATAAAAGACTATGTATCCTTAATCAGGAGAGTGTATGGTTTATATTAGAGCTGACTAGAAATAAAAACATTGCAATCTGTTTACAGTCCACACGATTACATGTGTAATCCAATGAATTAATTTTAATTAATTATAGACTATTTAGATGGACATGCATGATGTTAGCTTTTGTGTAGATAATAAACCATTAGCTCTGATTTGACAGCTGACTCACAACACTTACTACTTCTTCTTTGTTCAGAATGACATCACGCCACTTCATGTGGCAGCAAAAAGGGGCAACAGCAACATGGTCAAGCTGCTCCTGGACAGAGGGTCCAAAATTGATGCAAAGACCAAGGTGAGATCATAGACCCCATTTGTTGCTGTGTCTTCATCTGGATTTGACTCTTGTCACATTTTATAGTGTGAAGTTTGCAGAAAAGGCAGCAACCAGGATTTTTAATTTCCTGTGATTTATCTATGCCTTTTCTCTCTCTCTCTCTCTCTCTCTCTCTCCTTTTTTAGGACGGTCTGACACCTCTTCACTGTGGGGCGAGGAGCGGACACGAGCAGGTGGTAGAAATCCTACTAGACCGAGGAGCACCTATCCTATCCAAGACCAAGGTAGCTACTGGGGCAATTAATTCAGGAGACACTGCTTTATTCAGAATAGGAAAGGATAGGTCACAAATGCATGTCACATTTTCATTTTTTCCACTGGCTGTTATAAAACAGAATAGAATAAATCACATTTCACTTGCAACAGGGTACAGTTTGTTAATAACACTCAATACAGTTGTTTGCATAAACTAGATTTCCTAATCACACAGAACCATTTGACATCTGTTAGCCAATCAGATAGCAGGTCTGTTGTTGTTGCTGTAGTGTTGTCGCATTGTCTCCATAACGTCTGTGCGACCTCTCCAGAACAGCCTGTCCCCGCTGCGTAGCCCCACAGTTTGACCTCGCAGGACGACCAGTGTAACAAAATAGACATTGTTGTAATGACCTCGTTATAACAATGCTTCTGTAACCTTCTCAACAACTTCCTTCACAGTCTTTCTGTGCAGCGCATGGCCACGCCCTAACTTACTGTGTCTGTCTGTCCATCTGTCTATGTGTCCGTCTGCGTGTGTGTTTGTCTCTCTCTCTTTGTCTCGCTCTCTGTCTGCCTCTCTCTCTCTCCCCTTCTCTCTCTCTCTTTCTTTCCCTCTCTCCCCCCACTATAGAACGGCCTGTCACCGCTCCACATGGCCACTCAGGGGGACCACTTGAACTGCGTCCAGCTCCTACTCCAGCATGACGTGCCTGTGGACGACGTCACCAACGACTACCTAACGGCGTTGCACGTCGCTGCCCACTGTGGTCACTACAAGGTGGCAAAGCTCATCGTGGACAAGAAGGCCAACCCGAATGCCAAGGCCCTGGTAGGGATAAAGGGGTGGACAGGGTTGGAGGGATGCAGGGAGTGAAAGTGAAATGTGGCATGGTCATATTGGACAAAAGCAATGAGCAAATACTGGCTTTTGAGGGCTGATAGCTGGTCATATCATTAGTCAACAAAATATATGTTATTTGAATGAATATTTTTTATATTTGATCATTTTTTCATTGTTTTATGTATTAGATTAATAAAGGCAATGAGAAAAGAAAATGCTGTTTTACCACAGTGTAGCTTATCTGGTTACAGAGGAACTATTTACAGTAAGGTCCAAAAGTCTGGGAACACTTTCCTAGTAGTCTCATTCTTTTGGACCACACTGTAGGTGCAGCAAAATGAGCCAGTCAACAGGATACACTGCATGCTGCATTGATATGATGGTGTGAAAAGGGAGAATTGATAGTAGTGTTTGGAACTTTTGTTACTTTTTTATTGATGTAAAGCGCTGTGTGAGTTTGTATCTGTGAAATGTGCTGTACAGATAAACTTTAGTTAGTTACTAGTGATAAAAAAATGTTAGATGGTGCCAGAGTGTAGAGAAGCAGAGAATTGAGAGTAGGGATGAAGCAAGATCTAGATTTCACTCCACTTACACAAAGGGAAACAAAAAGGATTTGAAGAAGTAAGAATAACTTTGAGAGAGGGTTTCCGCCTCACTCTTCTTGTTTGCATCTGACATTTTCTGTACCACTCATTCCTTTCCTGGCAGATAATTTGCTTCCCCTCGTCAGCCTAGTAAAAGCAGTCACACAGTGGCTGTGGAGAGTCCATCCCTTATACTTAGTGAAGATACTAGTGCTGGCTTTACACTGAGATTTTTTTCTTCCTTTCTGTCCGTGTGCAGAATGGTTTCACTCCACTTCACATCGCCTGCAAGAAGAACAGAGTCAAAGTGATGGAGCTGTTGCTTAAACATGGAGCTTCTATCCAGGCTGTCACTGAGGTACTACACCACACGGGACCCCATTTACTCTGCTCTTCTGCTTGACTGCCTCTTTAGGACTTGGCCCACGGAGTGGTTTCTTTAAACAATACTGATTTTTAGATATTCTAAGCTCTACCATTTAATACACAGTCTAGCTTTCCTGTGAGTGGGGCTTGTGTTAGTTTGGAATTCACAGCTTTGTGTTTATAGTAATGTTTCATTGTAATGATCATATTTGTTTCCCTGCAGTCTGGCCTGACACCCATCCATGTGGCAGCCTTCATGGGCCATGAGAACATTGTCCATGCTCTGACACACCATGGAGCATCACCCAACACCACCAACGTAGTGAGTGGATAATTTATGATGCAGTTACATGTTAGAAGTGCTTGAGTTTTCAAAGTTTTTGCTTCTGTTCAGAGTTCAAGTCTTACATCACTGCATATAAAAAGCTCCCACTGACTCCCAGTTCTGTGTTTTTTCCAGCGCGGTGAGACAGCTCTCCACATGGCAGCCAGGGCAGGGCAGACAGACGTAGTCCGATACCTGCTTAAGAACGGAGCCAAGGTGGAGACCAAGTCCAAGGTTAGAGCACTGAGACTCATTATCACTCACTGTGCCGGGGGGGAAACAAACGATGATAAAATACTAGGCCCAAAGTCACTTTTTCCTTCTCCACAGGATGACCAGACTGCGTTGCACATCTCCAGTCGGCTAGGGAAAGTCGACATCGTCCAGCAGCTGCTGCAGTGCGGCGCCTCTGCCAACGCTGCCACCACCTCAGGCTACACCCCCCTTCACCTGGCTGCCCGCGAAGGACACCAAGATGTTGCTGCCATGCTGCTGGAGAATGGAGCCTCGCTCTCCTCCTCAACTAAAGTAAGTCTGATGGAGGGTGTCACATGATTGCACAATGTGATGGAATTGAATATTTCTCTTTTTTTTTTTTACATGATAGCACATAACACTCAAACATGGACAAACGCATCTGGAGAACCCAGCATCACGTCAACTTATTTCAGTGCCATGTATCTCCACTAGTGGGCACCAGTCTCTGTTTCCTATACCTTCTTATCCTGTTTATTAGTCAGAGTTTGTTGCTCCTGATATATGCTGTCCTCACGACAAACGCATTCATAGACCCATAACCTGCCTACAATTAACTTACACAGCTCAACCATGTTAGGTTCTGTCTCATTAATTTTACTATGTTCACATTCAGGTTGGTGGTAGAATTACTGTTAGCACAGTAATTTAAAACACTTTTACCACAGGAGTTTTTTTTGTCATCCATGCAGTCAACCATGCACCGATTCTGTCACTTTTCTTCTCACTAACAGCACAGATCAAGGTCAAACAGAACTGTGGAGTTGTCTTTATGGAACCGGTTTGTGCATGTGTGTGATATGTTGCTGGGGGCCGTCTTTCAAGGTGACCTCTGTCAGTGGAACAGATTAATGAAGAGTAAACCCTATGGTGTCATTGCTCACTTGCTCACACACACACACACACACACACACACACACACATCTTTTGGGATATCACCTGAGTAATCTGTTCGAGGAAATTATGTCATACCAACCTGGGAAGAGAATCATGAATTGACCCATTTTTGATGTTTACATAATTTTATGTATCTTTAAAGTGTCTTCATTTGCAAACATTTAAAACTAGCTTTTCTATCCAGCAGTCTGCTTTCTCTCTAAAATTATAATTTACAGTATAAACTGTATGAGAACTGACTGTAAACAGTCACACAAATCAGGTCATGTGTTTCAGAGCATGGAATAAGAATCTGTGGGAGTCCCACATTCCTTTGGAAAATATGACCTAATGTCTTTAAATATCCTCACATACACACAGGATGGAAGCCAAGATTAACATGATCACATTATACAAAAGCCATTTATAGATCTGGAGTGCATAAGGAATTAAGGGCCTTTGGTTTAGTTTCTCAGTGTATCAGATACCTTAAAACAATCTTATGTTCATGTGTTGTTATAACTAAATTAGTCATGCACACACAATATGATTTATGATAGTTGAAAATCAAGTTTAATTTAATTCAACATAAACCTTTATCAGAATGTTTAGCCTCTTCTACTACTGATACTTTTTAGAGTTTTTCAGAGTCTGAATGATAGTGTCATGTGTCAAAGGTGATCCAAACATTGTTTCAGTGGTGCTGCTACGAACCCATGTTCAAATCTTCATTTTTTTATTTTTTATTTTTAGGTAAAAACAGATTCTGTGTCATTGCATTAATAATTCAGATACCCTCTTTACAACTATGTGAGAAACTATGTTATTATGAAGAGCAGATTGACCCCAGCTCAGCAAGGGCTGACCTGATACACTGCAAATATTCACTTCCTGTTTGAATACCCATCTCTACTTGTCCTCTCTGTTCTTTCCATGCTCTCCATCTTCCCACTGTCAGTCATTTTGATGATGTATGTTGTTCTGTGTTCAACAGAAAGGGTTCAGTCCCCTACATGTGGCAGCAAAATACGGCAAGATGGAAGTCGCCAGTCTCCTCCTACAGAAGAGAGCTGTGCCTGATGCTGCTGGAAAGGTGAGATGCTTTAAAAAAAAAACAAAAAAAAAAAAAGAAAGAAGAGAGGCCTGGTTAACAACACACTTTAGAGAGTTAATCTTAATCTTGACCAACATTTAAGTATGTTTTCAGATGTGTTGCTACTGGAAAACATGAGCTGAGGGAGGGGCCTGGCACAGAAATGACTATATCTATAGATGACACTCCTGCACAAAGAAAAATGAAGACAATAAAATTGTCTAAAATTTCGACATCATCAACACATGCAAATAGCAGCAAGGTGTGTCAGGATCAGAGCCATAGTTTTCAAATAATCCTTAGAGATACCTGTGATCATAAAGCAGAAGCACTAGGAATAGTGAAGAAATGAAAAGTAAAAACAGCTGATATGATTATTAGCAGATGTATATAGAAGATAATCTTATATAACAAAGTGTAAAACATGAACAAAGAGTTTATACATGCAGCAGTTGACTTTTCTGGTGAGATCTGGCCAACAAATGGCCAAAATCAAGAGGTCATTCAGGTTCTGTGCCCATTTATCATTCATAGAGTCTTTCTGTCGCCTGCCCTTACCCAACCTGTCTCTAAGAGAGTAAACAGAACCTTTTTCAGTTGTATCTTCCAAGCTGCAGCGTGACACAGGGTTGACGGGGGTTGTCTGAGGAGGAGGGTCATGTTTAGGACTGATCCCAAGACAACACGGCCAACACATGCTTGTCCTGTTGCAAAAACCTTCTGTGAAGATTTGCTCTTATTACCCCGATGACATGCACTCATTCCACCTCCACATGCACCCTTTTATACACACACACACATATTGACACACTTACTTAGCACATGCCTACTGGCACTGATTATAATGTTAGCTAAGCGTGTGTGTGTGTGTGTGTGTGTGTGTGTGTGTGTGTGTGTGTGTGTGTGTGTGTGTGTGTGTGTGTGTGTGTGTGTGTGTGTGTGTGTGTGCCACCATCTGAGAGCATTTAACATAATGGCAGTCAGGTATGATAATGAAGCTTCCACGCTGCTTGTTGGTGTCACACTAAAATCAGTCCCATTGTAACACTGAGTCTAAACACAAAGCAAAATCAGGCCTTTATTGCAGTTTAATGACATTTATTTTCTTATTAAAGATGAGAAGAAAGACAAGAGACAAAGACGCTTATTTGGTTTCCTCACATTTTGACACCATAATATCACAGCTGTAACTACACATTGTAACAGCTCATGAGATTAGCAGGATGTATTCTGGACATTTTTTTTCTGAGTAACTTCAAGTGTCTGCTGAATGAGTGGGACATTCCAGTGGCTCAGCGAGCATCCTGCTGACTCAGTCCTGGTTGCTGAGTGGGATATAAGTTGTGTATTGTGTGCCTGGAATGCTTTGGCTGTAGCTCAGAAGCATAAGGTGCCATCATCCAACTCACAGCTCTTTATTTACCAATGCCACGAGAAAAAAACAGAAATAAAGGCCCCTTCCTCTCAAAAATGAGTAGGCACTTCCCTTGGATGTTTGAGATGCCCTGTGCAGTGTTTGACTCCAGAAGACTGTTTTCACATTCATCATAGGAATGTTTCTTTGTGCTTACCTTAAATCTGACTACGAGCATGATTTTGTGACATCACAACCAAGTGTGATGTGGAAACTGAAAAACCTCCAGTGCACACACACTGAGAATGGGCATTTCTGTGAAACAGGAGACAACTACGGCCTAGAAGTTAAACTTTTGAAATTAAAAGTATTTGCATATTTGTAGTTTCTGGATTTTTCGTATATTTATTATATTTTATAACGAGGTAATTTTTCTTTTATGTGTTAAAAACCATCAGACACATTATTACCTTAAGCATCATATTTTTATTTCTGAAAATGTCTTCAGGGGATCTTTACACCAAATCAATGACAACAAATGCTGCATCCAAAAAGATGAATGCATTGCATAAAAAAGGCGATATCTCTGGTTCTGCTGCATCGATTTTGATCCTTTTTGGTCTGTTGTGTGTCATACAGTGTTGTAGAGTGCAATGCTACATCAGTGAAGTACTGTTGTAAGTGTTCCTTTATGGGCTGAGAAAAAATCCTGCTTCTTAAGCTAAATAAACCGTTTAAAAAACATTTGGTGGGAAGTTGACATTTTGGAGATACATTTCATGGGACAGAAAGGATGTGCTCATCATGTCTCTTGATAATGCCACCCTCCCATAACCTTCTTATTCAAGATTTCAGCATGAAGTCTAAACTTTTTCCTGTACTAAATATCTTCCATCAGTTTGATGTCCATCTCCCTTCATACTGTTACATTCTGTTTGTTTCACTTTACTTATCAGAGTGTTTGTGCTTGTATGTGTTCAGTGATCCTCTAACTTGCTGTTGTGTTGCATGCCTGCGTGTGTGTGTGTGTGTGTGTGCGGTGTGTGTGCGGTGTGTGTGTGTGTCCGGTGTGTGTGTGTGTGTGTGTGTGTGTGTGTGTGTGTGTGTGTGTTTTAGAGTGGGCTAACTCCACTGCATGTAGCCGCTCACTACGATAATCAGCGAGTGGCACTGCTGCTGCTGGATCAGGGAGCTTCCCCACATGCTGCCGCTAAGGTATCCACACAAACACACATAAACACATGTACTAAAATGATTCCACCTGGCTTATGCTCTCAGTGCCATCTCAGACCATTAACAGTGTTTTTTTCATGTAATATACATGTGTATGTATGAAGGTGTAATACCCACCCATTTTCTCCCATTCCATCTTGTCTACTCTTTGACATTGTGAGTGAATGTGCAGCTTTTTCCTGGACCTCAGCAAAGTTTTTGAAACTATTCGACTAGCTAGAACTTAGCTTATACCATCAGCATATTGAGCTTGGTGGTTTACAGGATGCTATATTTCATATTTCTCATAAAACAAAACTGGAGAGCACATGTGAATGGACTGTACATATCATAAATTTCTCCAGAATCCACCCACCCAAGTCTGTTCCAGAGCTATAAATCTTGTGTGTTCCTAATAATAAAAAAAAAAAGCAAAAAAAAAAAACACTTTAATTACTGCTCTTGTTGAAATGTCTGACACACACAAACACACATTGTCGTTGACATATGGTCAAGTTGTGGTTTGTCTCCTGCTAGGCTTTGGTTGACTGTGAAAACCACTGAATAAGTATGAGCAGAATGGTAGAGCCAACTAACTAAATATGTTTTTGGCTGTTGACTGACATTGAAGACAGACATCCGGCAAGAGGAGACCAAAGCTTGAAGACTAATTTATCTTTGTGCGACGCCACCTTTTTGTCAGTGGCTCTTCCTCATGCTAGCTTTCTCTCCCTTAATCTGTATCTGTCTCTATTTATTCCTTTACTTTTCCTGCCTCCCTCCCACCGTCTTAGTCATTTCTCCCTGCCTCTTTTCTTCCTCTCTTCTTCTATAAATTTTTCATTTGGCTGCTAAAGTTGGTGTGTTGGAAATGGATCAATCTGTGTGTACTAGAGGAGTTGTCTACAAGCATTTGTGCACAAATGTGAGCAGTGAATGTTCACAAAGTTGCATAAAACATGGTCACATCTCTGCACACAGACAAGAGGAGCTGGAATTGCGACATTAACTCAGGAAATAAGTTTCACTGTAAACAATCCAAAAAATATAACCAGATTTAAGTAACATGGTGACATAGAAATATATGTGACAGTTTTTCCCATACTATACTCACCTCTTGCTTTTACTCACTCTTATTTAAGCTAAAGTCACTTCACCTCTCTGTGGACTTCAAGGCTTCCCAGGGTGTTGAATAAAGCTCACCTGCAGCTCACATTACCACCGATGGAGTTCCTAACAGGGAAATGAATTTAAATGCCATCTTTAATGCTGTCTATGAAGAATATTACTTCTCCCCTTTTCAGCTGCTTCCCTGTCTCTTCTTTTTGCCTCCTGATTTTTTTTTTTTTACTATTGTGTATGTGTTCAGTCGGCTGAGGCAAACCTTTTGTCTGAGGTCTTAGATGATCTCATTTGCAAGTTTTACATGGAGCAGTAGTCCACAACCAATGATAAATATGAAATCATCTTTAAGTTTGCCGAGATGGAGGTGATATTAATATTTAATGTTTAATAATATCTATATATGGCATCTGTGGGTCAATCCACAGCTGAGACCAGGTTACATGACTGTATATTTGCTGCCATGACTGTTGAGTTTTATCACTTTTGCCTTAATATCTGTAGCACGACCTCTATCTGCCCAAACAATTCCTGTTATATATTGACGCTGTCGCACCTAATGCCAGCAGATTTTATTATTAATTACTTATGTGGTTGTTGCAGCATATGATTGAAATGAAATGATTGAACCCTCTGAACTTCTTGGCACCAGTTGATTACTATGTTGGGTTCTTAGTTTAAGTCTTTATAGTCCACAGCCACGACTGCAGAAATCAGTTGTCGGACAGCCTGGTCTAACCAAAGTGTTCATCATACACACTTTGGTCTATAATGTATGATGTGAATTCCATTTTGATTATGAATGGAATAAACTACATTATAGAAGAAGACACCTAATGAAAACAGTCCCTGTTTTATGTAACACTGAGCATAACCACCATTTCTCAGTACAATAAAAAATAATACCCAAACTATCAAATCCAAGAAGAGCTCAATCCAACCTCCTAACCCCTGCATATCTTTTGCCTGCCTCAGAATGGCTACACCCCACTCCACATTGCTGCCAAAAAGAACCAAATGGACATTGGGACCACACTGCTGGAGTACGGCGCAGACACCAACGCGGTGACACGGCAAGGCATCAGCCCCATTCACCTGGCAGCGCAGGAGGGCAGCGTGGACCTGGTTTCACTGCTGCTGACCAAGAATGCCAATGTCAACGTGTGCAATAAGGTGAACTCAGTCCCATAGCTACAATATTTATTCATTTACACAGACTGTGCACACAGATGCAGACCTGCTTTGCACATGCACAGACACCCAGTCTGTAATCTGTTCTAGCATTACCTTAATGACTTCTCACTAGTTTCATCACTGGCATACTAATTTTTACCTGATCACTCTTTGACAAGTAGAAAATCAAGGGTCTTGAGGCTTTTCAAATTAGTTTCCAGCATAATTTTTCCTGAGAGACGAGAGCATGTTTCAATCTTATGTGCTTCCACCAAAACAAATTTATGTGTTCTCATGTGTTTGTGTGTGTCCTTTCCTCATATGTAGAGTGGACTTACACCACTCCACTTGGCAGCTCAGGAGGACAAGGTCAATGTTGCAGAAGTTCTCCTCAACCACGGGGCTGATGTCAACCCACAAACAAAGGTAAAGCTTTTTCAGATAGTGTATACACACACACACACACACACACACACACACACACACTCAGACACACATACACTATAAATACATACACAGATAAGGGTCTTTAAATCTCCTTTTGTAGTTGAGGTTTGATGCATGATCTGTCTTTTTCGCCAGTCGAACGGATTTTCTTGTGTAGTTTGTCTATTTATGGCATTGGAAAAACACACTCACACACTCTTGGGCACAGACCCACACATTCGTCCGCAATCATCTCAGATGCTACATAAATAAAGGATTGATACCTGAGTGGAAGGTGTGCATGTCTTTATGGATGCACCACACACTGCAGCAAACACACACGCACACGCACATGAACACGCACATGATCTATTATTCAGTCACACTCTGTCAGTTACATTCACTTACACACAAACACACACAGGCCACATAACACACTGCCCATGTTCATTGAGACAAGCATGCTGTAGCTGAAGGTTGGGCTAACACAAGGTTATATGGTGTGTGTCATGTGCCGTGTGTGTGTGTGTTTGTTTGTCTGTGTGTGTGTGTGTGTGTGTGTGTGTGTGTGTGTGTGTATTTGTGCTGACAGGACAGATTATTTACAGCGAATAGGTTATTCACTCGCTGATCTTCTCCATTACCATTATGCACTGTGCACATAATTCAACAGGGACATGAAATATGATGCAGTTTTGAATTTATATTCAGAATCAGAGACGCCGTACTAAGAAGTAGAGACAAATACATTTTTCCTATATAAACCAATAGGTTTTTCTTGCACAATAATTCTTACAAACGCACTTTTCAAAATAACAGCCTGTTCTGTAACAAGACGAGGCCTCCAGTCAGCATATGAAACCGTCTTTTCCTTCTCTTTTCATCTATTCGCCCTTTCATGTCTGTGTCTGTTCCTCCATCTACTTTCCTTCATGCAGATGGGTTACACTCCGCTGCACGTGGCTTGTCACTATGGCAACGCAAAGATGGCAAACTTCCTGCTGCAGAACCGTGCCAGAGTCAATGGCAGAACCAAGGTAGACAAATAAATGCTTGCTCACCCAACTGCACTTAGATCTTTCCTTAAAATACAAACTTATGCATCCAAAGTTAATGTTTCCTCTCTTTCCCTGCCTGTGTTTATTTGTCTGTGTCTCTTTCTAGAACGGATACACTCCTCTCCACCAGGCAGCTCAGCAGGGCCACACCCACATCATCAACCTGCTGCTTCAGCACGGGGCCTCGGCCAACGATCTCACCGTGGTCAGTGCACAAACACACTGGCACAAACATACACACACAGAGCTACTGAAGCTTGATGAAATACTGACTGCTCTTTGTGTTTTCTATGCGCCTCCTGTGAATAACTTCCTGTTGGTCTGTAACTGGTCAGAATGGGAACACTGCCCTATCCATCGCCCATCGACTCGGGTACATCTCTGTGGTGGACACTCTGAGGCCCATGACGGATGAAAACCTGACTGCCATGGTGAGACACTGTCTTCCTGTCAATGGCATCTCATATGGTTAAAGGCAGTATCTATTATGTCACCAATAAATTCCAAACTAATTTCATTCTTATGAATATTACTTACTTCTGTAACTTGGAAAATAGGTTGAATTCTAGAGCCAGGCCAATACAATAATAGCATGTGGTACTTAGGAAATTAGTATGCTTATCATTGAAAAGTTGTATCTCATCTTTTTGAGGTTTAATTTTTAGTACCAGACATTATGAGGCGCTATAAAAACAATTAAAAAGTAGTCTTTTTTTTTTTTTATTGATTTCATACCATCCACACAGCCACTGATTTTCTTTAACAGTTTTATTAACTGTATGAAAATCAACTTGAACCTAGTTTGAGAAAAGTTAATCAGTCTCAGTGAACATTTCAACACTGTTTGTGTTTTGTCACTTTTGGATATTCTGGCATGTTACTGCAGTTGCAAGCACAGTGTCTGATTTTGCAGCCAAAAACTACAAGGCAAGTAATGACTAAAATAGTATAATTGTGGGTGTAAGAGGGTTGCTTTTTGCTAGGAACTTGGGATATGCTTTAGAAGAGGTCTGCAGTAATGTTAAGTATTTGTCAGTATTGGACTTAAACAGGTTAAACCACTAGTGTTCCTTCTTGAGCTGTATTGAACTGAATTGTGTGACCGACTCTTTGCCCAAATTAAAACTTGGCCAGTCAGCTAGCAGCATACTGTACGTTAAGTGAATCCTACAAAATCAGCCAGAAAGTCAGTCAGCCACGCTATGTCACGTGTGAAGTCCTGATTAAGAGAGAGAGGGGGCTTAGATTGGAGCTTACGGTTTCTCCTCAAATAGCCCAGGTCACTAACTGTGATCGGATCCACACACGTGTCTGGGAGGAGGAGTGAGAGGGAGAATGTGCAAAAGAAAGAGAGGCAGTGTGATGATGGAGAGGTGACAGGAGTGGTAGGGGGGACAGTGAGTGAAGAGACGGACAGAAAGGTCACTGAGGATCCTGTACAATCAGCAGCAAAGTGTATTAGTCATAGCTGTCGCTATCCACAGGGACGTAACTTGTAACTTAAAGATTAAGGTCGTTTCCCCACTCCTTTGTGTGATTGATGTATTATTTACAGTGCAGAGCTCTCTGATGTTGTTTATGCTTGTATTGAACCTGCGTCTTCAACCTGTTGCAGCTAGTTATGTTGGTTAATCAAACATACTGTATCATTATTGTGACAGAGGTCACGGCTAGGATCCAGCTAAATGTCTTCATTAGGAAATACATGTTAAGGTCACACTTCACACTAGTTGTAATGTAAATCCTGAAATTTTCATTAATTGACTACAGTTATCTCTAAAATATATAAGAGATATACAAAAATATCTCTGCAGCTCAGTGCTGCTTTTTTTGAAGTCCAGTGTAAACTGCATTGAGTTTCCAAACATCAACAGTGAAGTGGCAGGAAGTCTGGTGATGTTTCGGCACTTTAACAATACAGGAAGCATACTTTTAAGGTTCAGGTTTAAGATGTCAAGATGTGTAAATATGCAGAAAAGACAAAACTCTGCTTATGCCATGTGATAGTTCAGAATCAGCAGTGAGCTTAACTGATGATATTATATATTATAATATAATGACAATATTCTTTTAAAAATCTATTAAGGCATTGTAACTCAGGGTTTCTGTTTGGTCTAGACTATAGACATTTATTTTATAATATTGTTCTGGCAGAAGGGAATTGTTCAGATGTCCCTTTCTTTGCAGAGTGCATCAGAAAAACACAAAATCAATGTCCCAGAGACCATGAATGAGTTCCTTGACATGTCAGACGATGAAGGTATGTGAAAAATGCTTCTCTTTATTCTACTCATTTTCAACCATTAGGTATTAAAATTAAATCAACTCATACTTGTTTGACTTATTTTTAATATCAATACCTTGCATGATTTACACATACTTCTGACAGTGAGCTTATGTGATGTCATTTTCATTAACATGTGCATGTTTCACTGTATGTGTATCCAAATCACACAGTCCGGGCCAATGTGCCAGAAATTCTCGATGAGGAATCTTTTTCTGATGTTGATGAAGGTATTTGTCACCAGTTTGCCTCCACCGTCCTGTAGTTTGTTTGTTGTCCTCTAACCTGATGTAGCAGAACTAACCTGCTTTGTTGAAGAGCTAACCTTTGCTATTCTACCATTCAGCTTTGCTGTTCATTTTCACTAGAAAGTCTCCAGGCAAAATCAAAATATACTCACCCAACATTGCTCACTTTTGCTATTATGCTGTTTAAAGTACCATGAATCAGATAGAAATACTGCGTTCTCATCTCAAGAGCCAATAAGAGGGTCAGACAGTGGAGGAGAGGTTTGTTTTTGTTTTTTATTCTGTAATTCAAAGCCTGCCATCCTCAAACAAAGAATAAAGTCTCAGTTATTTCCATTTTGTGTAAGAAATCCACCGGCAAACATTAATTGTTTGAGCTGTTTTAGCCTTGAATCTGGTCTTGGTTTTCTGGCAGGTTTGAGTGTCATGTTTCTGTTCACAAACTGACACTGCTGATGTCATTTAGCTATTTTCACTGCAACTTAAAAAAAGTGTTATTTTTAACTACTTGCACACCATAAATCTCACACGCCTCTTAATCAAAGAAAACTTGTGAAGTATCATCCTCACTTCAAGCCTGCAATCTCTTTAAAGAAGTTGCTGTAAGAAAAGAAAAACAAGGACAATGTGACTCACTTCAGATGTTAGACTATGAAGAGATCTGCATACATTCAATGAAATAATCATGTCCTATTGTATGCAAAACCTACATACCATTAAATATAACAAAGTCACCCGCTCAAAAGCTGCTGTAGTGCTACAGAGCCTAACAGCACTGTCAAGTTTATGGTACAAGTCACATTGTTTTAGGCTGCCCAATTCAGTCGTCTGTCCTTTGTTTTGGAACCACAGAACCAACAACAGGCCTGTAAAATTGATGAGCTTGTTCATGGGCTGTTGCTTAGGGGACAGTCAGGGGGGGTGTGGAGTTTCTATGTCAGGTGATACAGCTAGACTCAACAAGTTACGTACACACACATATCAGGTGAACCAGGGTGAGTTTGTAATGAAGCTGTATGAGAGCCTCCATTGGCATATCTATGATTTAGTGTATTATCACCACCATGCAGGAATTATAAATAAAAGTATCCATGGCCTCATGTGCTCAACATAAACAGTTTATACTGTGTGCATAATTCATCCACATTGCACTTGTGCAATGAAGCTTTGATATTCACTTTGACCAATAGTAGCAGCACCAGACAGGCTTCAGTTAGCTGCTGCATTCAAACCTGCACTCCTTCATCTTTTTTAGTGGCCCATGTTTTTGATGTGTGTGTGTGTGTGTGTGTGTGTGTGTGTGTGTGTGTGTGTGGGTGTGTGTGTGTGCGCGCGCGCACATGCGTGTGTGTGTGAAAGAAGCAGTAAGGAGTTTCCACTTCTCTCTTTAATCCTATATGGGGGAGGCAAATCCTATTAAGCTGTGCGTTGAAGTGAGTGTGACGGGTGTGTGTGTGTGTGTGTTTGTGTGTGTGTGTGTGTTTGTGTGTTTGTGTGTGGCCTACCTGTGCAATCACACACTCATCTCATGCTTTCTATAGACTACTATGGCCACTAATTGTATCATCATCAGATAACAACTTAACAAGGAGTTAAGTTGTTGTGCTCTGCTGTCATCACAGTTAAGAGTATCTCCATAATCCTTACAGCGCTGGCCTTAGAGGGTATTATTACTACAGGTGGTGTTATGCACTCTTAAAGTCTTTAACTGTCAAACACCTCTTGCATAATTGTTCTAAATGTCCTTACTCTTGTGCAAGTTTTAGTCATTGTGTGCAACATGAAGAAGGAAGAACTAGACAGAGAAATGTTGCTCAAGAATTTAAAAAAAAAAAAAAAAAAACTGATTTATGATGTGGTTATTTCATCATTATTGTAGCCCCACTCCCAGTTTGACATGCAGCCAGACTCTCTCAGTGATCTCCACCATTGAGGGAGGAAAAAAGTATGAGGAGTTGTCAGTGACGGTTTTCTTTTCTCCGTCACTGTCTCCTCCACTGAGGTTCCCAAGCATTCGCTCAAACGACCTGTCAGCTGACTGTGCTCTCCACAGAGCGGTAAACACTTCTAGCGCAGAGTTTGTTGTCGATGCCGTTGAGCCAGGGACGCGCCGAGACTTTCTCTCTTTAAATCCAATGAGATGAGCTTTTTTGAGCAGCCTGCAGGAGAATTAACCCCGGCGTGGCCGCCGATGTCAGATGGTTAGGAGAGCTGCTGTTTCCCCTCAACTCTGTGTGTTGTTTTGTAGCAAGGAGGCACCGAACTTAGAGTTTGAGTTTTATTTCTTTGCGGAGAGGAGACGGCAGAGATGTGCGCACCAGCAACAAAAGCGCAAGTTGGTCTGAGTGGAGTTAAGTGCGTGGGGTGAAAAGAGGGCAACATTTTCCATCAGCACCAAGCACTGAATGGACTACTTGATAGTCTTCACCTCTCTCTGGATTTACTTTCCATCCTGGCAACGTTGTGTGGATTTTTTTTAAAAACATAGAAATAACTCGGGGAATATAAGAAGAGTTGTGATCTGTGAATATGGCTGAGCCGGTCAAAGGTAAGTTGATAGAGAATCAGGAGTTTCAGTGCCCGGAGTTTGATGTTTTGAAGGCAGCGGTGTAATAAGACACAGGATCTACCGACAGTGTCATAATAGCTGAGGTGAAATGTTGCCACTCGATATTGTTTTTTCTCTTTTCAGTTCAGCAAGTATTTTGGTGTTTAGTCTTTTATTTACTACTCATGTCAGAGACAGAGAGTCGTTCGATGACTTTGTAACCTAGAACATGGTCCGGGTTCAAAATATACTGTGTGTGTGTGTGTGTGTGTGTGTGTGTGTGTGTGTGTGTGTGTGTGTGTAACAGCAGTGAGGGGCCGATTGTTTTCCAGTTATGTCAAGTCAGACAGAAACGGCTAGAAAGGCACAATTAGGTGATCATTTTAACCATCACAATAAAAGCGTAACATGCCTCAGAAAAATGTCTATCATATATGTTTGTTTCCTTCTTCTTGAGTGGATAACTAAAGTATTTGAAATTGATGGCTGAAGTGGCAGCAGCAGTGTGTTATTCTGTGTCAGTCTTTTAGAATAAAAGCACCAGACTCAGCATTTTACTCTGACATCCACCAGTGAATGAAAAAATAATACACTAAATGTCCAGAGATAACAGTTTCTTAAACAATTAATGTCAGTGTTTTCATAACTGGAAACATTGGTAAATTGTCGTTACTCTCTGCATTTGTCATCACTGTCTTATACTAATACTGGTTTGCAGATTAGTTGAGAGTCATTTTGGGAGTTGGAAATTAAAGTAGTTAAGGGTAAACGGAGAGAAGAGAAGAGCAGGGTTATTAAATAATTTACTACACACTTCTGAATAAAACAACTCTGGAATGCACTGGAAATAAAAATTTATGTTTCAAGTTTGGATTTATTTGGCTGCACAGAACAACTGCGTGCTACTTTTCTGTTGGCCTAAATTGCTGACATAGACATTGCAACAAGAACGAGGGATGTAGGCTAAGTCATGGTAAATGTATTAATGTCTAAATAACCAGCAGCATATATTAAAACATATTGCAAGCATGAAAATGTAGCCATGACCACAATAGTTCTCTAACCTCAATTTTTTGGTGAATATTGATTTGGTGACGTGGTTCCATGGGTTTTGTCTGGACAGTAGGTGTTGGCTATTTTCATTGTCTTATATGAGTTTCGACAAGTAAATCCCAATCACTCCTGGTTTTATTTTGAAATGTGACGCCGGAAACGCCTGCTCTTAGTGTAGTCTAACTTGACAGTGGTTCTGGTGTCTGATCGGAGTGCGGCAGTACTGAAGGTAGGGGGAGGGGCTGCGGTGAAGGAGCAGAGTGTTGCAGGCAGGACAGAGCCGGACATGAGGGAGAAGGAGAAGCACTGTAGCCGCTCCGCCGGCTTCATTGACCGGCGTGTCATCGTCCACCGGTCCGCCGACCGAGGTGCGGTGGGGTTCTGCGGGTTCTGCAGTTTCTGCGTATTCTGTGCTTAATGTGCTCAGGCTTTGGTGGCTGTCAAACCCTCCGCTGCGCTCTGCCTTTGACTGTTGTGAAAGGAGCTGCGTTTGGTTTTACAGGAGAGCTCTTGATATACCGCAAAGTGGCTTTGCTGCTGCCTCTGATGGCATTTTCTCTGTTATTATGACTGTCTAACCTATAAAACAGTCACACATCGGCGCTGCTCAGGGTTTCAGCTTCATGTTGTTGTTGTTGTGCCACAGTCAGATGAATAGACAAAAAGAAAAGTTGCAGTGGGCTATGCAGTTGCAGTGAGGTATGCTGGGTTTAACGACAGAGTGATGCTGATAAATTATCCAAGGCCTCCTCTAAGTACCATAATCAAATAAGTGAGAGACTGATGTCGGCAGTGAGGGCTTGTTTTTCTTCCCTGAGTTGCCGCATCGCCTCTCTCGTCCGGATTGGCTTTTCTTAGTTAACTGGAGGATTTTATGATTTCATCCCTCCACCAGGTGAGGATGCGATGACCGGGGACACGGACAAATACTTGCGGCCTCAGGACCTCAAAGAGCTTGGGGATGACTCTCTCCCTCAGGAGGGGTACATGGGTTTCAGCATAGGAGCCCGCTCAGCCAGGTAAGCACTTCTCATTTTTATTAGATACATATGAAAATCATTAATGTACTCAGGTGCAGTGCTGTCAACTACTTGGCCCAACTTGTCTCTATAACACTGAGGCCAGATTGTGTTTCTATTAACTGAAGTAGGTGACATCATGTTTGCCATTGATGCTGTGGCTGTTCACCCTATGTACACTGATTTCTGATGCCGTATATATCTGATATGGTTTTTGTAGATTGTGTAGTGTATGTTTGACTGAAAGAGACTTTATAATGGGCAGTCCCTTCAACATTCACACAAACTCAGACACAAACACACACAAACAGAATAATGGAAATTGCCAGAGAAAGCAGCTGGAAAATTGCCATCTAATGATTCAACCTGACAAAATGATTCAGCGTTTTGTGTGACCTCATTCAAACCCATGCAAAGATTACAAATGGCCCATATTATATCACAAGAGATATAAGATGTATCTTTGAACTTTGCTACCTTTGATACTCTCAGTGAACAGCTGCACTGCGAGATTCAGCACAGGCCTAGCCACAGCCTTTAATGCTGAACAAAGTATGTAGTGGAAAACTGGCAGGCTCCACTGAAAACACATCAGCGGCACACAGGACAAGTGTTGTGCAGCCCCAGAGTGTTCTGTCGCCACACTGACAGATGGCAGATGCACTCTGATGGGTGAATTGATAAAAACAATTACACTAACAGTGACAGGAAGCTGCTAACATCAGCGGGCCACAGCAAAACAAGGGAAACACTGAATTAAATGGAGAGATTCCATGTAAACAAGCCTGTTTCATGAGGCTTCTGATATTGGAAAGAGTTTTTACAGAGTTCACGAATGTAATTATGTGAATTGTTTGTTATTAGCTCAGAATAAGAACATTGTAAGGAAATACAAGAGGTTGGTGAGAACATTTAAGAGTTTGAATTTTGAGTGATTTGCACAAACTGCAAAAATGTGGGCCTTTCTGAGTTCAAATTATAATGTCTGTGGACTTATCTTTCCATTTAACAGCAGTGTTTATGATTTACTGCTATGTTTACAATCAGACAGATTGAAACAATTATTCATGTGGTAATCTACTAGAAATACAACTACAGTTACTAAAACTTCCCTTTTTACTGCTGCTTTTCTGTAATTGCATATACAGTATCAAGCTGAAATAGATTTGAAAATTGTTGACATGTCTCTTTGCAGGGGTGTGCGTGTAATGCTGTGAAAAATATAAAGTATTTTATTGATCAGTGAATGCATGATGCTGAGCAAGTTCTTTTATTTTCCTTATCTTTCTGTTTATGACATCGACATTGCATGGTTTGCTTTTTGACTGGGCTGCATACACTCAAACACAATCACACTCATGTAAACCTTGAAACATTTGAGCCAAATTGTTTGCAACCATGCAAAAGCACAGCATCAATGTCATATGGGGAAAAAAAGAAAGCCACATCATGCTTCAATGTCTTCAAAATGCTTTGCTTTTCACTCTTCTATTTTGTTCTTTTCCTTGTTTTTCCTGCACCCTCTCCCTCATTCTAGCCCTAGAATCAGGTAAGAAAAGAGTAGTAGTTGTAGTAGTATTAGGCAACATTAGCTGTGATTGGTGTCCCTCCCTTGTGACCCTGAACTACTGTTTAACTCCAACCCTACATCCATAAAACTTCTAACCATGAGTCATCCATTGTACATTGGTGTCATCCAGTGTTGCCGTTTCTCTGTCTGTGGTAGCAGATTTGTCACTTTGTTGCTGTAACGTGTTGTATTTTGAGATCCATTTTAGCCGATCACCATTCGCCTTATTTTCTCATCCATCTAACAAAAATCATCATATCTGCAAAATGAAAATGTATTTATTTTTTTTACTGCAGGTGTGGAAAAGAGGCAGTGTTGCTGGGAATGAGAAAATAATCCCCTAACTTTTTGATGTCGCTTGTTCTTAAATGGCACTTTATCTCTATTTTTGTCGTGCCATAAGTGTAACTTCCAGGGATTAAAAAACATCATAATCCATCCATTTTATTCACCCTATTTACATGTTAGTAATTGTAGATACCCCAGTATTATCCAGGATGATTCTGGATTTTAAATCATGGTTTGCAGAGATGGAAACTTTGTGGCCTGAGATTGCTTGGGAATTTTGGTCCAGCATTTAGAAATCCTCCACATACATCAAAGACAGACACTTGGCGACACATACACTGACACATCAATGCACGCACACTCACTTGGACACACAATGACTCAAACAGCTGTCTCTTTGAGTCAATACAGGTGCCTCTAAAAAAAAAAAAAAATAGGACCATTGCTATATACATGGAGATGACAAAAATAAAGACAAAAAGTTTGTTCGGTGGAAGTGTAGTTTACAGTAAAGACTGTTTGATCAACAGTAGCATGCAGCATGGTAGAGAAAAAGTGAAAGAAAAGTGTTCAGTTGAGGGAATTGTAGGGCAAACTGCAGAGTAAAGTGAATGGGGATGGTAGAGAGGGGAAGAGATGATGGGACAGCATTATATACAGTAGAAGAGTGGTGGTAGGTGCCATGACATGCAGAAAAAAATGACAGACAATAAAGAGGACAACCAAGAGGAAGGAAATGGAAAAGCATAGATGTCTATGGGGGAGAGGAGGATGGACAGAATGAGAAAGAGGAAGGACCTGTGAAGAACAAACAGAGTCCTGGTGAGAGCAGAGGGGGTAGCGGGTGGGGTGGGGTGGGGGTGGGGGGACCAGCGAGTCCATTCAGGCCGTACAGAGTTGCTTAGTAACTTCGATGGTGGGGTAAGCAGGCTGTGCTGAATAAAGGGCTTCTCTCTGTGCTGAATAGTGTGCCCACTCAAACATGCTGAGCTCTGCATTTTCTCCCCTTCGCTCGCTTGTTTCCCCCCGACCCCTCTGCACTCACACACACACGACACATCAATACACACTTACAGTACACATCCTGACAAACTAAGGCAGGAGTTGTTGGCTTTGTCACTGGGATTGGGTCACTTTACAAGCCCCTTACAGTGCACAAACACACACAAAAACACACATCATCATATATGTTATTTACCTGCCTATACACACAAATGTACATTTTAAGTGATTGTACAGTGACTATGTGCTTACGCAAACATTTTAGCTCTTCTGTGCTGATCAAATCCCTGTAGGAAAAACAGCACAAGACAAAAACCCTGAAAGGAATCTACAGCACCGCATTGAGCCTGAGAGGCTGCAAAAATAGACACACGTCACCATACACACAGCCATCAAGCAGACTGCAGCAAGTCAGATAGAAAAGACCAGCTTCCCTTTTGTATTAGGCTGCTCTGAAACAGGTCTGGGTCAGCTGCTAATCTTAGAATAAAGCAATGTCAGTCTCTGAGCATGAGTCAGATTAAGCAGTTTGAAACACTTTGGAGTATCTTTCATTGTCATTAATACAAGATTTGCACAGAGATTTTCAGACTCTCACCTGCCAGCCAGGTGTATATATGTACAGTCCCCTAATCTGTCATACTTCATCATTTAGACACACTTAGTTACATCTGTGTTCCACCAACCACACCTTCATATAGAAATGTACACAGCAGCTGTCTGTGTTTTCTCGCGGTCTGCCCGCTTCTCCTCTTCCTCTTTCCGTCTATCTCTTAATGCAAACAAACTGACCGCACTCTCATTTCCATCTCTGAATAACCTGCTGCAGTATCTTATCCTTGTTCAACTGCGGACTCTACCATTTCTCTCTATTTTCCACATACTACTTTTGGACTCTCTCTGTCCAGTAAGTAAAAACCTGGTTCCCTGGAGGTTGCATGTAGTAATGGATTCCTTGCTTTTTGTTTATGTTGTGTTCCCCTACCCGTCATTTGTTGTTGCCCGCGGCGCTGGGTTGCGTGGTAACATGTAGCCTCCGCTCCTTCAGTTCGGATAGGTCCAACACACTCAACCGGAGCTCGTTTGCACGAGACAGCATGATGATTGAAGAGATTCTGGCCCCTACGAAGGACACAGTAAGATCCATTTCTTGTTATCCTCATCATCCTGTTTTTCACCCTCTAAATCCAACCCTTTTTCTCTTTATCTCAGTGTTTGCCTTTTCTTTCCTTGGTATCTTTAGCTGTCTGTTTTTCAAGCTTAAACGGCTCTTCCTGGTACAGCTCTTATTTTCTTTTACACTTTTGTCCTCTGTCTTTCTGTCAACGGCCTGGTAAAAAACACAGGCTGGGTGGAATTAGGGTGGAGCAGGGAAGCTTTACTTGTCTAGCATAAAGGTCATAACAGAAACAGTGTTGATGCCTTGCTTGCTTTTGCTAAAATGCTGAGGGTGAGTGTATAGCACCTTGACGAAGAGTTTATCCTTTGCTTTCTCATGGAAAACTGCAGTACTCTGCACAGCTCACCGTGCCTGTCCAGCGCTTGTTTTGGTGGTCAGGAGGAAAAACAGAAACTGTAACCTCTTACTTTATAAACAATATTAGTAATATGACCTACAACTCCAAAGACACCATCACCCAAGATCTCAAACTCTACATGGTCAAAATATGCATTGTTTTGGTCTTCCTCTTTGTCTTATGCCAAAGAGCTTTCCATTAAATTGGTATTTTATCTGCCTGAAACCTTACATGAGCTCAATTTGTTTTTTTCTCCTTAGTGATTCTTTTCAGTGCTATCGTACTATAATCTGCCATATTTGGTAGATGCCATCTCAATTACTGTGACATCTGATACAGTGGGATTGTTTGAATTTAGATGCCTAAATCGTAGTACCATCTCATCCTCACAGAGATAAGGTTATGCTTTTTTTGGGTTGAAATTGAACCTTTAGTGAAACAAAGTGTGATTTTTGAACCGTCTCTCTTCTCCCCTAAGCTTCAGAGTGTCTGTAAAGACATTTCCTACTTGGTTGACCCACTGAATAAGGTATAAAGTGTTCATGGATGTCTGACCCATCCGTCAGTTTTGTTATTTTTCAGTCACAATGGTTCAGCTCCCATTTCTCCTGAGTTCTGGTCTTTGTATTGTGTTTGTTTTGGGTCTATGCCATTCTCATCTCATTCATTACTGCTGTTCTGTGTCTAGTGAATGGTCATTCCCATGCTTCTTTTAGAGAACAGAAGTTCCCATGAATCAGTGTTCACGTACATAATGATTTGATAAAAGCTGATTTCCAGTTTTGTAGTTTTTCAAGCATTATAATTGTGGCACATTATATTTGCATGTTTCAGTGTATTTCCACTGCAAAGTTATAGTAGCACATTTACTGTGTTTGTTGTTGTGAGACTTTGGGTAACAGTGACAAATGGTGTTGAAAGATGAGTCAAGAAGCTGTAAATGTTATAAGCCCATTGCTCCATAACATACATGTCTTGAGGACTATGAAAAAAGAAAAGATGATCAAAGTTACCAGTTATGTCCATGCAGTGATTATTAGCTCTCTTGTCTTCTTAGTGTACCTCATTCCTTCCATTCTCTATTTTTCTGGTTTCTATACTTCATTCTGTTTTGCTCGATTTATCTGCTACCGATCTTTGTCATCTCCTCCATCTCAACTCTTTCCCTTTTTATCCTCCTCGTTCCTCTCACCCATCCTTCACCTTCTTCTTTTTTCACCTTGATCTCTATCTGCCAATCCCCCAATGTTAAATCTCTTCTTCCTCCTCTCTTCACCTATGTCTTCTTCCAGCATCTGGCTGTGACGAGAGACTACAGCTCAGAGTGCATGCGGCGCTACAGCTGGACTCCAGACACCATGGACCACAGCCACAACACTGTGTCCAGCCCCATTCACTCTGGGTAAGAACAGTTGTACTGTCTCATCTGGTCTGTCAAGATTTACCAGCATACACACACAAACTCAATGCGTGTACTCAGGATACATATACTGCATGTACATCCATGTAACTATTGCAGGAGTCACACATTTTATATGCTTACTGCACAAATCTGTTGTATTGTCTTTTGTTCTCTCCCTAAGAGTCAATATTCTACAAGCCCTGCAGAACTGATGCAGACAAGGGGCAGGGCTGTGGGATTTCTGCAGTGCTGCTACTGTACACATACATTACAACAACTAAACAACACAGTCCATCCTCTAATGCTCTCATGTCATACCATAAGTCTAGAGACATGGTCCAGAAGTCACCCCCATGTTCATGAATATGCTCTACTTCTATCACCGCAGAAACAAAGCACAGGCTCTGTGTGAGCTCATGGCACAGTGGCTCATGTGTTTCATTTAGAAAACCTGATAAGATTTTGCTCTCATGTCATTCACATACTTTGAATATACAACGTTATAAAATGTTAAGTCTGATCTAAATAAATAAATGGTGCTGTCTTTGCACAGAGCTTAACTTTGTTGTTATACTCAGAAATGAAGTACCGGGATCTGTCATATCCACTTTTGGTTCTTTTTCTATTTTTGACTCATGATTACGCTTTGTGTGTTTGTCTGTCTATTTATGTATTATTTTATTCATTGTCATTTTGTCCTCAGTGTCTCTGATGTTTTCTGTTTCCCTTTATTTTTAACCTTCCTTTCATCTTCATTAGTTATTACAGATCCTGACAGTGATTGTGAAACTTTGATACTAAAACTAGGTTCTGGGGGTTTGCCTCCTGCATTGTCTCCATGTGTTTATTTTGCAGCTTCTCCTCCCCGCTCCCTCAGTATGACTCCAGGTGATGACTGAGTTTGCTGCTTTCACCCATGATGCCGCAGTGATGTCACTCACTCCTCCACCTCTGTCTCCCTCACATCTCGCCACTGTTTCTTCTCTTCTTAGCCTCCCTCCAGTCTGTGCTCGTCTCATCCGTGTGGTCTGGTGTTTCATTTGCACTGCCTAGACGTTAGAAGTGTATAGTCAACGTGTTTTTGGAGTTTGACATGCCATCTCTGTCTCTCTCACACAGTTCCTTTCTCACAGTGCACATTAAGAATAAAACCTTACAGCGATTCTGCTATTTACAGTATAGAGAAAAGCAACTATACGGTACATAACACAACAATCGTAGTGAAAAGAAGGGCACTCCCCACACCATCCTCACTCTTTTCTTGTGTCAGTGATTATACTAATGGGATGCCAAAAACGTGCTCTTGATTTGAAGAATGGGGCACATTACATATTAATCACATTAACCCTATCTTGGTGAAACATCTGTGCAGGTGTTTAATATTTGATCACTGAATGCTGCTTTAGAGGAACTGAAACTTTGGCAACCATCTCACCTTTAGCCTCAGAACTGGAAACTAAACTTTCTGCACCTTATTAGCACCCTGTTTAGTTTCATTGTTTAATGTTCTAAATGGAGGCATGTGAAGGTGAGAACTTCCAACTTTCAGAACTCAAAGCACCTTTTTTTTCTTCTTCTTTCTATCATTCTGTCTCTTGCTCTTTCTCTATTTTTGTCATTTTCTCTCTTTCCCTTACTTTGTTTGGGTGTACGGTGATCACAGCATGGGAATCGTCCTCCTCACTTGTGTCCGTGGTATGGCTTCTGTCTATCTTTCTCTCTGTCTGTGTTTTGTTCCTCCTGTAACATTGTTCTTTTTCATCTTGCAGGTTCTTGGTCAGCTTCATGGTGGACGCCCGTGGCGGCTCCATGAGAGGCAGCCGCCACAATGGCATGCGCATCATCATCCCTCCCAGGAAGTGCACAGCGCCCACACGCATCACCTGTCGCCTGGCCAAAAGGCACAAGCTGGCCTACCCCCCTCCCATGGTGGAGGGAGAGGGTCTGGTCAGCCGGCTGGTGGAGGTCGGTCCAGCCGGGGCTCAGTTCCTCGGGTAGGTCGCGTGGCGCTTTCTCTCTCCTGTGTTGATGAGTTGCTGTTTTATGGCCACTTACAAATCAAAGGGGATATTTCCTAATATCTACTTAAAGGATCATGACTCTCAGCTGTTCTGACTGGTTTATTGTGCTCTCTTTTCTCTTTCAGTCCTGTTATTGTGGAGATCCCTCATTTTGGTTCCATGCGGGGGAAAGAGAGGGAGCTGATCGTGTTGAGGAGTGACAATGGTGATACATGGAAGGAGCACCAGTCTGACGCCAGACCAGAGGACCTTGTTGACCTGCTCACTGGGATGGATGAAGGTAAAGGAAAGCTTATTCAGTACAGCCCAACTTTAATCAAGAAGACTGCAATAACAGTTTGTTAGTCCACAGTATGACTGAATGGGTGAAGGTGAACTGAACTCATTAGGAAAACTTATACTACATAACCCAGGGCTATGTCAGCTGGTGACCTAGATAATTTGATTTTCACTCCAGAAGTTTTTTTTTAAATTTTTTTATTCAATCTGTTTAGCCTATTTAGTGTCCTTTTTCGTAGTGACACTGACCAAAATGCCATGTCTAACATTTAAATGCATTTAAAGTCCGACTTCTTAGGAAAATGACAACACCCATTAAATGTTTCATAAAAATACATTTATAAAGAACTATTTTCTGTCACAGAGCTGGACAGCCCTGCTGAGTTGGAGAAGAAGCGTATTTGCCGCATTGTCACCAGAGATTTTCCTCAGTATTTTGCTGTGGTGTCACGGATAAAGCAGGAGTCTAACCACATGGGTCCTGATGGAGGCATGCTGTCCAGCACCACTGTGCCCATGGTCCAGGCATCATTCCCACAGGGGGCGCTCACCAAGAGGATTCGTGTTGGCCTGCAGGTACAGCAAGACTCCTTTGATCAGCTCATATTGAATGTTTCATGACTTGGCTTTTTTTGATGCAAATACTGTCCACAGGCGTATTATATATTAATACCTGACCTAGTTTTGGTTGAATATATGATTCTGTCTGACACGCCTGGCCCAATTATTTCAATAGAAAGTTCAGGAAAGGTTTTAAGCGAGCATTTCTCAAAATTTAATCAACAAACGTTGGGTCTGCGTCTTTGCACTTTACACATTTTTGTCATCCTGCATTCCTGTCTAGGCCCAGCCTGTACCAGATGACATGGTGAGGGCAGTCCTTGGTAACAGAGCCACCTTCAGCCCCATCGTCACTGTAGAGCCCAGGAGGAGGAAGTTCCACAAGCCGATCACAATGACGATCCCCGTTCCACCTAGATCGGCAGAAGGCCATCCCAGTGGCCACCGAGGCGACTCTGCACCCTGCCTACGTTTGCTGTGCAGCATCACAGGCAAGTCGACCTGCAGATGACTAGAGCATGAAAAATTGTAGGGGTACCTCCATCCAAAATGCCTCTCCAGGGCTAGCTTTGAGTTTAGTCTTACAGTCACTGTATGCTTAGATGATAATCAATGTTATTTATGACACCAGACATAGTTGTTCATCCATTTATTATACATGAAACAGAGTCAGTGACTCAGAATCACTATGAATTGAATAGCAGTTGGCACATCAGGGCTACTTTGATGTCAAAGGCCACTCGTCGATAGAGGGAGATGAAGAACTGAGAAGATAAAAGGATAAGGATTATGAAAGCCAAAAACCTGGCTCTGGTGGAAAGGCAGTGAGCTCATCTTTTGCCCCGTTTCATACAGGAGGGACGTCCCCTGCCCAGTGGGAGGACATCACAGGGACCACACCACTGTCCTTTGTAACCGACTGTGTCTCCTTCACCACAAATGTGTCGGCCAGGTGAGACGCACACATATACATATACACATAGTGCACAAACATACTACATGCACGTAGCAGACCCCAGTTGGATATAATAAATACACATAGTCAACCACAGCTGGAGATAATAAGTATTTTGAATGCCACATAATTAAATAACTTGTTGATTTTTTTAAGCCAATTTCCAAATTGCAGTAAATATGAAATATTAATACAAGAACATACTATAAATTAAAATGGGGGAAATTTTCATACATATAGATATAGATCTATAGATCTATATATACACACAGTTTTCTGTCATTTTTATGGACCAAAGGATTAATTGTGAAAATAATTTACACATAAATCGATAAAAAATAAATGTTAGTTGCAGCTCTGTCCTACTACCTATCACTGCCAGAAGACATCTCAGCAGGTGCAGTGCAGTACCATGAATCGTGAGTTGGCAGTGAATCCTAAAATCTATCACAAGGGAAAATCTGCCACTTAAATCCACAGCCGTTTATTCTCCTGACTTCAGCATCTCTTTTCCCATTCCTCTTTCTTTCACTACACGCATAAAGAAAGCGAGTTCCCCTCTTGTTTGACTCTACATGTTATTGGCTAAATAACATAACAACTGATTTATTGAGTTGATTAAATGATTTGGCATTAGATAGTTTTTCTCCTCCTGATCTTGTCTTTAGTATTTAGATATACATTTTTCTCTGTGGCCCTGTATACTAACAGGGTTACAGCTCCATACACATTTACCCAAGTGGTAAAATGTCATGTCAGCAATATATTGTTGAGGCATGCCTAGCTATAAGACTGCTAAGCTGACCTCAGCCAGTGATCCTCCTATTATCTTAACTAGATTGGGATCATGTGGCGAGGATGCAGCTTTATATTAACAAAGCGCCCTTTGTTGATTTTTACACAGCTGTCATGTGTCTGTGTTGACCCTTCAGAGACATGACCCAGCTGGTTTGATTTACTATGTAAATGATTGATTATTGCACTTACACAACAGTGTTGCAGCACGATGAAAGGTTTGATACAAAAATGGCTTAAATATGCAGTGCAGAGTTTCAAATTCCTCTCCTCTCCTCTCCTGTCCTCTCCTCTCTCCTCTGATCTCTCCTCCACAGGTTCTGGCTCGCAGACTGTCACCAGATTCCTGAGACGGTGAGTCTAGCGTCTCAGTTATACCGGGAACTGATCTGCGTGCCGTACCTGGCCAAGTTTGTGGTGTTCGCCAAGATGAACGACGCTGTTGAGGCTCGGCTGCGCTGCTTCTGCATGACAGACGACAAGGTGGACAAGACCCTTGAGCAGCAGGAGAACTTTGAGGAAGTGGCGCGGAGCAAGGATATTGAGGTGGGGTTGTGTGTTCATGTAGACTTGCAAACACTGTACTGCAGTAAGAGAGTCTCAAAAAGAACAAATAGACAAATTTATAAATCTACGATATGTTATTGAAATGCAATTCATCAACCTCATCTGAAGAATGTGTTTAAGCCGTGATACTCCATTTTTGGTCAATGCACTTCTGCAGGTTCTCGAGGGCAAGCCTATCCATGTGGACTGCTATGGCAACCTGTCCCCTCTCACCAAAAGTGGCCAGCAGTTGGTTTTTAACTTCTACTCCTTCAAGGAAAACAGACTTCCTTTCAATGTGAAGGTATAACATTTATCCCTCCTATCACCCTTTCTCTCTGCCAGCATTTACTGTGCATGTTCTGAGCTAATTTGTAAATGTGCCTTGCTGATTAAATCATGTCAGAAATGATCATCCTCTCCTAATTAGCTGACATTCATAACAATAACAGTTTTATTTTTGCTGTGACTGATGCATTGTTCCAGGAAAATTTAAATGACACAGTGTCACACTGAAAGTTTCCCACAGATCAGAAGTACATGCTGTTAATTTTGTGATTTTTTTTTATTCTTTTTTGGTAATTTTTGTCCTCCTGCCAACTGACAAATGAAATGCATTCTCCCTGTTAAATCTTTACATCTATATACTGTATGACAGTTTCCAATTTATGAAAGTGCAATAGGTTGAAGTAGAAAAAAATACAGAAATTTTAAATTCTGCAGGGTTGTTCTTGAAATTGTTTGTACAGTCAACTCATGATCTTTTGGCTATCTTCTACAGATCAGAGACATGGGCCAGGAGCCATGTGGCCGCCTCTCCTTCCTGAGAGAGCCAAAATCCACTAAAGGCCTTCCACAGACTGCCATATGCAATTTGAATATCACACTGCCAACCCACAAGAAGGTAGGATCACCATGTTTGAATAGGTCATCCTTATAGGCCATATCATATCATCTACATGTAAATTACATTCAAGAAACAGGAAGCAGTGTTGTCCTGACATCAAGAGGAGCCACTGAAGTTCATTTGGTCTAAAAGTGACTGCCTGCTGCTTGTGTCTTTTATAAGTGTTAAAGCCTGTGCCAGTCATAAGACCCCACAACGTACACATGCAGCCACACATGCACATCGTGCTTTGTTGTATTGCCTGGCTCACTGTGGGTACATAAGAATTATGCAAAAAAAAAAACACTTCTGATTTGTTTGTTGTGGTGTTGATTGATCACAAGAAACTGTAATTATTTTGCTTCTGCTTTTGTTATTTTGCTGTTTATTTTTTTATTAATCTCATAGATTTTTTCTGATGGCTTTTGTTGTTTTTGCTGCTCCATTTTCATCCCCTGAATTTTATTTCCACCGCCCTGCTCACTATAACTTCCCTGCTCTCCATTGTGTCATCTCTCTCCTCTCCTGCAATGCATCTTGGAATACCACAGGATATGGAGTCTGATCCTGATGATGAGGTAAACAGATTCTTCATCATCACATGGAACTGCTTCTTCTTTGTCGTCCTTTCTGTTTGCTATACTGCAGATGCTGAAGTAAATATGCGCGTTGCAAATATTTTGTCTCTGTACAGCACCTGCGTGTGAAAGATGCTTCTGACTGCACGTTTTTTACACAGCTACATCATTGCTGAAGTGACCCCATGTAGTGCATGAGTGGAAATGGCAATTGTTTTAATCAGCAAGGATTTATTTATTGTTGTCTTCATCTCAAGTCCAGTGGAGCCAATTACTGTGCCACACCTCGGCTTGTTTTTCATCTCTATCTTCCTTTACATACATACTCAGCAGGAAATCACCATATCTCCATCCTTCCTATTAACCAGAGCGTTTCATACAGGACTATGGTATCTCTTGGAAGCTAAAGATGAAACTCTAACTCTTATCATTTGTCCACTTAGTCATTGTTTTGTTGTATTTGGGGTTTCCCTTCCTCACTCTTGTCCATGGCTTGTGTGTTACAGAGAATACTAACACTCTGAGCTGCATGCCAAAACATTTACAAGTTAGTTTAATCAAAGGGAGATAAGGCTGTTTTTATCTTTGAGTATTTACATTATAAGTAGTGACCATGTGTGTTATATTCTTTCTACATAAATATATTAATCCACTGGTCAGACAGACTGTTGACATTGGGCAATTCAGCAACCAGAGTATTAAATCCAGATTTTGTTCAATGGCAGAATTTTTAATGTTCAGTGCCAACATAAAAAAAGTATTCCAACCATAACCACACATTGCAACTACAGTTAGGCAAATGACATGCTTAAGGTTTCCAAAAGACTGTAGTGATCGTCTGAAAGGGACACACACAAAGCACACAAACTACTGGCAACAACAACAGACCAACATTCATCATGACAACCTACAATCTACACCATTGCTTTCACTTTGTTACATAATGGGCACTCTTATTATCTACACAGGCACTGAATGTTGGCATATACTGTAAGTCATGAAATGCAGAATTGTCCAATAGGAACATAATTCCTGCAGACTGGACTGAATATGTGTCACTGTCCTAAAATTGAAATTGACACAACTGCTACTATTTTTGTCATTTTAATAAGGTGTACCATATCACCACATTTGATGATGATCTGAGGAAGTCATCTTCATGATAACAGGACATTTGTTTAACTAGCTAGTGTACATAAGTGGAAGTTGAATTTTGCCCATGCTTACTACTTACTGTAGCAAGCAATACAGAAAAAACACATATTGTTTGTAGTTATTTCATTGCAGTGACATTGAGAAATGCAATGAGTGAAGAGATGTAGAGAAACAGTCCGTTACTCTCCAGAGGAGACACTACAGTACACCTGCAGTGCCTCCTTGTGACAGTACTAACAGCATGTACTGATTCACTAAAAGCAGGACACTATCCATGCAATACAGTATCTATCAGTTAACAAGTTAACCTTAACCCTAACCCTAACAAGATTATTTAGACCTAATTCTGAGAGATTAGAGCTACATTTCACCATATTTTTTATGTTAAAGCATCTTTTGTTCTTTTTTGTTTGTTTCAGACTGAAAAGCCAGAACGACGTCATACCTTTGCCTCCTTAGCTTTGCGTAAGCGCTACAGCTATTTGACCGACCCAGCAGCGAGTGAGTTTCCCATTTTTACTTTCATGAACATTTCAATTGATTTTCGATATTTACATAATTTTAATCACTTTTAGTGTCTAAAGGTCCCTTAGTATAGAACGAGTTCTGACAAGACATGTTCATCAATCATTTATTCACTTCACCTTACACATACTCTTTGATCATTTGTCATTCATCAAACATTTGCATGGTTTACTGTGTGTTACGCTTTGCTTACCCACCCCATGTTGACAAAAAAGTGTTACTGTTACGTTATTTTACATTTGTGAAAACACTGGGAATCAATGTCTGTCTGTTCATTTATCATTTGAACAAAAAATGTTTCAATTCATGTTGAATAAAAATATTTTTTTGAATTGTTCTCATTCTTTTAGTGGCCATTTCACTCTTATTGGCTTTATGATTGTGTGCGGCTGTGTATATTAATGTGGTAACAGGTTGCACTTTATAGTTGATTTCCCCTACATTGAGACTATGTTAGAGTGAGCATTTTGCTATTTACAAAATGTTGACCATTATATATTTTTGGTACAGTTTTCATACTGCACTTTGTATTATCAGGACACAGAAGTTGTGCAAATTTTGCAGTACTGTCTGTGTTTTGTTTTATTATTCCAGCCTTGTCCATCTGAATCTTACATGAAAACAATCATGTTGTTGACAATTGAACTATGATGACTAATTTCTTGTAAAGTGCAACCTCATATTTTATTTTATGACCAACAAGTAAAGTGGTCATTTTTAATGGTATACATTCGTGGGGTCATCTCTGGCATTGGAAATGAACTAAATGAAAGCAAAAACACATGTCAATAAAACATGTATAGTAAAAGGCACTGTTGCAAGGAGGCAAATAGATTACAATAGAATAGAACACATCAAAAGTCAATGGAATTTTTTTTTGGTTTTCATGTCATTTTCTGTCACATTTATCATATGTCAAGCATTTTTTGTTCCTATACACACTCCATTCTTTTATCAGGTATATTTTGCCATTAGTCACTGATTTTAGACCATCACTTTCCATATCATTCTGGATTTTTGAACAAGGGCCTGTCCTGCATTTCATTTTGACAAAAAGTCTCCCTGTTTCAACTGTTATGTTATTTTAAACTTCTGTCTTGCTGCTGTGAATAATGCTGTTTCTGACTGACTCAAATTTCTCTTTCTGGTTTTTATGTTTTATTTTAAATTATTTTACGTTACATTTTATGTTTACTTCCTTATTGCTTTTGGTTTAAATTATTGTTGAAGAAACAACTGATCGAAGCTCGCCGAGAACACAGCCTTCTAGCTACCCTCACAAACCTGTCTTTTCAACGAGATCTTATCAGGCGTGGTCGCCTGTTCCTGTCGCCGTCCCTGGCCAAGCCAAGTCTGGGTTTGGCTCCCTCTCCAGTTCATCATCCAACACACCCTCTGCCTCTCCATTAAAGTCTGTCTGGTCCATCAACTCTGCCTCCCCAATCAAGACCAACATCCCTGGATCACCTGCCTCCTCTGTTAAGTCAGTTAGTGACATGGCCTCTCCCATCAGATCTTACAGAACCATCTCCTCTCCTATAAAAACTGTAGTCCAACAAGCCCAGTACCCAACCCAGGTGTCCCCAAGTCCATTGGCCTCACCAGGGAAAAGTGCCCCAGACCCTATATCTATGAAAGGACTGGCTGCATTATCTGCTAGGACCTCTCCAATAACAGTCTCTGGAGGAGGAAACACTCTTCTTGAGAGAACATCTATAGGCATGACCCCACCAACCTCTCCCAAGTCTTCTCTGAGTATGTTCAGTTCACCCCTACCATACAAGACTGTTATGGGGGGCTCTAGTGGCACAGCATCTTCCTCCTCACCCATAAAAACAGTCCCTGGTCTCTCCTCTGTGCGTTCCTTTGCTTCAGATGTCACTGGCCCTGCAAGAAACCTGTTCTCATCTCTTTCTTCACCACTTAAATCCAACCCCTCTCCAAGTGCTGCAGCTCTGATCAATGGAACTGTGTCACCTACACAGTACCGCTCTTCATCCCCAACATCTCTTCTCACCAGCAGTCTGCAAGAAAGAATACAAGCAACCACCAATGCTGCAACTACAAGTGTCAATGCAGCCTTTGATGAGGTTGAAAAAACATTTAATTCTTGTTCTGCAGGCTATGGCACCTTGAAGTCCTTGTCCTCTTCTGCATCCTCCTCATATCAGTCCATGAGATCTTCAGCTTCTAGTTCCCTTTATGCCTCTCTAAGAACCCCTCCAAATGCCACCACTGCTGTAACGTCCAGTACAATGACTGTTCCAGTGTACTCCGTTATTAATGTCCTGCCAGAGCCCCAGTTTAAAAAGTTACCTGAGGTGTCCAAGTCAGCTGCTGCCCTCCTGTCCCCGCGGAAAACTGTGTCGGCTGAGGTGAATGCTCAGTTGCAGTCTTCCTTTGCTAGAACTCTTTCCCCCATCAAAGCCCCTCTTTTTTCTGCTGGCATGAAATCAAACACCACATCACCACTGTCATCCAGCCAAGAGATTCTGAAGGATGTAGCTGAAATGAAAGAGGACTTGATACGAATGTCAGCCATTTTGCAGACAGACCCAAATTCCACAGCCAATAAAGGATTTCAGTCTGATTCTCCCAAAGAGGCTAAGATAGAGGACGAAGAGCCGTATAGGATTGTGGAGAAAGTAAAACAAGATTTGGTAAAAGTGAGCGAAATCCTTACTAAAGATGCTGTGAAGGATGGTAGGGTTTCTCTGGCAAGGGGTTCTTTGGATGACATACACTTCTCAAAAGTACAAGTTGAACAACCACCAAGCAACTGGAGCTATCCGCCAAGATATGAGACTGTGGTTCCTCAAACAAAATCAAAAACAATACCAGATAGAGATTTCAATCTCTCCAAAGTGGTTGACTACCTGGCCAATGATGTTGGTAGCAGCTCTTTCTCCAAAATGCATGACACAAAGCATAAAGCAGATGAGGGCAAGAGAGAAGGAGAGGGCAAGGAGAAACAGAAACGTGTCCTAAAACCCACCATAGCAGTTCAAGAGCATAAGCTCAAAATGCCTCCAACAAACATGCGCTCTTCAGCTTCAGACAAAGAGATCAGTAAAGTAGCAGATGCGCTTTTTGGAGCAGACACTGTGCTTGAATCCCCTGATGATATCTCACATGAACAGGATAAAAGCCCCCTCTCAGACAGTGGCTTTGAGACCAGGAGTGAAAGGACACCCTCTGCCCCTCAGAGTGCAGAAGGCATGGGTCCCAAGGCCCTATTTCAGGATATCCCAGTTCCACCAGTGATCACTGAGACTAGGACTGAGGTTGTCCATGTCATCAGGAGCTATGAGGCCCCAGAGGATAACAAACAACTTGCAATGGAGGATGCACATCCTGTCAGATATATTGACTCGGATTCTAAAGGGCATCTCAATCAAGCTACATCAACTCCAGAGCAGAATAAATGCTATTCAATAAAAGTCAGCCCTGATGAGGATCCAATTGGAAAAGGGATGAGAGTAAAGGAGGAGACTCACATCACTACCACCACCAGGATGGTGTACCACAAACCACCTGGCAAAGAAGCTGCATCTGAGAGGTGTGAGGAAACTATGTCTGTGCATGACATAATGAAGGCTTTTCAGTCAGGCAAGGACCCATCTAGAGAGCTGGCTGGACTGTTTGAACACAAGTCTGGCAATGAGGAAACATCACAAAGAGTTCTTGAGGACATCAACTCCAAACCTAAAGTTGAAAGAATAATTGAGGTTCATATTGAAAAAGGAAATAAAACAGAACCAACAGAGGTCATCATCAGAGAGACAAAAAACCATGCAGAGAAGGAAATGTATTACTACCCAGGGAATAGACATGAAGAGGAGGAGCCTGAGGAATCACTTCCAGTGTACCTTGACTCCCCCAGAGTGAACACACCCATGTCACAAGAGGAAGACAGTCGCCCTAGTTCAGCGCAGCTCATGGCAGATGACTCTTACAAAACTCTAAAGCTACTTAGCCAGCAATCTGTAGAGTACAATGAAGATGAATCGTCAGAGCTTAGGGGAGAATCTTATAATTTTGCCGAGAAAATGCTACTCTCTGAGAAATTTGACCAGTCTCATTCTGACACAGAGGAATATCTGAGAGATAGGTCTCGTTTCCACTCACCAGACAGAAGCAGTCATAGTGAGGGTAGATCAGTTGGGCCAAGGACAGAGTATGTCTTCAGGTCGCCGAGAAATGTGTTTGACAAATCTGGAAGAATGGCCAGTGCTGATGATAACTTTGACAAATTGACACTTTTGCAGTATTCTTCTGAACCTGGTAGCCCAAAGCAATCTGTTTGGATGCGTGTGTCAGATGACACACAGAGTAAGGAGAGAGAACAGCTTATGTATGAGGACAGAGTGGACAGGACTGTAAAGGAGGCAGAGGAAAAACTCAGTGAGGTTTCTCAGTTTTTTCGTGACAAAACAGAACAGCTCAACGATGAGCTCTCATCTCCAGAGAAGAAATCTCGCAGACCAGACTTCAGAGAATCACGATCAGGGCCGAGCTCTACACATAGCAGTCCAGAGAGGTCAGCCTACAGGAATGGGGGCAGTGGGGAAGAGTGGACCAGAGAGAGGCTTAGAGACAGGTTCAGCTCGAATGATAGGAAATGTGCCAGCTTACCCAGCAGTCCAGAGAGGAGAGTACTGCTGCAGTACAGTGAATCCGACCCAAGAAAACAAGGAGATGGTAAATCACAGGGAAGCACAGGTGAAGGCTCTAAACCATTTCAAATGTCTTCCTCTAAAGTGAGTGCAGTAAGGCTAAAGTTTGAGCAAGAGGCTCAGAGGCAAGATAGGAGTCCTCAGGGTGGCCAAAACTCAAATCCTCCTATTAGGAAACTCCAGGAAAGTAAATTACCTGTGTATCAGGTGTTTGCTGGTTCAAATGTTCCAAAAACACCAGACAGTCCAGGAAACCAGAGGAGATGTCTAGATAGTGAATCAAGTAAGTTCTCACCCAAGCATGAGACCAGTGGAAAAGATCAGGAGGAGAAAAAGTTATTCAAAACTTGGGAGAGTCAAGGGTATGGGAGCTATAAACCCCAATCTCCCAAACTATCTCATTCTTTAATCCATGATTCTATGAAAGATGGCAATAATAGTGATTCCCAAAGACAAGAAACAACCAAGAAAATAATCTACACAGAATTTGTTGTTCGCGAAAGCCCGAATAGCAATGATAGTCTAAAAAAAAACTCGGAATCACAAATTCCTGTTAAAAAGCCATCTAATTTCTCAGAAAATCATAAATCCACCTCTCTAAAATTAGATGCCTCTGTTGAACCATATGAGAAGGTAGGGTCTCATATTCCTACTCTAGCTAGTAATCGGTTACACAGTAGCTCTGAATCCAACAAGTCTACTCGTGGATCATCAGTAGAAAAATCCACAGACTCATCAGATGGTAGCCAGTCAAACATAGTATGTAATGGTGTTGACCAAGTAGAGTATTTGGAGCAAGTAACTCCTGTAGTTGTCACGGAGGGTTTCAAAGATATTAAACCCTTACCTGTGTATGTTAGCATCCAAGTAGGAAAGCAGTATGAGAAAGAAACAGCCTCGGGGCAGCTGGGAACATACAAAAAGATAGTAAGCCATGAGAGTAGGACAGTGCATGAAACTAGGGGTGCATTTTACACTGTCAAACAAAAACAGTCTCCATCTCCTCAAGGAAGTCCGGAAGATGACACTCTAGAACAAGTGACTTTCATGGACAGCTCTGGGAAAAGTCCTGTAACCCCTGAGGCCCCCAGCTCAGAGGAAATGAGTCTGACCTCAAGAACACCAGACTCTGTAATAGGCTTCATGCCAGGCATGCCAAGCCCTATCCCAGAGGAGTCTGAGGAGGAAGAAGGAAAGACCTTCATCTACAAGGAGCCCTTGAAGGAAAAATCTAAACCAGCTTCCTCAGAGAATCACAGTAGAAAACAGGATACAGAGAGACAGAAGTCAAAGGAGAAAAGAGTTGCTTATATAGAGTTTCCACCTCCTCCTCCTTTAGAGACAGAGCAGTCTGACCCTGAGAAAAGGGGGTCGTGTGCCTCTTCTGAGGCAGAGACAGAGATGATGGAGGTGAACCTCCAAGAGGAACATGATAGGCACCTCTTAGCTGAGCCAATCATCAGGGTACAGCCTCCATCCCCTATACCCCCTGGAGCTGATAACAGCGATTCAAGTGATGATGAGTCTGTCTTCCATCCCATCCCCATCAAAAGGTACACCTTCAAAATGAAAGAGGAGGGGGATAAACGCCCAAAACACAAACGAACAGAGAAAAACGGAAATAATAAGGAGTCTGGGATCAATGGTGTAGTAAAGGGGGAGGATGCTGACTTTGAACAAAATGGCAATGACCAGTCAATCACTGACTGCTCTATAGCAACCACTGCTGAGTTCTCCCATGACACAGATGCAACTGAAATAGACTCTTTGGACGGGTATGACCTTCAGGATGAGGATGATGGACTGAGTGAGGATCCTAAAACATCCAGTCTGTCTAATGATGGAAAAACAACTGACCGCTCATTTAGTCAGTCTAAGCTTGAAGTGATAGAGGAAGAGAAATGTGAAGAAGTGGGGGATAATGGAAAGTCTAAAACCAGCACATCTTCAGCAAAAAGCAGTGGAGATGAAAAGGATTATACCCTAGAAGGAAGACATCCAGATAGGCAGGGCTTTGGAGAAAACTACTTTGCCTACCAACTTGAAGAGGAGCTGAATTCAACCTTCAAAACTGTTGCTACTAAAGGCCTGGACTTTGACCCCTGGTCCACCAAAGGGGGTGATAATGATGGAGTTTTTGAGCCCAAATCAAAAGAGGAGGATCCCAAGCCCTTTGGTTTATCGGTGGAGGACAAATCACAGGCTACAACACCTGACACAACTCCCGCTCGAACACCGACTGATGAGAGCACACCGACTAGTGAGCCTAACCCCTTCCCTTTCCATGAAGGGAAGATGTTTGAGATGACCCGCAGTGGTGCTATTGACATGAGCAAGCGGGACTTTGTTGAAGAGAGGCTTCAGTTTTTCCAGATTGGTGAGCATTCCTCTGACCCTAAAACAGGGGAAAAGGGGAGAGGGGGCAAGATCCTGGGGGTAATTTCCTCTCAGTCAAAAACAGGGGAGAGGGCCACAGTAGATGGGAATGTGAAGGTTATAGATACTACCACAGACAGCAGCACTACACCAACAACACCAGCAGCAACAACAGCAAAATGCAGCTCTGCGCAGCCTGGCAGTGACACTGGCTATACCAGTACTGATGCTCCCTCCTGTGAAGCCATAGCTGAGACCGCCTCGTCATGTACAATCACAGCCTCTAAGGTTGATCCCAAATTACGCACTCCTATTAAGATGGGCATAGCTGCCTCTATAACTGTGAAAAAAGACTCAGGGGATCTCACAGATTGTAAAACTGAGATGTCAGAGGGTCAGATGGTGCCAGAATACATCAGTATAGAGGGTCAGTGTACAGAGAGTCAGTCTAGCAGACACACTGAGTCCAAGTTAGAGAGTAGAGATTATCCTTCTGAAAACTGCAACAACAACAACAACCTCGAGTCCTCAAGTGTTCAGGCCAACTACATTCAATGTGGTAGTGTGGTGTTTAATTTGCAGTCCTCCTCTGAGCCCACTCTTCAAAAAGCTAGCAGGATAGAAACACTGTGTTGTAGGGATTTAGAAGAGAGGGTGGATTTACACAGCAGCAATCAGGTGCAGGACCAGAAAAGTGAAACAGTTAAAGAAAGTGAAGTGAAGCAGCCGAGGTCAAGGCTTCCAGTTAAAGCATCAGGGTGGTCATTTCACACACAGGGAACTGCCATTGGCAAACAGAAGCCCAAACAAGCAGTAACGGTTGAGGTCAGGAAAAGGGGAGAGCCAGCCATAGCCAAAGTAGAGCCCAGGTCTAGAATACCAATCAAGGATGTTAAAAAGAGCAGCCCCACTGCTGCAGCTAGCTCACTTGTTTCAGTTCGGGTTACCTCACAGCCAACAAGGGCATTGGACTCAGAGAGAACAGCCATACAATTGCCCTCAAGGCTCCCACTGAAGGACAGGCATCAGGTCAGCAATGTCACAAATGAGGGAGCATGTAGACAGGACAGGCAGGAAAACCCTAGTGAAATTTGTAAGCGCACCATCGAGTACTTTAAAGACATTAGCGGGGAGACGCTAAAGTTGGTGGACCGCCTGTCAGACGAAGAGAAAAAGACGCAGACAGAGCAGTCGGAGGAAGACAGCACCTCCCGGAGCACCTCTCTGTCGGACGCCTCCCAGCCTTCCCAGCCCTCCCAGCCCTCCCAGCCCTCCCGCTCATCCAGGTCTGGTAGAGGTTCGAGGGCTGAGGCCGGGGCCGCGTCCGTAAGGGCAAAGGTGGCGACGACGGACAGGGCCTCCGGCAGTGAGAGGAGCAGGAGGAGTAGGCGGACTGGTGGGAAGGAGGGCAGTCAGGGACTCACAGGGTCTCGAACGCCTCCCATCGCGGAGATCAAGCCTAGTTTGTAAAACTTTCACACTATGTTTAAAATACATCTATATATTTATATATTTCACTTTTAGTTGCATGACATCGTTGTGATCGTTTAATGGATTGACTGGAATGCCTGTGGCGTGTTTACATATTCTCTTCAGAACAGTAGCTGTCATTTAAATTTCTTTTTTTGTCATTGATGTACTGTGTACTGTATTGTCCTTGTTGCAAGATTCTCTTTCCTCTGTTCCCCTCTTTCAACCCTTTTTAACCCCCGTTTGGTAGCGTGAGCATGCCAGTAGTAGTGACTGGTCCACTGGCACAACCAGTCCCTTGTTTGACAACTTCCTGGTCTGTCTGTCTGTCTGTCTGTGCGGGGTGGCTACTGAGTTATTGTAGTAGTTTGTTCTTACAGAATTTTTCATGTTTTCAATTGTCATTTAAACTAACTAGTGTTGGCAAAGAACACACAAAAAGCGTCTTCGCATGTCAGCATTTTAGATTCTAACATAGACCTTTCCACCCTAGATTTGTAGAACTACGAGTCTGTTGTTGAGAGTCATGTTATGCTTTGTTTTGTGTGGTTCTCATGACAGTTACTGCTTGCTCAGAGGATACATACCACAAACAGTCACAGAACACCACTTAATCTATGAACATATTTAAGTTGCCCATAATGTCTCTAGTGTGAAATATCCTTTTCTTGCCATCCTGTGAGAGTAATTGAACCTAGATTACAGCTATATTACAGTGATATGCTCACTATTGTAATTTAATTATTTTGAACACTACATTGATTGATGTTGTTAATTCTGATGCATAAGTGGCCAGAAAAGGAAAAATATGTACATGTTTATTTTTCTCTTAGATTAGTATCTAGGGGAAGAGGAATGTGAACGGTATTGATAAGTCATTATCCTCTTTCTTCCCAGGTCCCCAAAGTCCTTGTGAGCGGACGGACTTGCGCATGGCCATCGTTGCAGATCACCTGGGACTCAGTTGGACAGGTGGGACACATTCTACATTACTCTAGCTCTCAGGTCCCTTTTACCTGAGTTGCTTTCTTTCTCATTCTCAAACCCTGGCATTTACTGCCATCTTCAGGCTAACGGAATATCCTACAAAGGATCATACTGTTAAATGTGGCCCTGAAAATGTCATGTCATTTAATGGGGACAAAAAAAAAAAAAAGTGGAATTTAAATTTAGTGATGAGGCAACTGAAGTTGAAACTGTTTTATAACAGGATTTTAATGATTTTGAAATACATATATTTATATTGTTATTTAACTTCTGTGTAATTTGTGTGTTTGCACTCTGAATAAAATGACAGACAATTAAATACTGTACATTAAAGTTAGAAGAGTTGCTATTCTTGTCCCATCACAGAGTTGGCCCGGGAGATGAACTTCACAGTGGATGAGATCAACCACATCAGACTAGAGAACCCCAACTCTCTGACAGCACAGAGCTTCATGCTACTTAAGAAATGGGTCAGTCGGGAAGGGAAAAACGCCACAAGTAAGACTATTTTTATATCTAAAAATGTTTTTTCTCCTCTCTTTCGATGTCTTTCGTCTGCTCTCTCTTTTCAGTCTTTCTGCTTTTGATTTACGGCAAAGAAAACTTCTAATGCTAGCTCACAAAATTGATGGTATTTTCACATGCATCTGTGTTGTCCATCTTAGTCTGAGTACTTTCCCTGCCTGTTTTCCTGTGTATCCTCTTCAGTCCCTTTCTGTCTGTCTTTTAATCACTCTCATCCCTTCCCTGTTCAGACATCAAACACCCAAATTTGCATATATTTTTTTTTTCCTTAGTAAACCATTGAGATAAGCAGTTTTGCTCAAATTTACAAACTTTGTTTCATAATTTTACAGAAAACTTAATTAAATTTTTTTGTCATCATCTTCTCTTCCACAGCGGATGCCTTAACTACAGTGCTGACCAAAGTCAATCGGATGGATATTGTGACTTTACTGGAGGGCCCAATATTTGACTATGGTAACATTTCAGGCACGAGATGTTTTGCCGATGATAACGCTGTTTTCCGGGATCAGGCTGATGGTAAAGTTTAGCTCTGTCTAGCTGACCTCTTACCTCTCCCTGCTACCATTTTTGTTGTGCCAATGCATGGATCACATGCAAATAGTCCTAGTGCAAATCTCTAGATAAACTGATTTACTGTCAGATTTGGATTTTGTTTGGACAACTGGCTCCTGCTGTTTCCCAAATGCATTCCTGATTTTCATATTTTACAGTTTATATGCCAATGAAATAATCATAGTATTCTACTTTAATGCACCTTGCTTTTTTTTTTAAATCAATCAATTTTAAATAAGTTTTAATAGCACTTGAACATACTGATGTGAATTGGCTTATATTTAATTAACCACCATTTTCATATTAATCAGGTCTTGCAGAGGGTGAATACCACTCTACAAATCACCATAGTGCATCCAGTTGTCACAAATGAGCAATATCCACTGTTAAAATCCCATTCTAAGTGCATGCTGCATACTTATTTAAATGTTTTTCAATTATGTCTGACTAGAAATATAATCTATAATCCTGTAGAGTCTGCTTTCCTTTCTGCATTTAGTTTAGTTCTCCTAGTTCTCCTCCAGTTCCTCTGAGCCTTCCTTGGATAGATGAGAGAATCTCTTCCTCTGTGAAACCAGACTGCCTCCTCCTCCTCTTCTTCCTCCTGCCTCCCATCACCTCCCCACAGCAGTATCCACTGCTGATAACAGCACATAACAGCTCTTAACAAGTTAAGAGTCATAGTTGCTGATATCTACATGTGCCCTCTCCTTATCCGTCCCTCACATGCCTCCTCCTCCACATATCCCTCATTCATGTTATTCATTCATTGTCTTGTTGTGCAAGCATGTTTCAAATTAAACCATGTTTCATGTGTTCTTTTTCCATCTTTCTCCAATGCACTTTTGTTCCTTTTCATCTCCTCTGCATGTCGTGCCTTATCCCTTTGCCATAGTTTGCGTTATTATCCCCTTAACCCCCCGAAGCAATGAAGCTGCCTTCATCTTGCAGACACCCAGCCCCCTCTTTCCAACACAGACCCCAACTCCCCCACCCACTCCCCTCTCACCTACTGTAGCACTTCACTGCCGTCCCTTTCCCCCACGCCGCTCTCCGAGTTATGAGTCCTCCATTTCGCTCAAAGACTTGGCACCTCCAGCGCCATTTGAACCACCAAGGTTCAACTTCCTTCCCCTTCCTTCCCCCATTCCTCAATGTCCCCCTGCTGACCCTCGTCAATCCCCTGCCTTCCCTTTCTCTCCCCACCCATCCTCCCCAATCCCCCTCATCACCTCACCTTTACCTTTGTCACCTGCTGCTAACTCTTCATCACCCATTCCTTCTTTAGCTACCTCTGTTCCATCCTCTCCCACCTCTGCCCCAACCTCCCCCACTTTCACCATTCCCACCCCAATCCCTGACCTATCGGAACCCATCACCAACCCCTCCTCACCCTTAGGTAGGGCTTCACCTTCTGTCACGGCCTCTCCAAGCAGAGAGTCTATAGTGATGCAGCTGGCCTCCTCCTCCCGCCCTGTCTCCCCTCTTTCCTTGTCTACTCTCCCTCCCGTCTCTCCCTCTGGGTCCCGATGTCCTAGCCCCAGTCCTTCCTCCCCTCCCCTCCGCTCCCTGTCCCCCTGTCCTGCTTGCCAGTGCACTTGTGCGCCCTCCATCCCTCCACCTCCCACTCGAACTCCCATTGACCCTTCCACAATGGAAATATTCATTTAGCATCCTCTGTCCTTTATCTTGCTCCTTCTCCTCCTCTATTCCTTCCCACATCTCTCATCTGTCAACTTATTCATGTGAGCATGTAACAGAACACCCTGGCAAATAATTAAGTAATATCCTGCATTCATAACATCCCACGCTACATGATTAATATGGCCTTATGTCTCTAATGCTCTGCCACTTTTGACGTCTTACCTCACCACAGCTGTTGAATGAACACTCACTAAAAATCAGAAACATTACTGACAAACATGACATTGCTTTTATGATTACTGTCAATTTGAATACTACTAAGTATTATAACTATACTACTACTTCTTTATATATCTTAAATATTTCATTATATTTTTTATTTGTGTTCAATACGACATTTTCAAAAATATACAGTAAAATGTATTGTATGTATTTATTATATTTTACTGCATATGTTTGAGTTTGGATTAGTCATACTGCCATTATACAGTAGCCGCTGACAAATCACCATCTCAGCTAGTGGTTATCTGGAGACATGCTTTGCACTTCAACCTCTGTGCCATTGTCAGCTCATACGGTGTATGTGTTAAGGTGTGTGTGTTTTTCGGTGTGTTATATTCTTTTGTGGCATGCTTTGGTGTGTGCGTATGTCTCTACATTTGTCATCCTGTCACCTACAGATTATCAGAGCATTCTAGCGGAGCTGCAGTCCCCTGCTGCACTGCACTCTGACCCCCACTTCCTGGAGCCCGAACTCCCCATCACCCCCAACCCTTCCCTTGCTCACCATCAACCAGAGCCAGACACCCCTTTGCTGGCCGACTCCCAGCCTCAGCCCTTGCCCTGGAGCCCGGAGATAGAGCCTGGTAGCGAAGAGCCAGACAGCCCTCCTAGGAGCCCCCCCAGACCCTGTGAGCTTGCCCTATCCTTCCCGGCCTTTGAACTCCCTGACCCTGTTCCTTCTAAGGTCAGAAAGCCCCACATCGCTCTGAACGACCAGCTGCTTTTGAGCGAAGAGGAGGACAGGTCTTGTCATGAAATGGAGCTGAGCCACAAGCCCAGGTCTCACTCTTTCCCAGCGATGTGTGAGTTAGACATTGACATGGCTTACTCCACATCTTCCCCTTCTCTATCATCAGTATCATCTATAACCCCTTCATCGCCTGACAGAGCACAAGTGGTAGATGCAGGAGTGCAGTTGGGTGCCCCCAATGGGGTACAGGAGGATGTAGGTTTAAAAGGAGGTGAAATGGAAGTGACAGAAGAAATAGAGAAGGTTGTTGAGATGGTTGCAACAGAGGTAGCAGAGGGCAATGGATTAGTGGAAAAGTGGGTAGAGCAGGACCTGATTAAAAATGTGGAAAGAAAATGTGAGTTGATAACAAAAGATAGGTCAAAGTTGGCAGAGGAAAAAAACATTTTGGTGGAACAGAAGGAGGGGTCTGCAGAGGAAGAGAAAGATGTGATAGATGAGCAGCATGTCCTTGTTCAAGATGAGAAGAAGGGGACAGCCTGTAAGGTGGAGGAGGTGAGAGATGTGCAGAATCTGTCAGAGGAGCAGCATAATCTGATAGAGATTTGGCATGAAGTGGGAAAAGACTGTACCACAATAGAAGCGGTGACTGTCACAGAGGGTATTGATGAAAAACCAGAGGTGCAAAAGGTGGATGGGGACAGTGAGGAAAGAGTCTACAAGGGTGACACAGATGGAGAACTGCAGTTTAAGGATGAAGGAGAGTTGTGTGGCAGTGAAAGAGATATTTACGGGACGTCAGAAGAGGACCATGCAACCAAGGACCAGGCTGTAGCCTGTCTCTCCCCTCAGGCCTGGGTTGAGGCACTTGGAGAACTTCAGTCCAGTGAGTCTGAATCCAATGAGGAAGAGGAGGAGAGACACGGAGACAAACAAAGCACAGAAGAGGCATTAGGATCTCTGTTGGAGGAGGTGAAGAAAGAAGAAGGCTCAGAGGAGAAGGAGGAGGACAAAGAGATGACCGAGGCCAGGGTTCAGGAGATTCTTGATCAGGTTGAACAGGCAGAAAAAGACATGTGTTCACTTTCAGGTTGGCACAGTGATTCATCAAGCGTCAATGTGGAACCACCAACGCCAGGCCGAAGTGTCAGCTCAGACCTGCTCGACAGACGGGAAAGGTCAGTCTCTTAAGTCTCCCAGAATTACCACAATTTCTTGCCAGCCTGAATTTGAAATCCATCTTTTCCTTGTGCATCCTTCTCAGAAATCTTCTCAGATTATGTATTTTTCAGCTCTTTACGGTATCCTGTAACTACAGTCCTAATTATTTGTATCTTACCCAACAGCCAGGAGAACTCTAGTGACTCCATCACATCCTCGTCTAGGGGCGAATCAGGGAGGTCCCGACAGAACGGCGACAGCTCAAAGCACTCACCTCAGGGCGGCTCCTCTGAGTCATCGAATGGCAGAAAAGAAGAGGGAGCGCTGGTGTCAGAGAAAAAAGTCCAGGTAATGTTACTAGCAATAACAATAATGAGAACAATCAAATGAAAAGACCCTTAACAGTGGTTGTAGTGCAGTGAAGAATCTAGTCCTCTTTATTGTCTGTACTTACTGCAGCACTATACTTCATTGTGATTCTGTTATTGCAGGTGAAATGCCTAAACCTATTGTAGAAGTTGTGCTAAAGAAACAAACTTCAGTCTTTGGTCCCAGGTTTCTCTTCTTTTTGATCCAGCAGACCATGGAGATGACGTAGGCCTTCATAAAGGCTACATGTCACAGCTAACTAATTCTCTTTCCTATACATGTACTTCTCTCTCCTCCTGAATCCCTCCATGTGTTTGTGTAATGACCTTATAATACCTTTCTCAGCAGCGGGTTAGTGTAGATTCTGGTTCAGAGGAAGAACAGACTGTAACTACAAGAATCTTCAGACGCCGTCTCATTTTAAAGGTACCCTGAAAGCCTGGAGCAGAGGCTGGGCTGAGCCTTTGTTTGGTTGGGTTTGGTTTGGTTTGGTTTGGTTTGGTTTGGTTTGGTTTGGTTTGGTTTGGTTTGGTTTGGTTTGGTTTGGTTTGGTTTGGTTTGGTTTGGTTTGGTTTGGTTTGGCTTGGCTTGGTTTAGACTGGTCATTCTGGTGTGCATCATAGTAGTCGTGTTTGGTTAATGATAGTTCTACTCTCTTTGTAGGTGTGGATATGTGTATGCATAGATATGTTTGTGTACGTGCACTACCGAGCCCGTCTCAGGTCATGGTTGAAGACTAACCTAGTGTTCAGCTTCTTTCTGACATGGATGTTTGTTTTTCTTGAGGTGCTGTTTCGGTGTGGTGATGGTAACGGATTGTTTTATTAGTTCTGAATGCGTCTTTTGTGAGCCTTTATTCGTTTCCTAACCACAAATGCTTCCAGGGAGAAGAGGCAAAGAATATTCCAGGCGAGTCTGTTACAGAGGAACACTATATGGACCAAGACGGTAACCTCATCAGTAGAAAAGTAATGTACAACTTCATTTTCATTTCCCATTCAGCTCTGAAATAAAACCCACCACAGGGAGAGATGTTTTCACAAAAGCAGATCAGATTTTTTCTTCCTTTATCAACATCCTTCTGCCTTGGTCAGGTAATAAGGAAGGTTATTCGGAGGGTTTCTACTCCCACACCAGAAAACCAAGGAGGCGACAGGTGGCACAGAGACCTTCAGCACAGTCCCATTCTGCAGGAAGACTGGTCTGAGGTTGGCATGAAGATATCTAACTGTGTGCCTGGGTTCAAAGTCTAATCTAGATGGGAGGCCTGGGATGTTGTTACCCTCCTGTCAGAAAACAATCAGCATGTGGGAGGTTCACAGCTAATGTAGACGTTAGGCTTAAAGCTGCACTGTGAAAGACTGCATGTGAAAAAGCACAAATTTTACCATCCTAAAACACAAAGTGGAGCTGCAACAACAAAAAAAACATTGTATCTTACCTAAATGAGAAAATACATTCATGAGCAACCTCTTCAATCCTGTGAGACCCACCAGCAGGTCATCATCAGAAAGTAATTGTCTTTGGCCAAGCGTTGCTCAAACCCACAATATTTTATTAATAAGGTTCCTAATGATTTGAAATATGTGATGATGAACAGAAATATATGTACTATTCTACACAAAACATATACAGAATTTTTCAAATGTATTTTGGTGTAGCAGAACAGAAGAGTTTACTGACACCACGTTATTTCTAGGTATCGAACACCTCAGAGTTACATCTCACTGTTCTTTTAGTGCAGCTTTAAGTCAAAAAACTGAGTCAAAAATGGAATCAGTTTTGATCTGATCTTGTTTATATCCAGTGGTGCAGGTGAATTTTCGATTAACACTGGATTAGTTGGTTTGGGAAAACTGTCCTCATTATCTCTCTTCTGGGCAAAAATGCTCCCATTTGAAGTGCAACCTTGCATTTTATGTTTTGACATTGTGTGGTGTGTATTGTGTTTACATAAAGGGGATGCTGACTATGCTCCTCCTGACTATGGTTTTAATGGTGTTTTAAAGTGTTTAACTGATTAGTCAACAGTATGGCTAATGAGTGCCATGGCTGTTGTGAAAATACAGTGTACCTCTTTTCTTTCTAACACTTTACATAATAATATAATTTCTCTTCTAGGTGTCTGGTTGGTGTGTGGTTTGGGTCCTAATTATATTCCTAACAATAATTATACTACTAACATTTGCTAGTTTCACATTCCTATAGTGTGTGTAGTTTACTTTCTCATTTGCGTGTTGGTTTGCAACTTGTTTTCCTCCAATGAGAAGAAAATGATACCATGACTCAACTATATTTCTTTGTCTGTGTTTTCTAGCAAGGAGAAGTTTCAAGGAATAGCAGGCGAAAGGATGACAGAAGATCAGGAGATAAGAAGTTCCACTCATAGGGATGGTTGTGCTCTACCAGGTACAGTAGCTTACTGCTTTTCTCTGTAACACAATCAGCTCCTCTCTTGTTAATCACTCCTCTACTCATTCTCTTCTTATTCAGTGCACTCAATGACCTTCTTAAGACGTGCGGGTACCTAATACACACATGGTAGAGTGGTTTTGATCTTCTCAGAAGAAGAAATAAGAATAAGGGTGTTTTTTAAAACGTCAAACTATTCCTGTAATTTACCCCTCCTCAGATAGTTACTCTGTCCCACAGACTCCAAAAGGCTGACTGATCCTCTGGCAACATTTCTGCCCTCCGTGTTCACGAGTGTGTGTGAATAGAGAACAGTTACAAAGGAAACAGGGCTGATGGACGGCACACACCTCAGCATTATATTGCCCCACTGATACCCTCAATGCCTGTTTTTGTTCACTAAATCCCCAACTCGTAACAGCATTGTAGCATCCAAAAAGACTTTGTTATCCCACTGGCCAGACTGTTAATCCCTACTGCTGTTCACCCGTATGTTATGTTTGCAGTGAATCACTCCATCTGTACAAAACTGACTTAGAAATAATATGGCACTGCTGTGAAGCCTGGCAAGGGGTTTCTATGGTAACAGAGGTCACCATAACAACCCACAGACCATCAGGTCTTGTTGTCATTTTGTTAGATCACAACAGTTTTTGCTGTTTAAAAAGACTTTTCACAGAAAAATTTTTGTTTGTGAGAGGAAGGTTACACCCTTAATATGTAAATTAAGAGAATATTTTTGTTCAAAAAATATTGTACAATTTTAGATAGAAGGAAATGTATCCTTGGCAATTTTACTCTATAAACTTGTTAATATATTAAATGTGCTTCAATATGTGATGAACTGTTTTGTGTCTTGCAGATGTACAGGAACTGAGTTAGATGTTTCCTGGGAAGAAGTGTTCAGAGGGCTGAAGAGCTACAGTGTGAGGCCTTCAGACAAGGGTCCAGTCTGCAACTATCTGCTTCAAACAAATGGTTTTCATGTGAGAGGAGTCGACCCTTCTGACTTACGCATGAGCATGAAAAACTCACTTCCTGTCAATCAAAAAGACCCAGGAGGTTCTCACTCTCTGACTGCGGTGGACTCGTGGACAATGATTCTGCTTCCTGTTTTTGTGTGAGACAATACGTGCCATCGGTCCACTGGTGAAGTGAGAGCCTTTTGAAGAGCATCGTTTGTGGTGAAAACGAAAAAGACTCCGTTACTGACAACCACACAGGTGCAACTGTGACCAAAGATGGCACAAGAGCTCAGTCCACATGGTGGATGGAAAGAATGAAGTAGACACAATAACACAAAAAAATCTAATGGAACACTTCTGATTCAACTTCAACACTCGCCTTATGGTTTTTTCTTGAACCCATTGTTGTCAGGATGTAAATTGTTTTGGGATTTTTTTCTTCCTTTTTAAAACTTAAACTAACACAAAAGCTTTTTTCTGTATATAAAATTACAATGTGTAAAATTCTTAAAAAAGGGTAAGTTACTGGTTGAGAACGCACTGAGGAGAGTAACCTTTTCAAGTGCTTTCAAAATTTATTGAAACAGTTCCACTTTTAAAGATTTGAGTGTAACTTCACAGGTTCTTGTATAATTAATTATTAGAGCAGGTATAATGTTTGTACATGAAAAAAAGCTGGTTTGATTTTAACAGAAGAAATTTCCAGAAAATCAAATTTCAGTAATTCCCAAAGTGGGAGTGGATCTAATCCTGCAAAAAGCAGCCTTTCAGAGTACTCATATTTTCATGCATGCTGTTCACATTATTTTAAGTACAATTTTTACAAGTTTGCAAACACTGTATTCAAATGACAAATAAAAACCCTTTATCTGTGTACACATATAGCCCAAACATTTGTCACCGATTTTATATTTTAAATTGAAAAAGGATACCATTAAAGCATTTATCATGATGGGGTGAGAATGAAAAAAAGTTCTATAGCTTCTTGAGGGTGTGATGTCTTGTCTGTGTATGTAAAACCGGAGGGCAGCTTCTGCTACGAGAACGAAATAATCTGAATGTAAATGCTAGTAGGCTGGCTCGCTGTAAAATTATAACTGTATTGTGCGTATTGGCTATAAGGTGTAGGAGTCTCTGTACACTGTTAGACTGTTCGTAATCATTTTAGCAGTGTGTCAATTTGGTTTTCTAACGGCTGCTGTGGTATTAAAGGAAAACGGGGGCATTTCATTTTGGATTTTTTGGTGAAGTATTTCCTTAATTTAAAATCCTACTCACATTAAGGACACATAAAGACATTATTTGATTGTAGCTCTAAATAGCATATTGTATGACAAAAACACTGGATGGTCAAAAACAATTATTTAAGCATTAAATAAATTGTGTTTAACTCTGAAACTGTGTGATCTTTTTAGGCTTGAGAGTCTGTATATGCAGTGTCGAATAGAATTGTTTTCACTAGCTCATTGGCAAAATTTTACTTTACAAGACATTAGGAATTATCTTTGTATTGGTTTTCATTAGATGCCCATGTAGTTCAAGTGTGGTGTTCTACTGGTGCGATGGCTCAGTATGCTGATGTCTATGCTGTGGACATGAAAACTATGTAACTTTTTTTTTTTTTTTGGCGGGGGGAGGGGGGAGGGGGGTTGAAGAAAGTCAGGTAGGGTGCTGTACCACATCCCCTTATACTACTATGTCAATCAAGGGGAAGAGGATCCTTTGATATGGTTGAACTATCAATTTTGTCAATTTTGTTTGATATGTGTTTTCACCTGAGCAGATTTTTTGATGTACAATTCTTACTAACAGCGTGAAGCCATTGAAATGTAACTATTCTAGCACTTTGGTTATTCAAGGTCTTTTAGAGGCTATAGCAGCAATGATGCCACCACAAATGTTTCAGACGTCTTTAAAAAAAATCAACCTAAAAATAAAAAAATAAAAATGCATTGATTTTGCAGTACAATTGTTTCTGTTCTTGTCTTTGTGTCCTTGAACATTGTTTTATTATGTAAGTAATGTAATGGAAGCAGGGTAGTTATGTCATGAGAGACATTGTCCTTCAACTAGTTACGTGCTTCTTCTTCACCAAACTGTACTTGAGCAAAAATCTCCAGGGCTGCTTGTTTATATGCTTGGACTGCCTTGTGTGGCCAGACAACAACAGTTCATGATGAGGATATTGCTGATTTCTGTTGAATGAGTTAAATGATAACTAGAAAAGTTATTTCAAAGCATTCCTGTCTCTCATGAAGCTCTATGATTTATTAACATCACATAACCCTCTTTAAGTGGATATTTTATGCAGATGATGATAACACTAATTTGTAGTTACTGGAGTCCTAATGACTAATATAAATACTGAAGGTACTGTTCAAATAAGAATGGTAGTGTGTTCTTAGAGGTGGAATACAATAGGGAAATGCTCAGCCACCTACTGATTATTTATCATAGATGGCAAATTTCTACATCATCCTTATGATCAGGTCATGGAGTCATGGCAAGAGTGTCTCTTCTCTGGGGCCCTACTGACCGCGTCTTTTTTTTACTTTGATTAAACATAAATCTATTTAGGAAATACACAGCACGTAAATTCTGACACAAGGCCGCTCTAAAAGACAGGTGGATAAGTCAAGTAGTGATATAAGAGACGCTTTAAGGCTCTTATCATTTCATCTTAAAATGTTCTTAGGTTCAGCAACCCACCGTCTTGGATGTAGTTGATAAGGATGTGTTACAGATTGCCATGGGTGCACTGGGCGGTACTGGAGACATCCTGGCGGTGGCGCTATGCCGGCACGCGTGAGCAAGGTCACACGGTGTACCATTCTGCTGTGTGCGCCCCTCAAACGCTGCTGCTGCCGCCGTCGCCCTCTCTTCTCCACACTGTCGCACAACCATGGCGGACAGCGCAAGCGAGAGCGACACCGACGGAGCTGGGAGCAGCTCGGCCACCCCGATGTCGTCCTCCGCTTCAAATTCGGGGAAACCGAGCATAGTCATTTCACAGTTTCGTTTGGAGGAATTGACGAACCGCCTGGCCTCCCTACAGCAAGAAAATAAAGTTCTTAAAATTGAGCTGGAGACGTTCAAACTCAAGTGCAAAGCCCTGCAGGAGGAGAATCGGGACCTCCGCAAAGCTAGCGTCACCATTGTGAGTAACGGCAGCTGGCTAACTAGCTAGATGCTATCACGCCACTTACTATATTGTATTTGTCAGTAAGTTAACTGTGGCTGGTGCTGTTTGTTTAGTGCTAACTAGTCCATGTTGACACATTTAATGTATTCCATGGAAAGGTTATCTGTATATGAACACAACATTCTGGTGTTTTGCTAGCTCCACTAATATTAGCTAGCTAGCGTTAGTTGGATATGTTGCTAATTTAGCCAGCGGGCTAACGTTTGCTAGCTGGTTTTTGCAGAGATAGCCAGCTAGTTTGCTTTGTTTTGTTTTCCGCTGCTAATCTTGGCTAATATTAGCTCCACGGCGAACGTCATGTTAAAAGGCGTTAAAAATTAGGTGGGCACCTCACGATGCAAGTTACCTGACTGATGTTAGCTATTTGGTCAGCTGATTACTCACTGCTAAACATTGTCACCACGTTATGTCCAACAAGGATAAGGTAACCGACTATGAAATAAATAACCCAGCCGCAGCACTGGCATAGACCGATGCGTCATATGTCTTCATGCTCGGTTAATCAGTCTCAGCTTCATAAAATGTGTAACCGATCTGTTGGATAGATGCGCAGGCCAAACTTAGCGAGCTAGCTAAATACCTGGCTCTAATGTTGGCAAATCAGCCACACTGCACCCAGTCCACCCTAATGTGAGGCTTAACTAGTTGTTCGGTTTCTATTGTCCTTCTCATTGTTTTGAGCTACTAACATATTCTTTCTGCTTGCAAAACAGAATTTAGCTTTGAGGGCAGTGGAGAATGAGGGTGGATAATTTGAGACTGGTGCTAACAAGGACAGACGTATCATCACACTGTAATGCTAGCTGTTGTAGCTGCCCAAACACATTTCCTTAGTGCACCCATGTTTCACTCTTTCCCTTGCTGTCAGTCACCCATTACTGCAATGTCTCTTGAGTCATTAGGGAAAATTCTGCTTCCTCTTTGGCTGACACACTTCACTGCAGCAGATTTGGTTGGGTGGTGTACTTGTGTTTGTAGTATATCTAAATGCACTTTTGGCTGTTACAATTTATTCAGGATAAAAGTGAAAATCACAGTTTGATCTGCAAGACCTAAGAGTCTAATTTACTGATGTTTGCCTCTACCATTGTTTCCCATTTGTTTCCATCCCACAGCAAGCAAGAGCAGAGCAGGAGGAGGAATTTATCAGCAACACCTTGTTTAAGAAGATCCAGGCCCTCCAGAAGGAGAAGGAGACCTTAGCAGTCAACTATGAGAAGGAGGAGGAATTTCTCACCAATGAACTGTCAAGGAAACTCATGCAAGTGAGTGGGAACAAGATTCGAAATACCAGTTTTTACCTCACTGGTTGTAGTTGCTTATACCGGGGACAATGGAAGATAGTCTAACATCAGTTTGAACCTTCACCCTGTTTGATGACTTATTATATTGATAACAAACATCACTGTGGTACAGAGTTTTTCCTACTGTTCTATTATGCTCTATAAAGTTTTTGGCTGCAGTATTGTCAAGCATGTTCAGCATAAGTTCGCTGGGTGTGTGTCTGCACACCACCTCATGTATGAGCGTGCGGCAGCTAATGCATTATCATCAATTGTCCTGGTACTTGCCTGAAGCCTGGAAAGGCTCAAGATGACTTCACTGCGGCTGCTAGCTACTAGAAATGACTCTCAAATTACTCTCATCGCGTCTGTCGGTTATTTGGTTCAGTCTGTTTTCCACATCTTATTTTCCTAACTGCAGAACACACAGCACATGCATGCACACTCTCACACTTTGAATGGCTAGCTGTATGCATCCTAATGGTTTGTTGATATGTCGAGAAGTGGGAATTTGAAAGGGACATCAGCAGACCCTTGTTAAGGTCATGTAGATGAACTTTTGTTGTCTTGCCTTCTCACTTAACATGAAACAAACCTGTGCCTGCCTCTGCCTGTAGACTTTGATGTGACATATGGCCCATAGTGTGTGTATGTGTATGCTTTTATACATGGGCATGTGTTTTACTTTTGTGATGATAGAGTAAGAATTGAGCAAATGTGGTCATTTATTTTACTGGGTGTTGAAATGCTCCTCTGAGGAAACACTTTTGAAAATGATTTTGTGTGACCTGCGTTTTCCCCACCATTACTTTTGAAGATGGACTTATTAACTGAAGTCATCTACAGTTGGAGTAATAAAAGGAAAAGCTCTCGCACAGTTACCATTATATACAGTATGTACACACATTCACACATTGCCACTGTGCTGGTGTTGCTTACAAATGGCCTCTACTTGAAGGACACAAGAACCCAAGTGGAATAAAATATCTCTGCAAGGTGTCCATAGGCTGAAAATGAACAGATATATTTTCACACACACTTGGGCATAGTTGCCACTCACAGTACAGTGGTGTGGAGCCCTGGTATAGAGTAACTAGTAATTGTATTCGCTAAAGGGAGGCACATTATCGAAACAATTTCTAATTAATTGTCTAATTGTTAATTAGAAGAATTTTGGCTGCACTGGGTGTGGCAAAACTTGGTGGCCTGTTCTTTCAGTCAGGATACTACAAGCATTCAACTCTATGTGAATGCAGTCATTGTAAGTTAAAATAAACTGTGTTGTTTTGAGGTATTCTCGTTGTTTCTGGTCGTAGCATAATGGAAATTGTTATTTTTTCTCTTTCCAGTCTTTTCCCATAAATGAATTTGCATCCCTTTTCCCGTAATGAGTAATCACTTATATAATCTATCACACAGCCGTCCCGTTTTGAATCAGTGCTGAGCCGCACCCTTTCTTTGTATTGGTGAGCTGCCAGAGGTGGTTACTTTAGTTGCCAAATCATTATTTTGCACTGTTTATTCCTCTGAGAAGTTAAGCCATGATTCAGGAGGAATTGTGACATTGGCTTCCCATTTTGCTACACTCTCAATGTGTAAGCTAAATGTGATGATCTGACACCAGTGTGTTTGTTCACTGTGGTCATCAAATTGTTTTTATATGACTCACCATGAGCCTCTTCTTGTGCTCTTGCTCCTCTCCCTTCTCTCTCATCGCTGTGGTTTCATTCACCCCCTCTTCTTTTCCTCTGTCCATGCACTTTCCTCCCCTTGTCCATCCTAGCTCCAGCATGAGAAGGCAGAGTTGGAGCAGCATTTGGAACAGGAACAAGAGTTCCAGGTTAACAAGCTCATGAAAAAGATCAAGAAGATGGAGAATGAAACCATCTCAAAGCAACTAACCCTGGAACAGGTATGCTTAACATGGTAGAGTAAAAAGATTTCAGGATCCAGTATGGTACAGTATATCCCTGACTTTGTGTGTCCAGTTGTTGTAGTAGTGTCAGACGCTAAAATTTCACCACCCTTACTTTTTCCCACTGAATGTTAGCTGGAAAGAACATTTTGGTCTGTGGCTGGGTCAAACCTGTGTGTGCTGAAGCCACACCATAATATTTCCATGCTATGATGACAGGATTTTTCTGTAGATGTGCTTGCATGCATTCATTGTTGTTCACTCATGAATGTATGTGTCTGAATGATGCTTATGTTATGCTACTGTGCATTTTGCCCAAATGGAGATGTAACCAAATGACATGTTCACCAAAAACTGTGACCTAATTTCACCACAAAAAACAATACTGAACAGCTTATTTTATTTTTAGGGTTATTTTATATATAGACTATGCTGCTTTGTTGTTTTTCTACCATGTGGCTCTTTCACATGCCAACATAGGGACTAAAGCTTGGTTTTGCAGTACAGTGTACTTCTGTGCAGTCCTGTGAATGTTTTCCAACGTCAAGGTTTTTCTATCTCTGAACGTCACTCCTCTCTCATACTTTTATTCTCTAGTTGAGGCGGGAGAAGATCGACCTTGAGAACACATTAGAGCAGGAACAAGAAGCCCTGGTCAACAGACTGTGGAAACGCATGGACAAACTGGAGGCTGAAAAAAGGTGTGGAATGATCTTATATGTGTCAACCCATTCAGTATCTACAAATGGTAGATGTTTTAGAATCTGCTACTTGTGGGCCTGAATTCAAAGCTTGTTTTACACCCATATTCATACTTGAACAAATTTGAAAGCCAAAACCTCTTCAGTAATATTAGCAAATGGGTCAAAGACTCTAACTTACATTTTCCATAGCTTTCACCCACATCTTGTTGCTTTCATCAATGGATCATCTGTTGCTCAACAAATCTTTAAATTAGTCAATAGTTTCACTAGTAGCGCTTATTAAAAATATAAAGCCTGATGGGTTGGCTGTGACGCATAGTCTATAAAAACGCTCTGCTCATGTTCTGTGTAATATTTTTATCTTGGCTTAAAACTTATAAAACTTATCTTAAAGCTGTCCTGCAGTGCTCTGCTTTCCCAAAGATGTTTCCATTTAAATTAGGGTAGACACAATATCTTGACATGGCCAAACAGCAAATTTCAGCAATATTTTGGTAAAAATTACAAAATCGTTGTCATATTTCAGTCTATCTTGACTGGACTGATAATGCTTCTGTGTAAGTATACCCAATATTTCATGTCCCTTTTCTGTGTCTGACAGAAACGGGCCCAGTCAGAGGCACACATAAAATGCCTGTCTGTCACTCTAAACAAATGACTAAGCTGCTATTATGCAGAATGATGCAGAGTAAAATTACCAGTGATCGACTAACAGTAGCTTTTTGTTCTAGGTAACAGATTTTCAGGGTAATGGTTTTTAGCGGAGTAACATCCTGAAGGCCTGATTATGTATGTAAATTGTCGGTAATTTCAGAGCCATTTTCAATCCAAATTTGCTGTAAAAGAGGAAGGGTTGAAAAGGTTCAAAAGTTTTCATTTTTGAGAATAAAATAGGTTGTCTTATAGTTGTAAAGTCTAGGCTTTTGTTAAGACCCATGTTAAAGCTAGGGATCTTAAATGTATTTTATTTTAAATAGCTGGTCACCATGCCGATTATTTCAGTTGATGAATTACAGTAACATTGGGATTTGTTTGTTTCCTAAACTAGAATCCTTCAGGAGAAGTTGGACCAGCCTGTATCAGCTCCTCCCTCCCCAAGAGATGTTTCCATGGAGATAGACTCGCCAGAGAACATGATGCGGCATATCCGCTTCCTGAAGAATGAGGTGGAGAGGCTTAAGAAAAGCCTGCGCACCACTGAGCTGCAGCGTAAGTGGCCTCTCAACTTGTCACATGATCCATGGGGGTGTGGGCTCTGAAATGGCAGATGTTGATTAAGTGTTGATTAAGGATGTGATTGGTAAAACTGATCCTTAGATAAGCAGTGAAGGGCAAATTCAACCTAAACCCAGGCTTGGCTTTTTTACATTGACATGAAAGAACTGGATACTTTCTGGCTTTGTGGTGACATAGTTTACAGCCTCGTTACCTCCTTGTCATTCACTGGTCACATTACACCCAAAGACATCCAAGACTACACAGTGGTCAGCGACAAGCTTTGTCTTGATGTTGTTGATTCTCTGAAAGGTCTTAGCCCTGAAGATATTCTGTCTCATTGTTCTGAGTATTTATTATTGGTGTTGTTACTTTGAGTTTGACTTGTGTGAGCCTCAGACGAGGCAGAAGGTTTTTTTCTTGTGAAAAGCCCATCTATTGAGTATTATCATTGTTACTTACTATTATTAGTAGTATTATTAGAATTATTAATATAGCAAGTTACGCCTCCACTCCATCTGTAGAAAGTTGTGAACTAGAAACAAGCGACACAGATGTAAATACTACACCTTACTACACTAAAGATAAAACATTAAGGGTAAATTTAGTGTCATTTTCTAAAGAGCTCAAGTGCTGATAATGTCCAACAAAATTCTCAACCCTAGTCTGCACTATATATTACATTAATACTGCGTGGAAATACAGTTGCAAGAAGGCACCATTCGTGTCCATGGTGCCTTCAAGGATGTTTTGGGGGATTGTTGTGAACTGTGATCTTGTTGATGCATTCAAGAGCACGCCAACATCTGAGACTATTTTAAGAGTAACATTTTAAATGCATAAAATTACCATATTTACAATATCTGTTTCATGACTTCTACACTTACTGACACTTTGTCTCATGGTTTTTATGTGACAATATAGATGGTTAATAAAATTTGTGATGAGATGATGTAACACTAGGTTGTCTTAAACACTAATGGCAAGCGGCTATGCCTCTGGAGGTTGAGCAGTTTGTCCACTAATAGGATGGTTGGTTCCTGATTCCTGGCTCGTCCAGTCCGCATGTGTCCTGCTGTATGCACTATGTTTTGAGTGGTTGGTAGGACTAGAAAAGCATTTACCATTTAATGCACCAAGAAGGAGTTTACAAAACAGTTACAGCTGTACCCTTTCTTATCATATGCTGAGAAGATACTTAGACCATAAATGTAAACAAATGTTCTCTGTGATTGATGGGCAATATTATAGAAGTTTCATGTCTATGAAAGTAGATTTCAATACATTAAATTGTAAATAAAATTCAGTGCATGTAAAATTCAGGTTTAAATTGTGTTCAGTGAGGTGATGACAGCATTTCTTGGATCATGAGAGTTCTGTGGGGCAAATTATTGAATGGCAAGAACAATAGAAAACCAAAAGATCCTCACAGCCCCTGCCTTCTGGTGACATAACTTGTTTTAACATTTCAGGGAGAATAATTTATTTTCAGGAGCCACTGACTTGACTGACTGGTTAGTTCAGAAAGAAGCTCGATAGACAGGCACAATAGATCCTGCCTCTCGCAAAATTATCTAGTAATTGAAACAAAAGAATCAGAACTGTTATGCAGTTTTTTTATATTGATGTCTATGACAGTGCATTGACATTTGAACACTTATTTTCATAGCATGTAACACAATGTACTAAACTATCTCCTCCCAGTGCCTCTTAATGAACATGTCACTGATTAGTCCCACCTGTCTTAATATACTCCTCCCACCATCACTCTACTTTGTCTCTTTAAAACATGAGGCCACTCAGGAAGGCATGTGGTACTAGGAAGAGGAATCCATATTAGGCCATTGCATTATGAACGGTGCTTGCGGACACATTGAAAACAGCTTCTAGCACAGCAGTAAACACCATTATGTTGAAGTTAATAACCCTTATTTGTTCAGACAGTCAGATGTGTCGATTCAGCTTAAGCCAAGAAATTAATTGATGGAGATAAATTTTAAAGTTTAAACACTTGTCTGGGATGGTCCCTCAACACTGTGTAGTCTATGCTTTGTTTTTTCCACTAGAGGGAGCCATCAGTCTAACCTTTAACACAATGTTCTGAGAAGCTGAGACAAGTAGCAAGACAGCAATGCTACTGGAAACAATTACATCATCATGATGGTGCTTTACTGATGATCTATTGTTAGTAGAGGTTGTCTTCAACGGGCTTTCACCTTCTTTTTTGGAAAGCAAACATTTTACTGCACAAACTGAATTGTGCTTGTAGGTCTTAGGAGGATATTGTGCTGCATCTGAAGTTTTTAGATAGCCCCTTTTATTTTTATTTGTTTTTTATTTTACAAGAAGATCAATGTTGGTGTTTATGTTGATATACAGTGGCCACGAAGTGGATATCTCAACTGATGTCAGTTCTGCATGTGCCCTCTCAGATACAGAGAAGCGTGCCCAGTACATAGAGGAGGAGCGACACATGAGGGAGGAGAACATCCGACTGCAGAGGAAGCTTCAGAGAGAGATGGAGCGCAGGGAGGCCCTGTGCAGACAACTGTCAGAGAGTGAATCCAGTCTGGAGATGGACGATGAGAGGTAAAGAATGGGACACACGATAAGGGCAGATTTACAAAAATGGCACAATAACACTGGGGTACAAAACCACATGTGTTAGGAAATCAAGGCAAATGGCTGAGAGAGACTTCATCTTGTTAAATGGCTTGGCCTGTGCACTGGAGTATAATGTTGCAGAGTGGCTGGAGAGGCATTTGGCTCCATTGGCCATTTACACTGCTGACATGGCTGATTGGATGAAGGGGGCCTGAACCTGTCAGAATGAAAAGATGAAGGAACAAAAGAGTGAGAGATGCAAAAGACAACAAGCATGTGTGCCACCTCAGCATGCAACAGTCACTCTTGTAATTGCCAGTATTTGTCAGTGTTGTATAGGCTTTCTTTGTGATTAGCAAGGTAACAACATGGTGCCCATTAACCAAAGCTGTTGTCTGCATGTCACAACCCACTCTGTGTTTTTTCTTACAATCATAAAATGAATGTTGTGAATCCTAAATACTGCCATACAGTTTGCTTCACGCACCAGTGTTAACATAGGCAAAGATGAAAATCATTAACAGTAGCATAGTTTAATTCTACCAGATCTGTGTTATCTTGATAGAATGGAAAAGAAGCTATCAGGATCATTTACGCCAAAGCCTTTTTAAACTTTGTGTGATCCCTTTTACTACTGGTAGTCATTACCCTAATTGCGCAAGTTGTATCCAGATGGTCCCCCTGTCTAAAATCAAGACAAGACTGTGTTTGCTGTGATGACTCTTAAGCTTGACAAAAAACTGCTCTTTCCCCCTTAGTATGAGATCTTCTTGCAGGGTTCAGTATTGTTTCTCTTTAACATTTATTATTAGGTTTATGCTCCTGTTTTTGGATCACCTAGTAATATTGTAGCTTATAAAAGATGTTTTGTAATATATATAATTTAAAATACTAATATAATATAATTTTAACATGTTACCACTTGCGTAGGTACCATAATTAAGCTTGATTTTTCTTATCATCACCATATTAACAGAACAGTTTTAAATAAATGGTATTTGAAGGCACATGTACATAAACCTGTAGGATTCTTCATTGATTTCTCTTTTTCAGAGACTTGAAAAATTTGAGGGTATGGCAGCTGAATGAAAACAACATAATATAATGATAAATAATACTGTGTCTTATTTTCATGTTGCCATACATGAATCATACTTGATTTTCATAAACTGCTCTTCTCACCCTCTCAGGTACTTCAATGAGATGTCTGCACAGGGCTTGCGAGCAAGGACTGTGTCCAGCCCTATTCCCTACACCCCCTCCCCCAGCTCCAGCCGACCCATATCACCTGGTAGGTACTTTTGAGATGGCCTCTGTCCAAGTAATACTGCAGTCCACAGGGTATATTATGTCACTGGGAATGGCCAACACGATAATAAAAAGCACCTTTCATATCAGTTGATATGACTTGTTGCCAGCACACACTATCTTTGTTACAAAGTTTACCATTAATACCCATTATATCTTGCAATGCTCCTAACAAGTTCATTCTTTTGATTAAAATTCATAATAGAGAATGACACAGACTCAGTGCATCTGCTGAATTATTAAACTCAAAACCAAATAACAAAAACATGGTTACTTTTTTTTTAGATTTATCAGATATTTAAGAAAGTCTTTAAAGGATTCACTCAGAACGGTTGTACTCCTGCTGTTGTTTATATTACTGCAGGTAATAATGAATTGTTTGATATCTGCAACAAAAGCAATTTAAAGCAAGTTAATACTGAGTGACTGAGCATATGTTACAGCGTGTCAGAGAGGGTTTCACAGATGGAGCACTAGAGGTGCTGCTGCTGCTCAGCTAACATGCTGCTCATTCTTCGCCTTCTGTGTAGACACAGAGTTAGAAAATACATTTAAGCCCTGGATGTTTAAATCCTAGAGCCCTAATGGCAAATGCAATTCAGAGGAAATTAAGACATGTTTGGTGTGATTCAGTAAAATGTCAGATTATAGCCTCAATGTTTTTGCTTAGTGATGAAACAGACCTGAGATTCCAAAGCACCTCTGTTTCTGTTCTGTCTAGGATGAAATAATTATGCAACTGGTGTTAAGAAGAGAAATTGCTGTACTTTGACTCTCAGTCAAATCTAATGACTTTATAAAAAAGTACATACAGTATGTACAACTTACTCTTCCTGTCTGCCCCCACTCTGTCACAGGTCTCTCATATGGCAGCCACACAGTTGGCTTCACCCCTCCAGCTACACTGTCCAGAGCTGCCATCTCCCACTATAACACTCCTGCCCTGCACGTCCACGGAAGCTCCTCTCACGCCGTAGCGGTAAGTAACATCCACCCACACATCCTTGACCAAACATCTCTTAAATAGTGAGTTTTTCAAGATGTCACAGGTGTTTGTTTCAATTTTTACTAGGATTTCTTGTTGGATGGAGTTTGCAACCCAAAGCTCAAATATTTATTTCAAAGAGATCTAATCACAGTTTTAGTTGCTCCAGTTTAGATATAAAAATACAGGTGAACAATCAACAAGTATCATTTTTCTATTGAATTTTCTTTTGCTGGACCATAACAGAGCGGCCAGCCCTATAAACGTGAATGTCATTCATGCCTGACTGAAGGATAGAGTTGAGTGATCAACTTATTCCATTGGTCAGCTGAATGCCACCAGACTATGTCATGAAGTTAGAACATCGTTCATTCAGCCGAGTTTTCCAGTTGCTCTTTCAAAATGAACTGGTACAAACAGTTTCTATTACTGTGGTGCTTAAATCCTGCAGTGTAGCCAGAAGTGACTGCTGGTTAACACGTAGTCTTAACTGGCTGCGTTTCAGTTACAGCATATGTGAGCAGAGAGGGTAGAAGAGAAACAAACAGATAAAGTGCTGAAACCGAATGACACTAGGCAAATACTGTGCAGTGATATCAATTGTTTACCGTGGTTCCACAACAGTTGTTAACTATGCCCTTAGTTTCACACATTGAACCATACATGGTCTAGCCAAATACTAGGGTGTGACTTAGTCTTGTATATTGTAAAATTGCTTGCAAAATGTATTATATTTTACCAGGGATGTAAAGCAAAATGTGTCCCAATAGAAATGATAAATAAATTAGATTTTAATTGTGACCTCAGTCGTGCCCCATAGTAGGCACAGAGAGAAGGCCAGTAGAGGCTGACAGGGCCAGTAAAAACTATAGATTTTTTTGATGGTCCACCTGCCCACTGATGTGATAGCCCACTGGGATTTTTCCCAGTATAACTGATGACCAGTCTGACATTGGTTTCACAATGCTTTGTAAAGTGATAAGCCTGAATTCTCTGACAGTATTATTTAAGGCAGAAGTGCTACCAAAATGATAAGTGTAGTATTCTCAGGGAAAAGGGGACTTATGAAATATGAGAGTAAATGACATTCAGTACGTTTACATGTACAATAATATTCCACTATTATACAAATATGACAGTATTCAGAATTTGTTGTCATGTTAACAGCATATTGTGTTTGGATATTCCAAATTTTTTCAGAATTTAGCAATTTGCAATTAAGACATGTGGGCTATACCAATATCATTCAGGTTTTATGAACATTCTTTGGATGTGTATACAGCACATTCCAAATATGTGTCTCAGTTGGGATTTTAACAGCAGATTGCAACACACAGCCTTTTGCCTGTTTACTGTCCACCCTGTATGTTGTACACAAACCGATAAGACAACAGTTTGAAAAGCTAGGTAAAAGTGGAGGGCCCAAAAGAAAAGCCCACATTTCTGGACAGGAGGAGAAACGCACCTATTTTTGAAAAAAAAATTTAGTATATGTGCAAATAATGCTGAACTTGTGTTAGCTTGCATGCAATTTGTGTCCTTTTACACAAACCATGCTTAAATGAAGATCTGCCACTGTGTTGTTTTAGCAGTGATATTCCACACCCAGAGAACACCAAGGAGAGGTTACACAGCTGTCACCCATGTTGATCTTGATATGTGACATAGCACTTCATGTTTTGGAAAAAACACGCTCGCAGGAACAGTCTCTAGTGCTGTTAGTCAGATGGCTGTCTGTTGGTTTTAAGCCATTTTGATGATGTGATTAAAAACAACAGTGCAGAAGAAGAGTCCTCTTTGACCTGTCTCTTCTGTACTTGCTCATTACTCCTGGGTTTATGAAATACCTGTCTCACTCATTCTCATGGGAATACTGCCAGTTACGTGCTATTCAGGTCACTGTGACTTGACACCTTTGACTAATTCTTTAACCTTTTGCTAAGATTTCACAGTTTCCTACAAATGTAAATTTTTCTTTGTGCCTGTGTGACAGCCGTGGCATTATGTTTTTGTGTTGTCCGTCCGTCCCATTCTCGTTCAACAATTTCTTCAATTTGGTTCACTTGGACTCAAGGATGAACTGATTAGATGTTGGTGGTCAAAGGTCAGTGTGACCTCACAAAACACTTTTTTGGCCATAACTCAAGAGTTTATTTGCTAATTATCACACAATTGAAAACACATATTGCTAGTATGATAAAATGATGAAGTGATCATTTCGATTGTGACCATATTCCCTGCAACAGTCACAAGGTGGTAATTCTAGTTTTTCATAAATTACTTTTTTCCCTATTATAATATGTATGAATTCACCATGTGCAGATATGTGACCTAATAGGAACTGTCTCACTGCTATAATTATGTTTACTAGTGTTACACTAGTTTGAAGCGGCCACTTCAGTTTGATTACTTTATAGCAATTTGTCTTTAAACTTTTGACCAATGTTTTCTTCCATACTTAATCCTTTCCTCCCACTCTTCCGTGGTATTGTATAGCTGTGTCTGTAGTTTTCTCTTTCTCTCTTTCATTTTCTCTTGATGCATGTGGATGGTACAGACCACATCTCATCCATCATCATGCAGCCCACCCAGGAGTTAAACAGGCAAATATTTCTCTCTGGGAGATCAGAACCTCAGACAGATTAATTTTTCTCTAAACCACTTTTCTCTTTTCTCTTTTCATTCCTTTGAATGGAATTTCAGTTGTCAGGTCATTACCAATAGCTCAGTGGGGGAAACATGACTGAGTAACCTCGCCACTCAATCTTATTTTCCCTCCGATGGCTTGTAACCTAGAAAACACTGTCCAAACAAAAGTATTGTTGCAATTACCTCTATTTAACACTCCGTTATACAAATGCATGTTCTAGTTGTATCAGCCTTAAAATGAGAATAGCACCACAACTTTCTACAAACACCCCAGTTTTCTTCAAATTCCAGTTTTTGTACCAAATGTTTAGAATGCTACCATCCACTTGTTCTGTACAAGATGAGGCTCATTTGTTTTCTCTCTCCTTCTCAAACAGAGGCCCTCCCCAAGAAGAAGCACCAGCCCTGACAAATTCAAACGTCCAACGCCCCCACCCTCCCCCAACACGCACTCAGGGGCACAGCAGGCTCAGCCTCCGCTACCCCCACCAGCTCAGCCCATGGTCCAGTCCATGTCCTCCCCGGCAGCTATGTCGCAGCATGCAGCAGCAGCACAGCAGCCTCCCTCCCAGCCTTAACGCCACACACACAGTCTCTGTCTTTGCACGTGAGTGCGCCCACTGAATGCCACGACGCTACCGCAACAGCAGCTTCCATCATTACCAGCTCTGGAAGTCAAGTTTCTTACTCTTTACCAACTCCACAAAAGAAGCAGCTTCAAAAGTTTTAGAGGGGAAAGAAACAAGATGGCAGCTCAGTGAAGCTAGCCGCCTGCCAAATCCACATGTGGCGTTACTTAACTACTCTTAAAAGGAATGGATGGACAGAAAAATAATCGCTTCTGGGATTTGTAGGCCAATTATCTGTTCCACCTTCTGTCTTGTACATGTTATGTTTTTGTTTTCTTTGCTTGGGACTTTAGCTGGTTGGAATTGTTGTTGTGGCGCTTCTAAGATAGCACAAACAGCACATACAGTATGTTTCATGGTGGTGTTTTCTGATAGGTTGGATGTTTGGATCAATGGATGGATGTATGGCTAAGGAAACAGATGAATTAATAGATGGATGTGGTCGATTCTTTTCAAGCCTATAATACGACACTCGATTGCAGTAATGTCCTCCACTCCAGCTCACCCCTCCTCCTTTTGTCTCTGAAGCAGTGTCAACAATTCACCCCAACCCCAAAGTTTTAACAGCTAGGTCAGCAAGAGGTGTCATCAAAGACTGCTAGGAGTTTCTCCATTATAGGGCATTGATCAAATGGGGCACGTGCCACAGTTATTTTAGTTTCTGAAAGCGTTCAAGGTTCTGCTGCTCTTCAGTTAAAGTGAAAAAGGAAAAAAAAAACATCAAGGAGGACGGACGCTGGTACATAAACCACAGATAAATGTCGCCTTTTGAGGTGTTTAAAAATGTAGTCTGAGGTGTTACAACTTAGTCATGTACTCAGTCTCTTCTCTGCTCTTCTCTCTCTCTCTGGTGTATTTCTGAAAGCTTCTATCATCCTTATGGATATTCCTCATCAGAAAAAGGAAAAAAAACATAATGCTCTTTACACTAAATATACATACTGCTAAAACATTCTAAATGAATGGTACTGTTGAACTAAATTTCTATGTATGATTAAAGCTCTTGAGATGACAACTCCTGTTTTTAATTGTCAAATTTATGGATAGTATTTGCACTTCATTTGTAATGTGATAAGTAAGCTTTGTGTACTTCAGAACTGCTGCACGTAACAGTCTTTTCTTAATGATCGTACTTTCCCGACAGGAGACTGAGATGTGTTCCACAAGCTGAATTGAACAGATCATAACAGGTGCACAGTTTCCATATTGGATTGATCTTTTTGTGCATTTAGCTTCACTGGAATGTTTCCTTGTGGAAAATTTGACATCCCACCAAACTCCTACAGCCACTGATGGATAATGTTTGTGCCTTAAATAAATCTGCACCATAAAACCCCACACGCTATCTGGAAAGGCAGAAAAATTTTAATATTTCTTGTAATGGAAGAATTACCTTTCATGACGATTAGTGTTACATGTGCACGGAGGGATCTGAAGACGGGACACATGTGAAACTGATGTCCCAGGCTTCTCTACACTTAAGAACTGGTAAGACTTGATGTTTTATTGTTGTCTTCATGACTTAAAATGATATCTTCCTGAAATATCTCAATATCATCAGTCTGAGCTGTCCTTTTAGTTAACTTCTAATTAGCAAATGTTGGCATTCTCATTATTAAGAAGGAAATGGTGAATACATGCTACCACCATGTTTTTTCTTTTTTTTTTTTTTTCTTTTTTTTTAACAATCCTGTCATTCTGTGCCATATGCAGTTCTGCCTTCAGCCTATAACCTGTGGTCAAATATGTGGCCTTGGTTTATTATAATCTAGTATGTTCAAATTAATACTAGTTAAAATAAAGCCATGCTGCTAGCACATAACGCAAAAACAAATCAAATCAGTTCTCTCTTTATCTATTATAACACAACTACATCATGTGATAAGCCTCCTAACGCGTCGGCTCTACTGACTCATGATTTTATGCCCATATCGAACTTTCATTTCCTAGTCTACGTGGTTTTAACCGGTTCTAACTGGCTGAGAACCGGAGGAGTGTTTCATAAGTCAATCATTCCAGGATCATTTAACATGGTAAACCTTTGTGATGTGGGTGCAATAACCTGTGGAAGGAGGAGAACAGTGAAGAGATGACAATATATGCAACACATTAGGCTTCCATTAGGTCCCTACAGGTAACTGAAGCCCATGCACACATACTGTCAGTTCAAACTCAACAAGATCAAAATATACACCATCATAAGAGTGACATGAGTATATCTTTGTCCAAAGACTTGCTGTGAGTTCTGATACAACTAAAGTGGATTCCTGTGTTTTTCTACTATGTTGCAGTGTTCTCTCTTGCTGCTTGAAGCCAGCAACCTGAACTAATCCAAGCAGGAATCTGGACTGGAGGCTCAGTGTGGCCATGCTGGGTGCTAAAGTGGCCTTTCACCTCTGCAGCTTTATGGATCTAGGTGGCCGCACCAAGAGAGATTTATCCAGACTGCAGGGTGCCTCTGTGGGTTTACACCTGCCAAGCCTCTTGCGTAAATGAACTGCAGGTTGCTGCTTCTCAGGTGTCACAAAGGTGCGAGAGAAAAAAGAAAAGATACTTAAAGAATATCAGGTCAGCTCATGTAAAACTGCTGGGAAGTGTGTGTTTAATAATGGGCTGCGGATGGGTAATGCGAGCCCTGCAGCTAGGGCAGAAGTAAACAAATATGTCTTGATGGGGTATGTTCAAAATAAAACAATTTATCCTGTTTGCCCATTGAAATTTCATTTTGACGAGAAATTCTGAGATGGCACATGACATATAAAGAAAGACCAAAACTGTGTTCCTGGGCAAAGCAATCTTGCAAGGTTAGATTATCTCCACTTATCAAGATACTTTGAAAGCTGTACTATGATAAATAGCAAACAGCTGGTACCACACCACATGCTTTTACGTCTTGTATGGACCACCAACTTAAAGAGCTTGACTTTGAGTTTTATAAAGACCAAAGAAACTGTCCTGAGCATAGTGAATAGAGTAATAATTGAGGATTTGACTGCTAACAAGGTTGCCTATTCATTGCTCAGTTATGTTTGAACATGAAATCTCAGTGTTCACGTTTGCAAGTGTGGCAGGCAAATGACCGAAAGTGGTCCACAAAACAGGATATTAGGATTATACTAATCTATTTTGCAATGGTTCAAATTTCATTTTGTTGAACTTCACTACCATTTTACTATATTCTGTCAATTTTTGCATATACTGCATGTGATATTCTGTCACATAGACCACTGGCTTTCAAGTCACTATGTGGTTAGGTTATTGATTTGATTAAATATTACTATATAAAACAAATATTATCGGCCTCAAAATTGATCCTTGTGGGGCACCATCAACATTTCAGGGGCTTGATTCAAAACATCCACAAGCAAGTTATGAATTAAATTAGACATGCATCATATATAACCAAATGTTTTAATCAACTGTATCAAAAACCTTCGACAGATTCTGAAAGAGTGCAGCACTCTGTTGCTTGTTATCATTATTGATTATATATAATTTAGTTGTTGCAGCAGTTCTCATTCTTGCCATAAAGTCTGAATCCTGACAGCTGTGGCTGGAGGACTTTACTAACCTCCAGCAAAGCACAGTTCTGAGTTTACTAGTAAGTCAATGATTTTTGACAGCTTAGATATAGGCCAATAATTATTTAGGTCAACGATATCTCCGCCTTTATGCCGTGGTACCACCTGATGTTGTAATATCAGGATCATTATGACAAAGAAGGCACAGATCCAGGTTTTTTTTGTCTCTGGTAGACTATATGCCCTCATGTGCCCTGTCTCCTCTCAGGCTTTTCTCTGGTAGACTATATGCCCTCATGTGCCCTGTCTCCTCTCAGGCTTTTCTCTGGTAGACTATATGCCCTCATGTGCCCTGTGTCCTCTCAGACCTGACATATTGAACTGTCAGCTTAGATACTGAACATAGATTAGTTATCAAATATATCATGATTAGAGGAAACAATGAGGCTTTGCAAAGTTTCAGTTATATTGCCTCTATAAATAATAGATTCCAGTCTCTGCTGTCATTTTCACTGTAAATTGAAAAGGAGGGTAGAAAATCAAGGTTACGAAACCACTTTTCTAACCCAGTAGATGTAGTGAACCATATACAGAACCCGGAAATGTGTCGAATAAATGTACTGAATAACTTATGCAAGCAAGGGAAATACAGCACCAACATTGATTCAAACTGTAGTCAATAGTGTTCAAAGTGTATCATAGCCGCTCTGTAATCCACTCCCTGCCCTCCCTCTGATTCATACACACTGTCCCCTACATGCACTATGTCTGGTTGAAACTGGTCTAGAGCAACATGTCAATGTAATGCCAGTGTAGAGCACAATTAACTGTGCCTTGCTTGTTCTTTTTTCCCTTCATTTTTCAAGCAGAAGGGGATTATAAAGCCTAAATCTGTTCTGTAAGACCTTTCCTGGCAGCAGACCTCAGCTATGGGAAAAAGCATCAAAGTTCCTGAAGAGTTTTAGGTGCATTCATTGTGAAAACCAGGTTGACCTCTGGTCTGTTCTCTACATCCCTCCCCTCTTTCTTACTCTGCTCCCTGTCCTTTCATCTTCTGTGTCCACTTTTCTCTGGATTCTTCTTTCCATTCACTTTTCTCCACTCCTCTCCTCTGCTGTGGAATAGAGCAGAGGAGAGGAGTGGAGATGGCTCCACATTCTTTTCTGACCTGAGGTTATGAGAATGAGTGCAATCACATGGGGATATAACTTTATGATGCTGCTGCAGTGTGAGGAAGAACAACTATTCTCTCTGCTCTCACACAGCAGTATAAATGCATGCTCATTGAAATGTAATTCAAATTGTGTCCAGTTCTTGTATGTTTTTTCTGAGTAGACAGGGTATGTTGATTAAGTTAGAGCTGATAAAACGCCACCAGATAATGTAGATTTTATAAAAAAAATAAAAAATGTAGAAATTAAATTAGAAATTGGAGTATTAAGCTATAAATACTTTCTGTAGGGCTATTCACCTGTTTCCTTGGTTACATTTATTTTACTTTACCACTCTGTGTTAATGCCTCTTCGTTAATATTTTACTTACATTTATTATAGTGTATTTTATTCCTGTAATATTCACAGAGGAGCTGTCTTTATTAAACACTCAGCGTATCCTGCAGTCATCTACCTCCCTTCCTGCAGGATTCCCTTCAGGTTATTTTTAACTCATGGTAGCTGCGCGGAAGACTGTCTACATGTTGCTGCTTAATCGTGTATCACTCTCACATTCTTTAAGGTTTAATCAAACTCGTGTTGTTTTTTCAGTCATGTGAAGGCTGATAAGGTTTTGATTCAGGAGTTTTGTGCATGTGTTGCATTAGCCAGTGCTCACCAGGGACAGAACTACAGGCACTGCGCCCTGCTGGTGCACTGTGGTGTTGTTATTACCATCCATCAACCGGTTCAGACTGGCCTGATGGCAATATTAACAATGTTCCAGGAGAGAAGTGGCCCATACTCCCAACCCACTTTGTAAACACGTGAACCCGCGACTTTCAGCCTGACCAGGAAGATATTTTAAAGAAGTTAATAAAGCAGAGTGGGTTCATTTTAAATTATATATATATTTATTATTATTATTTTAACTTTTCATGTTGCTTTTAGAGGTGCTTTATAAAAAGAGGCTAATTTGTGTTGTACAGCCCGGACACCTATCAGGTAAATCGTTTTGTGTTTGTGCATGTGCGTGTGTGCACGCTTCTCGTTGAGTTCTTAATTATTTAAAATTTTAGATGTATCTAGAGAAAATATAATATATATACAGTATAATCCAGAGGGGAGAGACTCTCCAGGGGGAGACTGTGCTCCTCTGTCTGCTGTGCGCTCCAGGCGCGCAAGAGGAAGCAGCGCTTTTCCTCCTGTAGCTGCGTTCGAGCTGCTGCTGGACCAGCAAGAACAGCTTTGAACCGGTTTTGTCGCCGGCTACAAAGCAGACTGAAACGGACGCAAAATGCGCATAGATGATGCAGGGTGCTTTCTTTAAACACGGGCAGCATAGATCCCAGCTCAGACAGACCAGCATCCGTGTACGATGCTTTCTTGTTTATGTCATTTGAAGTGATTCTGTGAGAAGGGATTTTAATAGGGAAACCATCCTACATGGAAAGTTCCCGTGGAGCGCGCAGCTCTGCACGCGCCTGCTGCTGTTTTTGTAGATGCTGAGGTGAGTGTCGCATGTGTTTTCAATAAAATAAGCAAAATATGCTTATGTTTGTATTGAAATAATAAGATGCGATACATGACAGGTATTGTTGTTGATGAATATAGAGAAGACATTGTTTAAATTAGTCCATGGGGAAATAGCCTAGTGATTCTCTTCAGGATATTATTGTCTTAGATTTTGGTAAAGAAAAAAAGTATAATATTTACTGGCAACATGAAGGAATCCTGCTTTGTCAGCAAACAAATCTGAAGAGCTTTGCACCAACTTTCCCCCCCCCACACAGAAGCCTCACTGTAAACAAAGTAATGCTGCTGCAAGGATGTATAAAGTTGCTCTGGGCTACAAATTATTCATGAAAGAGGTCTGAAAAACTTGGTCAGCACAAGAGACAAGCCTCTTCCAAGTGTCTTATAAGACCCAGAGCTGAATCATGGAAGAGGGGGGTTAAAGGTACAAAAAAAAAGGGGGGTGGGGGGGGGGCACCTAGCAGTGTAGTTTTCTTTACTTTCTCCTCCTCCAAGGTGTGGTTATAGAGAAAGGAACAAAAAGGGCAGCTGGCTATGTCTAAGTTGCAGTCAGTCTGTGTTCAGGACCTCACACAGGTGACCTGCCTGTCCAGCCAGGCCAAGTGCTGCAGCAGCCTTCACTACATCAAGGCTCTGTGTAAGTGTATATTTTGTGAGTGACTCTTCATGTGCTCCAAACGATCATCTTTTGAATTATGTTGCTGTTAACCTTATTTCTGTCATGTTTGTTGTTATTTTCTTTCCAGGAACCTCTGCTCTGTCACAGCTGTAGCAGATCACAGAGGGCAGCAGTAATCTCAGCACCATGGCTCCATCTAATCAAGTGCTGGACGGAGGCTGGGGATGGGCGATTGTTGTCGCCTCTTTCATGGCCCAGCTCCTGGCCTATGGATCACCCCAGTCAGTGGGTGTCCTCTACCCTGAGTGGCTGCATGCCTTCCAGGAGGGCAAGGGAATGACGGCCTGGGTGGGCTCCCTTGTGGCTGGAGTGGGACTCATAGCCAGTGAGTAGCATGCAATGTAATAATCCTTGACATGGGTCCACATTAGGGTTAAAAAGCCAAATTAAATGCCAGATGAATTGGATCAGTGATATGGGTCTGGGAAAATCCTGATACTGAGTCATGTTTAGAGAGAGAGATGGAAATTGAGGAAAATGTGTGCAATCTTGCAGCACTCTTCTCATTCAGTTTATTGTTTTTAGCATCTGATTATTCATATTTTGGCATTGGATATCATTATGGGCAATATATCTGCTGACATGAGTGATTGAGGGAGAGATATTATATCTGCTTAGTTCTAAAGTAGAGCACTAAACACTCACCTTTACACCTATTTTCTTACCATCTCCTTCTCAATTATCATACCACATGATGCCACTGATAACACAGCAGAAACAATACATGTTCAAAGTCTGAAGAATGACTGCCATATAAAGCAGCAATCAAACTGTCCCCAAGGAATATGTTTGCTATAGCAACAGGTGTTGAAGAGTTCTCCTTACTGTAATGTTTCAATAGGATGGAGAAAAAAAAGACAATGCTGTCACAAAGATGGGCACTTTGTGGCTCCCTTAGCAGAGTTGCTGTTATTGATTTTCTAGGAGAGCAAAGCAAGTGCAAGTCATCCATGCCATGAATGTAGGAGGATCACTTAGCCCTTAATCTAACCACAGAGGGAGGAGAAGAAAGACCGATTGAGACACAGATTGGGAGAGAAACAGAGACTGAACAAATACCATATTTGTTGAGCAAGGTTGTGTATATAAACTTACATGAACCCAGTCATAAATTAAATGAGAAAAGCGAGGAGTCTAAAAATTTGGCAGCATGGTAGAGTGTGAATGTAAGAATTACTTGTTAAGAGAAACAAAGCAAACAAAAACTCAGTAATGTCTGAATGATATTATAAAGCTATGCTCCATGACTGTGTTGAGCAGACAAGATCAGTGATAGATAGTTGTGTTGGCTGACATTTCTGTCTAAGGCACAGCTTGCCTCTCAGCCTGGCTTCTTGCTGTCTTGTTTCTCAAAGGAGTGAAGTGAAAATCATGACTGGACAGATCTGGCCTTGGGCCTGGCCAAGTCGTGGACACGTGTCCCAGCTATCAGACAGCTGCAGCACTGCAGTTCCTGCTGCACAACAGCAGGGTCTTCCCCCTGGTTGGAGGGGAAGGAAACTGTAAATGTCACAGTCTGTGAGTCAAACAACCTCAGGATATTGGAGTATTCAGGAAGCACTGAGAAAACATGAACATTACACTCAGTACATACATAATGTACCTGTAGTGAAAAAGCTGGGACAAGCAAATAAATACAAACAGTAGATGATAGATCACGTAGTTGAATTTTCCGACTTTAAAGTGAGTTGAAAGGGAAATGAAAGGAAACTGGATATTGAGCAGTTAAACTATGAACTAATTTGATTTATGTAAAATGTTCAAGTAAAACATAAACACTGGACCTTACAAGATCTTCTTGAATGATGTGGCAACACGTCTGACAGGTTTGAACCTAATGTGATGCGTCGGTGTCATGGTCAGACCCAGCAGTGCTTTGTTAGATGGGCTTTGATTTTCTCAGAAACTCTGTTTGTTATCCAGAATACAGCAAATTAAGCAGCAGAATATCATCACTATCCTTTGTTCCCTGAATATTTTTATACCTCTGTCACTCACCTTTTCCTTCTCTGTGTCTCTTCTATTCTCTGATTCTCTCCATCTTTTCTTCTCTGCTCCTGTCTGCCTTTCTACCTCTTCCCCCTCAGGTCCTGTCTGCAGTGCCTGCGTGGACAACTTTGGGGCCCGTCCAGTGACCATCTTCAGTGGCGTAATGGTGGCGGGCGGCCTGATGCTCAGTGCCTTTGCTCCAAATGTGCAGTTCCTCATCTTTTCCTATGGGATTGTGGTTGGTAAGGAAACATTTGATGATAACACTGGGGGGAGTCCCCCTGTGTGTTTTATACAGTACTCTACAAGACACAAGCCTGCAAAGTTAATGCTGCAAACGGTTTGGAGACCTAATTAACCTGACTGTCAGACAGACTAGAAGGTGGAGGCTTAGTAATTGTCAGCCTGAGAAAAAAAATGTGTTTGATGATTTCTTAGTCATGGCAGTTAACTAAGCTTCTTATCCCTCAATCATATGACAATCTTGCAACACATTGTATAATCATTTGAAACAAGCAGGGGCACATGTCGAGTCCAACTATTATGTAACATCAAAGGCTGACAGTTTCATCAATTACCAGTTAATGAATATCATCGACACTGAAAGTATTTAGAATAACGCTGAGACAAGATAAACGTTTGAGCTTTGCACTATTTATTTGACAGCACTGTTTGAGATGTTGAAAGAAAAACCACATTGCTGCTTTACCTGATCCCCATGTGACCCTTTATTACCTCTGCACCCTCACTAGTCTGCCTGCGTAGGCCCAACACCACCTGTTATCGCGCATTAAGTGACAGCCCAGCCTTGCTTAATCCTGGTGAACCCCTTACAGTCAGCACTGTCTTTCGCACAAGCAGCGCTGGAGAGGGGAGGCCATGCATATTTGAAGACAGTCATTTATTTTTAGAGATGCCCTTCTTAGACGGTGGCTGTGACTGTACATGCACGTGCAGCTTGTTTACTTCTCATCATATGCTTCCTTAATGTTTTGCTAATTGTATTGCACAAGACACTTTGTGCACAGTGCCCTCTGAACTTACAGATTTATGTAAATTGTAAATTCATGCTTGTAATGGTTTCTTGAGGGCATACACCACACACATGCATGTTGTTCTGCAGCATTACATGACTAAAAACTATGAAGTAGTAGGATAATATACATATTTGTAGAATTTGGAAGAAACATAAGTGCCCTTCACACATTAAACATAATGCAGTTTCCTTTTATGTACTCTGCAATTGAATTCCCATTCTGGTATATTTTTAGAAGTGAAAAGCCTTTACCCCTTTCACCTGAGCTAATGGAAATTCTTCTCCTGTCTGTCCTTGTCCTCTCTCCTACCGTAGGCCTGGGTTGTGGTCTGGTCTACGCAGCCACGTTGACAATCACCTGCCAGTACTTTGACAAGAGACGCGGCCTTGCCCTTGGCATTGTCACCACAGGTACTGCTGCCCCACCAGTTCTCCATACGTCTTGCATGTATGAGCTGCTTGGAGCCTTGTGAAGCCGAGGTAAACATCTGTAGAAAAGCAAAGGCAGAGTTGTCTGTTAGGTAGGGACGTGGACTGGTGACCAGTGACCACTTCTGGTTCAGCTGAGAATCAAAATGTTGATGGTAATGACTATATATTCTGATGCTGTATTAGACAGTCTAAATTTTCAAGTGTAATTTAACATCCTAACTTCTTGCCTTGCTGCGGTGATGTAGAAAAGTACTCCATGGTGTCAGTACACTGTTACATCAGTGTGTGGATGTGGTTACAGCTGCAAAAGAACCCACCTCTGACCCACAAACAACAGTAATGCTCGGTACGGTCACAGGTGAAATAGACTTGAAACTTTCAACCAGAGAGGGCACGTGTTAACTTACTTTTTAAGGTTACTCCTGACCTCGGCTCCACCAGTGGCAGTATCAAAAAAGACAGATGTGAAGACAGAGATGAATGAGTTAAAATAGAGAGACTGCACCAGTTTTAATCAGGATTGTCTAATTTTTCTACAAATTAAAATTCATGGCATGAGAATAATTTGAAATGTGCTGCGCTCATATAAGATTCTACGCATAATGGCTTTAATTTCAATTGATTAATCTGTCACTGTTTTGGACAAGCACTGAATTTCTGTCCTCCTCTACCTCACCCAGGCACAAGTGTTGGAGCGTTCATCTATGCCACCGCTCAGAACGAGCTGATTGTGTTGTACGGCTTGGATGGTTGCCTGCTAATCATCGGTGCTGTAGCACTAAACCTCATGGCGTGCGCCGGCTTCATGAGGCCCCTTAACATGCCGGGGTACTACCTCAAACAGAAGGCCGCCCTGGAGCGCAACACAGAGGAGCAGCTTTTCGAGAAGCCCCAGTTAGATGACCTGAAGATCACAACAGGTTCCAGTGCAACCACTCCAGACAAAAATCTGATGGTGAAGGAGTTGCTCATCACCATCGATGCTAAGGACTTGGCCATTCAGACAGAGAAGAAGAAAGGCAGCTTCCTTGCCGGGTTTGCCATCATGAAAGTCATCAAAAAGAAACAGCAGGCCTACTCCAGGTATATGCACTCCATGTATGAGATCTTGCAGGACCAAGCCATGGTTGCCTTCTGTATCGCTGTCTTCCTGTTCAGCCTGGGGGCATTCCCTCCTGTGCTCTTTATAGAGGATGTGGCGCAGAGCGAGGGACTCATTGAAGAAGTTAGTGTCATTCCTCTGGTATCAATAGGCGCCATCGCCACTTGCATGGGTAAGCTAGTGCTGGGTGTTCTCGTGGACATAAGGTGGATCAACAGCATCTATTTGTACGCATTCACCATGTTTGCAGGAGGTGTGGCATTACTCCTCATCCCCATCACTAAGACTTATGTGGGACTGCAGATCCTGTCTGCTGTCCTGGGTTTCTTCTCTGGAAACTGGTCCCTTACCTCCTACATCACTACTAAGATTGTCGGCTTGGACAGACTGACCCAAGCCCATGGCATCCTCATGTTCTTTGGGGGATTTGGGATCATGCTTGGACCCCCTGTTGTAGGTAAGAGGGTTGTCTTTATCTTAATTTGTAAACATTGCTACACTAGAAATTATTGTTTAGGTAGAAGAGGTACACATATTTTTTTATTTGTGTAGCAATAAACTCTGTTGTAAGGTCATGTTTTCGGAGACATTTAAAAAATCAAAATGTTAAATTAGGCTGGCAGGCAGAGCAAGTCAAAGGGCACGTCATCCTCAATTAGGAGCCAGTATGTCATTATTTAGCTGACTGCTGTATCTGGCAGGAATCCTTGCTGACTTTGTGTTTTTCTCATCACTTTCCAGGGTGGTTCTTTGACTGGACGCAGTCATATGATTTGGCGTTCTACTTTAGTGGGAGTTGTGTTGTGCTGGGAGCATTCATTCTCTTTCTGCTCACCCTTCCCTGCTGGAACAGGAAGCACTCCGAGACCGACAGACCAGACGTCCATTACACCAGCAACTGTGACAAAGTTGCCTCTGTAGCCTGAATATAAGCTCCTTTCAAAAGGACTCAGATCTCACCCCTACTGCCCAGCAACTATCCGCTGATAAACTGTACCTGAACCACATAGCAGGAATTTTCTTTCTTTGAGTATACAGGGGTTTCCCCCTTATTTCTGCTGCCAGATTTTAATATACCAAAATACTTGCAGAGGTTTTGAAATACAGGCCTTTCCTCTGTACTTTGCCTGCATTTCTCAGGTTCAAACCATATACTGCATATCTTTTTAAAGGTTTGACTCTGATGCCTGTGTTGATTTTATTTTTTATTATTGCCTCATTTTACGAGGCAAACTGAACAATACTGTTCAACTCCCAAATTCTACACTGTGTTTATGTAAACTTCACAGTAGCGCTGAAAAAAGACATGGTGCCATTCATAATGCTGGGAAGAAAAACATCTGTAAAATTGGTGGTTAATTTCACACAGTAACAACATCTGAAACCACTCTGCAAATGCACAACAATCTCCCAGAGAATACAGGGATTGGAATGAAGGAGGGAGCCTTTTTTTGATAATCATAATTTTAGCAGCATATTTTTATGTTCTATTTTGGTTTTAATATATATCTTAATTGCACCACTATCTATCTTACCAAAGCATCAATGATAGTCAATGCCTGTCAACACATAATGCCTGTTGGAACAATACAAAAGCCTTGCTTTATAGATTTTTTTTTATGTTCAAGTGCATCACAATTTATACTTTTTTTAAATGGTTTGAGCTCCACATACCTCCTGTTTATGGATCAGACAGAGACTTTTTGAATAAGTTAGGCTGATTCAAAAACATGTAAAATCACTGAAGAGATCCTACTGTAATTCCAACCTTGAAAGCATGTTGACTCTCTTGTGGCATGGTTATCATGACCTCTGCTGGCGTTCATTTTGACCAGGCTGGTCCTTTTCCATCATGTTGTGTATGTGTATGTTTATTGTACATTGTGTGTGTATGTGTCTGCACATGCATGTTCGCATACGTGCACAGGTTTATGTGTGTACATTGTTTGATAAACTTTTGTATTAGCACTAATTTGTAAAGTTCTATGTGCTAGTGACTTTTATATGCACAAAACCGGCCATAGAGCTGTAAAAATATTTTTGTTTAAGTTGGAAGTTGATTATTGTGATAATTGTAATGAAAATGTCACAACAGACTTTTAGAATCACTTGAATGTTGTTAAATAGACCACTAAAAATGTCTTTTTGATAGCTCCAGTTTCAGGCATAGGAGTAAATCTGGGACATTAGTGTTTGCTTTTTGTGTTTGTAGAGGATATTGACAAGGTGAAGATGAGGTACAATTAGTACTAAGAGACAGTATGTTTGTTTGTCATCTTTTTAGCTACTCTTATTTTTTTATTGCAGTATTATAATATTTATGTCTGTATTTCTGATTTATTGTTTTATTTAAAAAGTGCCAATAAAAGGTATTTGGATTAAAAATGCAGAGTGTGTTTGTTTGTAACATATTTATCATGGAGTTTGAACTGCATTATGAATCCTAAATTAAAGGTAAATAACCTTGCGATCATATTTGTCAGAAGTACCCGAACAAAGCTGCCATGAAAACATGAAAAACATTTCGGCCTGACTATATTCATTTGATATTCTTCTATAATAGCCTAGTAAAAAATAAAGTAAATAGCAAATAAAGTCGGTACACATTGCGGTTAGCATCTTTTCTTTTCTTGGCAACGCCACACAGGTCGCCATGGTTACACATTCGTCACGTGACTAGCAACATAAACAATTTTTCAGGGAGCTAACGTTAGGGTGAGAGGTATGCTAACGCTGCTCCATTTTGACAACGGTATTTCCACTTATTGCAAGCCTAAAGTTGGGAGTTAGGACCATCGAAGTAATTAGTCCTCTTGCGTCGGACTTCCTGATAGTTTCAGAGAGGGGAGCATCATGTCGAGGAAGGAAAACACGTTTACGAGTGAAAAATGGAGAGCTGTCCCGGTCCGGTGAGCTGAAAAATGGGAGCATCAGTATCGCTCTGTGTAAGTTTAGCTTCGGGTAGCCGTTACTATCTTAATACATTCTTCTGTGTTTAGCTGCTAATATCGCGAGAGGCAGAGCACCTCGCTCACTGTTTTATCAAGTAGCTCCAATGGATAAATAAAGTATCTATCTATCTATCTATCTATCTATCTATCTATCTATCTATCTATCTATCTATCTATCTATCTATCTATCTATCTACACAAAAAAGAAACTGTTGGTTGAACAGTATTTGAACAGTTGGTTGAACAGTATATCTTAGTTAACGTTAGCTATATGTTGTTGTCTTTACTTGTTAAATGTACATTCAATTTCATGTTGCTTTCTCGAGAAATATGCCATTAACTGTGTCCTGACTGACTGTATATTTTGAGAAGCAGCTAACGTCTTCGCATCATAACATGAATCATTGGGGTCCTTGTCAAAGATCCTCAAGCAAGTGGGCACCTCTAGATCACATGAAGGAGGGTTTGACATGACAGGCACCCGCTATTTTTTAAAACACCTTTGGTCATCCAGGAATGTTACTAGAATAAGCTTATTTGATTTCTGTATTTGAGTCATCGGCTGCATGCCCTCTTTCGATGCAGAACGACCCGTCTTCAGTGAGAATCCTGAAGCCCAGCGCGAAGGTCAGCCCAGAGCTCATCGCTCCCACCCTGGTTTCAGAGCCTGAATTGGCCGCCAGGTGTGTGTTTGGTGTCGCCTTGGAAATACTGAGAGAGGAAGGACAGATGGTCTGTGGAATACCCCTTGTGTTAAGAGACATGGTGGAGTTCCTGGATAAGAATGGTAATGGAGGCACAGCCTTTCTGCTGTTTTTTCATTCATTTGTATCCTACACATCTACCTTCTGAATTCCTTCCCTCTTTCTTTCACTCGCTTTCCCAATGCAAAACAATAGGAATGCACCACAGAGGTCTGTTCCGTCTGTGTAGCTCAGTTGCGCGGACCAGGCAGTTGAGACAGCAGTGGGACAGTGGAGAGAGGGTGGACCTGGAGCTTGAGGGAGATGTCCCAACTGTGGCTTCGCTCCTCAAACTCTTCCTACGGGAGCTGCCCACCCCCATAGTTCCAGAACCCCGGCGCAAACAGCTGGTTCTGAGTCTCATGGGTACTAGGAAAGGTACTTGGAAATGATACTGGACTTTATAGTAGAGTATAATTGTATGCATAATTAAATGCGGTTATTGGTGTTCTTTAGATTTGAGTATGTCAATTCTGAGCTCCATCAATTTGAAAGCTATAGTACAAGCATTAAACTGCTGTGACAGGAGATTAGCATTGTAGGGAAGCTGTCAGTCTAGGCCTGTTGTTGGCAAGCATCTGCCTGACTGAAGTGTCCCTTAGCAAGTGGCTGAATCCCTTACTGATTCAGCAGTAATAATCTTGCATTCTAGCCTGCATGTGGGAGAAGACAAGGGAAGTGAGCATGTCCCAAAGAATAACACATTCATATAGACTACAGTATAAGCTACAAGGGAGTCATTGGGTAATTTTAATAGTGTTGACCCAAGCTAAGGGGAATCAGCTGAGAGGTCTACAGTGTCTTGTGCATTCCTGAGTATAAATCTCAGTCACCTGTGCTCAGTGTAGTACAGTAACAATAGACACAGCAAGGGCTTCAAATATAACTTCATCTAATGATTTTGATTTGAGTAACCAGGTAAATATTTACTCAATAAAATGCAACTAGTACTGATAATTTAATTTACTGTTAATTACTTAATTGGAACTCAAATTGTATGTTTTATGTGTGTATTATAGTTGTTTATAATGGGGCGGTTTGGTCCTTTTTTATTAGGTTGTTATTATATTTTTAGATTTCATGCCATATTTAATGTCAAAATGTGATGTGTCCAGTAATCAAACATACCAACTAATGCAATATATATTAGATTATATGCTGTATATTCCTAAATACCAAAGACTCTAGTGACTGAACTGTATGTTAATAAATATTACTTTGATGTTTTTGCTTATTTTCAGGATATACAGTTGACACAGAGATGAACCAGTCTCTAAGAGAAAATCTTCACCACCTCCCTGCTGACAACCTCATTATTTTGTCTTACCTCATCCACTTTTTGTCCAGAGTGGCCGCTCACAGCCAGTCAAATCACATGCCTGTGGAAAATCTGGCAACCATCTTTGGGCCTTGTATATTCCAGTAAGTTGCTGTTGTTAATGCCTCATTCAAATCCTCGCCAGACCAGTACTAGGACGAATGGTTCCTCCAATCAAATAAGTACAGTCTGGGTACACTCTGACATTAACCTTGAACAAACATTTAGTGACTTGTCAAAAAAAGAGTTCCCCTGTATATACATTGTAAAACTTTGGTTTCCACACTTAGTTTTGAAAAGAGATACAGCTGGAGAGATTTCTCTAAAAGTTTGGTCAAGAGTAATCTGGAGTTCAACACATGAGCGTGCAAATGGTGAAGTGAATGGTTATGGTCTCTCTTCAAGTTTGTCTTTGTCAGATCCAGATGTAGAAAAAATACTTTGTCTGTTTGTTATGAGAGCAACCTTCTAAATGTCTGGCCCAATTCATAAGCCCCAGTTGTTATGTGTCAGCTCCATTTTTCCAAAGCTGCACTACTAAGTTGGGGTGGAGTTGGGTTTGTTCCTTCAAGGAAATGGGTGTGGATTATGATTGATAACAGAACATGACACACTGAAAGACAGACAGATATAACAGAGGCCATCAGGATTTTGTCAGTTGCTTCTCATCTCCTGTTTATAGAACTCTGCTTTCACTGTAAACAAATATATTCTCTCTAGGGGGGACACACTACCATTTAGATTTGTGTTGTTTGAGTTTCTGCCATTGTGGAAAAGACTTATTTTATTGATTCAACACCCTTTCACTGTTCTCCCATCCCTTGATCTCCCAGTCTCATCTTCTGTATGTCAGTCTTGTTTTCTTCTGAAAGTTAATGGCATGTCGGTGAAATGTTGTGTTAGTCACGCTGTTCTGCATATGTGGGGAAAATGTCAGATGATTATAGCCAGAGGAAGAAGAGTTTGTCAGGGGGTGTGGAGTTGGCATCAGAGGCTTGGAAAAAGTTGGGGGTGGGTTTGGGTTGTGGTAACTTCAGAGAGTTGGAGGAAGTCCTGCAACAACAACAGCGGAAGAGAGGAAGGGTATAATTGTTTGAATGAAAATGATTATAGAATGAATGAGAGAACATGCTGCAAAAAATATTCAGTTGAACAAAGCTAGTATTTAATATTAATGATGATGATAATAATAATAATAATAATAATAATAATAATAAGCTTTATTTCTATAGCACCTTTCAAAACCAAAGTTACAAGTGCTTCACAAAAGTACAGTAGTATAGTACCATACAACAGACTGTAGGTGCAAAAATAGGAAGAAAAGAGAAATAAAACAAAAAATTTAAAAGAACATCATACATAAAAACAGGGAGAACAACAATAAATATTTTGAAAAGACCCTAAAAAATATCCAAATGCCAGTGTGTACAAGTCTGTACAGTTTTTAAAAGCTTTTTAAACTGAAGCATTGACTTGTTCCACAGTGCTAAGACAGTAAAAGCATGGTTCCCTTTTACTTTAAGCTTGGACCATGAAACTTTTAACAACATGTAATTCTTAGATCTGAGGAGTATACAAACTGTACAAAATAGGGCTAAAAACTGAGCCTTGTAGGAACCCATATGACAAGCATATGGAAGCAGTTGAAGAGCTAAACCCCAAGTTCCCACCCAGAGCAGAATCATATGATCAACTTTATTGAAGGCTGCACTCAGGTCCAGCAAAATTAAAATAGTGAGATAACCAGTGTCTGCACTCATTAGGATGTTATTTCTTACTCTGAGTAGGGCTGTTTTTGTACTGTGCTTTGGTTTAGATTGGAATATATTGTTTCCTGCCATTATCTCTAAAATATGTTTAGCAACTCCCTTTTCAACGGTTGACAAACATTGTAGCACATGCTCTTCCCATGCAGCATGTGTGACAAGTTCTTTGGCAATGCCCCCCCCCCCCCTTACATATTTGTCATCTAAGCCTATTTCTAAACCGCCACTGTATGTGTCTGTTATGTAATCCATGTGACAGGCTGCCCATTCCAATTGACCTGCCTGCCACATAAACACACATCTATTAATACTCAGATTTTTCACATTCTCTTGGCTGGGTGTATGGCTTAGGGTTACCTACCATGTATACATTGGATAAGATCTAAATAAAACCCAGAATGGGTGATGTCAACAACAACAACAAAACATACTACCACATACTAACTTGACAAATAACTGCTTCCAGGTTAACATGTAAGATTTGGGTCTGAGGTGGCACTTACTATTGTATTGTGAATGTTGTAACCAGAAACTCCACATATCTCTTTTAGAAGTTTTCAATGTAGCTTTAAAAAGCTTTAAAAGCTTTTACTGCCTGTCTGTTTATTTTTGTCACTTTTGGCTGTTAGTTTTGTTTGTTATGGGAAGATTTATTTTCCTAAGTGTGATTTTAATTCACCATACACAGTCTGACCAGTATCTTCGTTCAATGCTGTATATGCCTCCTTCCACTAGATGGAACCATTTTCCATTATGGTTGTTGCAGTACTTGACAGAGGCCGATTTTGAATACACGGTACATTGTGCATGTGAGATTGTGTTATTTTTGTCCCATCTCTTCTTTATGCAGTGTTCCTGCAGGACCCAGGATGCTAGAAGAGCAGACTGTGTGTAATGGCCTGTTGCTCCATCTTCTCCTGCATCAGAAGGTTCTCCTTCCAATCCCAGCAGAGAACACACTGGCCTCCTCCTCACCCCCTCCTCCTACTCTCTCTGCTCTTTCACACTTTGAGGTGAACCATATACATATAATTTTTTAAAATTCCCTTCAACATAAATTGTTATGTCATTAATTCAATTTCATGGTCTGTCTATATGTACATTTTGATTACATCAATATTGCAGTAAGGAATCACAGCACTTACCAACAAATAGAACAATTTTATCTGTGGGCCACAGATATGCCAATCTTTGAACTCACGTATTATATACAGGTTATCTGAAGGTTGTGATGTCTTTCAGTTGCCTTGAAAAAGAAGGTGGGAGGGATTGCGAATATATTCATACTCTTTATAAATTATTAGGCCTAATTGATGAATTAGATGTCAAACGATGTCAAATTTGTGTGTAGTATGAAAAAGATTGTAAAAGGCCAAATTTTAATTTGGGGAACACAGCAGAAACCCTGTGTATAGTAAATGCAGATAATGCAAAATTGCTTTGAAGTTTTATTGTCTCTCTATTGTGGTCTGTTTTTGTTCACTCCTGTTGTTCTTGCTAGATCCGACCCAGCAGCTGTCACTCCGAACAGAGTAGCATGGAGAGGTTGGAGGGAGAGGCCACCTCAGCCTCAGTGGCCAGTGATGTTAACCAAACAATATGGATGCAGTCTCAACTCAACAGGTACTGTCATTAGCTTAGCAGCAGTAACTGTAACTGCGTAAGATAGATAGCTCTCCCTTTATGTATTGTATCTTTTCCTGAGGGAATAATTAGGACCTGTGCTTTTTTCCTGTAGCATTTCACTGTATATTTAGCATTGTTTAGTCAGTTATCAGGTTGATGGTTGTATCAAACTGTAGTTTTGTTTTGTCAGTGTCAGACAGTCCCACTTCTTCTCTGGAAACTAGAGCTTTTCATCAGTGTTACACATTTTATGAGATGATCTTCTAGAAGGAAGGGAAAACCTAATCAAAGGACACCACTTCTGTTTTTGACATGACCCCTCTGTCTGGCTTGTGAAATATTTCAGTTATTTGGGTATTTTTTGTTGTCTCATGACCTCAGGCTTACTAGAAAGCACATGAACAATCAGTAGAACATATGTGTGATCCTTCAAACTTTAACAACTGAAGTTAAAGTTCAAAGGTTCAGACAAGCTTAATGAGATGTTACAAAAGTCAGTTATTCATTCATTCATTTAATAGCCTAAGGCTGACAAGTTGCAAAAAAAATTGTTACCTTTAAGGCAGGTAGCAACACTTTGTTGGCTAGAGATCAACACATGTCTACACAAGCTGTGACACCCAGTATCTGCAGTCGACAGGAAAAGGTTCTGTTGCTTGTACAGCTCACTGTCCTTTCATTCTAATGGCAAGTAAAAATAGCATCACTCTTTTGTTGCTGGAAGGACCAGAGAAGTAGAAACAATGACAAATTGGTCCTACAGACAGAATCAACATACTAAAAACCACATGCTTGTGGGGAAATTTTCCCACTCACAACGTAAATGCTACTGTGCCATTTTCTATTTTTAAATCGTTACTTTTATATGCTTTCTGGTTTTTTTTGCCCCCAGGCAGCATGCGACATGGCATTCACGTGCACTCACTGACTAATTTTGTGGCTGTCAGCCATATGTGTGAATAGAGGTGTTTGTCTGGTATCTTCATTTGTGTTTGTGTGTTGAAGGGAGTTCTACTTGACGCCAATGGAGACAAAAACATTTTCTTGTTGTGATTTTAAGCAGACAAGTGCTGTGGTTCTGTTTACTTTGTGATGAAAAAGATTTTTTGTTGCTGACTGAAGGTAAAATGAGATATGAAGGTCACAGAAATATTCAAAGGCAGCAGCCTGGCAGACAGATGTCAGACTGGCCAGCCCATAATTAACCTACTGTCACGTGTCAGTTTAAAGAGGAGTCATCAGTAGATGAAGTTGTACCAGTCCAACAGGTGGAATGAAATGTGTAGTGTGTGTGTGTGTGTGTGTGTGTGTGTGTGTGTGTGTGTCTTTCCCAGCTGACATGGGAGAGGGTTGGTGGCTGTCCAGGTCTCTGCATAGCAGCACACCAGCAGACACAGCCCTCTATTTATTTCCACAGCTCACATTGATGCACGACACTTGGTGAAGGGACCCACCTGCCAGATGACTGTTTTCGTCCATCAGCTTGCCCTCACCCTGTTTATTAAAACCAGACACTGAGGCAATATCTCCATGTAGCCGAGAGAAAGAAAAGGTTCATCTGTGTAAAATGTGGACACACCACTTACAGATATTAGATTCTAAGCTGTAAAATCTGTCACACCTGCTAAGGAAGAGTGCCAAGCCAGGTTTGCGTGTTCTCACCGCCTCTATGTGTTTGTTTTTTAGCACTCTTAGGGCAAACAAATATCAATAATTTTTCATCTAACAGCTTCCCACTCTCATCTGTTTAATAGGCAGAAGATGCTACATCATTCCAACTGAGGGGTCCAGATTAAATAACTACAGTACATATTGGCGTATAAAAGTGCAGTTTATTTATTTATTTATTTATTTATACTGTGACAAGAGCAGCAGCAGAGGATCGAGAACAAGTAACCACATTTCTCATGGTTCCTTTGTTACAAAATGTTTTAGGGCCTTTTTCAGTTATTTGCTTCTGTATGTCTGTAGCCTGGGATTTGTCACTGTCGGTATTGTGCTTTCTCTAAAAATGTCTGCCGTTTGCATGCTGTTCCGTCTGGCCATGTCTGAACCCCTATGCTTCCCACTAACGTCACAGTCCATATTGATTCTAGTCTAATTATACCAGCAAAGGATTTGATTTCATTTTCTGTCTCTTACCATTTACACAAGATAATATTCCAAAATTGTTGATTTAGTTCCAACAGACAGACAGAGGGTTCACTTATGAATGTTCCTTTCACATCAGTCATTTCACACATTCCTAAAATAATGAAGTCTTGATTTGTAGGTCAAGAAATATATTTAATATATTTGTTGGTAGATAACACATGAATAATCTCTATGTCGGTTTGTTTTTTTTTTAAAATTCAGTGTTGAACTTCACAGCAGTAACTCTGATTGTGCATATCAGTCAGAGTTTAAACTGATGTGTTTGAGTGTGAATGTATGTAGCTCCATGCACCGTTGTATTTATTTGCCAATTTGTGTGTGTGCTTTCTTGTCTCTTCCTCTCTGGCCTACTTCCACCTATATTACAGAGTTAGAACTGGTATTCTTGACCCCAAATATGAGTACGTGCTGCTGTATGTGACTTTATATCTGTGCCTGTGTGTAGTAGTGTGTTTGTGTGTGGGCATGGGTAATTGAAAGGGGTGGGTCAGCTCTCTGCCTCTGGGTGTCACTTGTGTTGTTGACTATCTTGTACTTATCATCTGTGCTCTCTTTTCTTTATGTCTTTGGCTTTCTCCGTCCCTCTAAAGCAGCAAGCTGTTCACTGTTACATGTAATTCGTATGTTAGACTGCTGTGAGGTTAGGCGTTTCAGGAAAGGATGTTTTCTTGTCTCATCTGCTTCAGCATCAATGACAACAACCATGGGTCTACAGTTCTCCACAAGTGAGTGAGCTCATGCCAGGCAGGCAGTTGCTTTGCAGCAGGGGTCAATAATGCATAAAACTATTCTTAGCATGCTGGTATCTACCAACAAAGAAATCTGTGGTTTGACTAATTTGTGCATCTTAGAATTTGATGATCAGAGTTTGTTTTTGCCACTTTTGACCAGCTTTTGTTGAGATGAAGGATGTTTGAGGAAGGGAAACTTGAAGCAGAAAAGTAATTAATGTTGATAATGCTGCCTGCTGTCTGCTCGGATCATTCTTTGACTCATATCCTAAGCAACAATCATTAGTTTCTGATGCTGTATGTTACAGTTCTAGAGTCATACGCCACTTTAAGCAAGTACGTGACTGCTGGGCTGTTTTTGGTTCACATCGCGGCAAATTATTTGTTGCTTGTTTTTGCTGGGAGCAGCTCATTAGAGCTTCATGAGACATGTCGTAGTGCACCTTTTGATGAAACACTGCTGATTCATGACCTGCTGAATGTTTGTTTTCTGCTGTAGAGGCAGCAAAGTATTTGTTTTACATTCTGCTGCTTTAGTTGGGGTTATTATTCTCTCCCCACTGTCTTCAAGTCTATCTATCAGTATTGTTTTGTCATAAGAAAAGTTCCTTGCGATTCTTGATGTCCAGCCTACTACCTCATTCGATTTTCACTGTAATCTCTCTCATCTCTCTTCCTTTTGGCTGTTTTCACCTTTTTGATAACACTTTCTCATTAGGCACCCTTTATGGAGGGTTTATAAATTTGAACATGTTGTATTGTGAATTTTATTAATAGTCAATAAATCTTTTACTAATGCTTTATAAAGCAGAAATGAACAATGAATAAAAAACGAATTTGAGCTTGGCAGTTTGTGAAAAATCTGTTTGCCTGGTAATTATCCTCCTCCTGTATGACATTTCTTTGTCACACTGGACATTGTTTTTACGTAGCCCTATTGTTCTTCAGGAAGACCTCTACAATGGACGGTTCAACAAAAGTCTTCTGGATAAAAGGCCACTGAGCATCTGGAACAAAATCCATTTATTAACAATTTATCAACTTATTTCAAGTGTCATGAATTATTGTAAGAGCCCTATTAATGATGTTATCAACATTTGTAACCACAGAATAGTAGTTCTTATTTATGTGTTATTACTGATCTACAGAAAAAAACCCGAAGTGAGTGATTTATTAACTATTAGAAAGTCATTAATAACTTATAAACACTAATAAAGGATTCCCTTAGAAAGTGTATTTTCCTTTCTCCTCTTCTCCTCCAGGCCTCACTCTCTGTGTCTCTGTCTCTCCATAGTCCTGACACACTGGCGTGCGAAGGTTGTGAAACCAGCTCTGACGTCAGTGCTGACATTCAGAAACTGATTTCAGACCAGGAGGTTTTGGAGGAGAAAGGTGAAAGTACGAAGGCAGGCCGTTTGCTGTCCTGCCCCACTGACCCAGGGCCAGAGCAGCATCTGCACCAGAGTGGACCGTCTCAAAAGGTCCAAGTGAAGCCACTGGAATTGTTGTATACCACACATGGGTGAGTGTCTTTCCTGTTTGTGTTCTCTTTTCTCACACACAGATGATATCTTCCCCTCAAATGTTATGTCAAAACATTTGACCCTTTAGTTCTTCCCATCTGCCTTTCTCAAAACCCAAATGTACAATAAGTTTTCATTGATACAACATTTTGTAATTGTGTAACTCCTCTAAAGGTCATTGTTATTCTTCAGCAACAGGACCTTTTCACAGATGACACCGTTCACCTCCATATCAATGGAGAAAGAGGAGACAGAAGTAAACGAGGTAGGGGATAGAAGGACACCTTCCTCAGCCATCAATGATGTCTGCTTAATGGTGTGCATTGTTGATTTTTTCTTATATTTTTTAGCTCTAATATTCTTTGATTCTTGTTTTTTTCTTTTCTGGTGATATTTTTATTTCTTTTTTCTCTACCTTTCTTGAGCCCATTAAACTGGGCCTCAGGCACTGACATCTCTAGCTGTGAATATCATTCAGAAACAACTGTTTATATGGTCTTTCACAATTATCTCCACATCTGCGCTGTTGCCCATAAAGTTGGAACAATTTTGTTTTCAGACACAATCCTCTGTTTCTTCCTATTTAAATGCATCAGTAATCACTTTTGACCAGGTGCAATGATTACATTATGTGTCCCAATTACCCAGGTGAAATGAAGTAAATCACATTGTCACAATCATTTTATGGAACGTGGTCAAAAATATTTTATTCCAGCTTTATGAGCAACAGTGTATAGAAATGTGGTTAATACAATACAGTACAGACAGCTGCTTCCTCCCACATATGCTGAAAGATACATTTGCTAGAGTGTGTAGTGTGCAATTATACTTCTGATTTTTAAAGTGGAAAATCTTTTAGCACATAAGGTGCTATGACATGGATTAAATTGTTTTTCAGGCTTCCACAGATGCAGGGCAGACATCTATTTCAGACCGCTGCATGGCGAATGAATCACAGAGAAAAACCCAAATGCAGAGGCAGCACGCAGAGAGGTGAGAGGAAAGCTGCCGCATTAAGACTACAAATATGTTGCTGCAGTTGTGTTTTTCTCCTTTGTTTCTGCTTTGTACTGCTTTCATAACAGCAAACATTTGTTCTTAGTTCTTGTCATATAGCATTTAAATAACAAGAATCAAAGAGAAGTGCTGCTGTGAAAGGGGGTGTGGTAGTAGTTTTGGAGCCGTTAGTGTATCAGATTTAATTGTATCTGATTGCTCTGGATGTTACAGTTGTTTTTGACATCCTCCACTCATGTACTTGGTTTCTCAGTTCAGCTCATCTCTCAGCCCTGCAGTCAGTTGGGAAGTAGGTTATCGGAGCAGTGTGCTGCTCACAGTCATGGTTTTGATATGATTCCAGTCCAAATAACACTGACTGCCACAGGGGCTCACGTGGAGCAGACCAACCAGCTAGCTATATTAGGTTGACCTAGCATGGTGGCCCGCTGACTTTTTGTTTGCCTCCAGAGAGCCGCAGGACAGTTCATCTCAGTTATGCCTCATTAGTGTCAGACATGAATAAGCAATAACCTTAATGGCAGAGCCAGATGACTGTCTGGCCCGAAAGCTACATAGAGCACTGGCAGTCCTGCCTGTGAGCAGATTTGATACATTATTGATCATAAATACTGACAGAGCACAATGTGTATTGGAGTCACATGGACTGTGATTTTACCAGAAGGAAAATACTATATTTTACTATCATTTAATGTGATTTTATTGTATTTGCCTGTTGACAGAATTTTATTTTTCAGTCCACTATGCTGCACAGAGTACAAGACAGAAGACAAAATCAAAGCATCTGAATGGAAGGTAAATAAACCTTTGTTAAGCCTATGGTTTCCATCTTCAAATAATTTTCACGAGCAACTACTTAAATTCTAGTCAGTGAGGATCATTCTGTGATAGTCAGGTTTGAGTGTTTGTAGACAGAGCTGGTAGCATAGCTGAGCAGATTTTCAGTAATGACACCAGGCGTACAAAGGGGTTACAATATCTGTAATGATAGATGGTTTTGTTTAGCAGTGGCTAAAAATAGACACACAAAACGCCCTCTTTAATCTTGAGGGACACGCAGCTGCCTGATGATGATGATGGCAATGACTACAATGGTAACTGCTTTCCAATCTGGGGAAATTAGTTAAATTTGAAAATATAATGGTGTTGACTTTTGTTAAAGAAATCATTCAAACAGTTATCTCGTGAAAAAGATTAAAGGAAATAAATGAATTATGTCTCTATATCTGTCACTGTAACCTACATTTTTGCGTGTGCATGTGTGACACACTGGTATGTATCATTAAGTGGCCTTTGGGAATGAGACATCAGTTTGTATGCTGTCTGTTCCTTCAGGGGATAAAAGGAGGAAGAGGAGGAGGAGAAAGATATAGTCGTTCTCCTGACAATGATTACAGAGGCAGGAACAACAGCTGTGACGCAAGTTCTCCTTCCCCTCAGTGTTTTTAGGTACACAAATTCACACTTTTTTTAGGTTGAGGGTATCTATGACAACAGGAGCGCTGATACCTCCAGTGATTGTGTGTTTGTGCGCTTGTGTGTTTATGTGCACACCTGCGTGTGTATTGCTAGGTGTGAGCTTGCCTGCCTGTGGGTGTTTTGCTTCAGTAATACCGGCCTCACTCCTTTCCGTCCCTTCCATCCGTCCTCCTCCCAGTGACGCACAAAGTGTTTCTTTTTTTATGAATGAACAACCGAGGAGGGTGAGAAAGGAGAAGCCGATCCTTTATCTGCTGTTGCTGCTGCTGCTGCTGCTGTTGATGATGATGCTGAAAGTGATGTCAGAGCGCCTAAATTAACAAAAATAAACAGCCCAAAACCAATATGCTTGATAGTCCAACCCCCTCACTGAGCTCAGGGTGTTTTTGGTCCAGCTCAATTACAAATCTTTTTTTTTTTCACTTTGCATAGCACCATCAGAATTCATTGCATATACACCCACTTACACACACCTACACTCATACTGAGCCAAACAGCTACGTGACTCTGTGCACCTCCATCACATAGACTCCTTAGCTCAGTCTGACAACGTTGCCTTGGAAACGCCTCGTCATATACAGTACCTCTCTCCTCCCTTGCACACACACCCACACCACACGCACCGACATGAGCGGTATTCCCGCCGACTCCCTTCCTCCGTGCATGATGAATAATCTATGTGGAGGCAGTTCAGCAGCTGAAGTGCCGGGAATGCCAGTCAGAAAGAAAATCATGTGGATATAGGGATTCTCTTCGGGGGGCCTGCTATATTCTCATACACTCACACACCCACAAACACGCGGTTCAGTGGATCTGGAAATCAAAGCGATACTTTTAAATGGAAAGCACGTTGTTCATCAGGGATCCCACGCTGGATGCTGATGCACATTAGAAATCAGATTCACTAACTGACAAAAGTCAGTGGGAGTCACATCTAGCTGGTTGAATGCCTGGCTGGCTGACTAGCTTCTAGCTGCACAGAGACCTGAGGAGAGCTACAGCAGAGGAAAGACAGTTTTTTTAATGACCATTTTTGAAAAGCAGCCTGCTTATAGAGCTGTATTCTGCCTTTTGACTCATACCTTTCTCAGGAGGACAAGGCATCCACTCATTACACTTCATCCTGCAACTCTCTGCCCAACCAAGCTTCAGCCCCAGAGTATTTCTTTTCATCGGAGCGAGTAAAATGGTTTTACAGGACTTTTCAAGATTCCTGATCAGCATGTGAAATGCTGAAGACTCCCTCCAAGCAAACTACGACACATCTTACTGACTTCTCCTGTCCCCGCTTGTCTGCCTGAAGCCATGTTCTGTTTTTGTTTCCAGAGCCCCTCCTTCAAGTTACAAGCCCTGGAGGCTGACTTGGGACCCTCACCAGCACAGGTAGACCCCCAAGTTGGGGACAACTTACTTGCCCAGCAACAGCCTCTTTCTACTGAACAGCAGAGCCTGTATTTGACCCACAAGCTGTTCCTCCACTTGCCACCATCACCACCTGCTCAGGATAATCACACGGTCGACTCATCACAGCCTGGTAAGACATTGGCAATGACATCCTGATACAATGAACTGATAATATTCAAGTTCCTGAATTTCCAGTGTTCCAGTGTTGCACTGTGGGGCAAAGAGAAAACTTATGTAAAAGTTGCATAGTTGATGTAAAATAGCACATTGCCAGTGATTTAATTTATCTACTTTTGTCACAAATTTATTGTGCTGTTCAAAGCACAGTAGACCAGTAGATCACATTGGAAATCAAACCCATGCAAGAGCCACACCATACATACTGTATTAGCATCTTTATTTATAGTATCTACTTCATCATCTGTTTTCATTCAGAGCATCTTCCTAGCTGCTGAAATTCCTTTGGTGCAATTAAAACAACAGTCAGTAAAGCTTTACAGCGAGCTATGAGCTTCATCATTTCCCAGAGCTGGTTGTGTCTTTTCTTGATGAGTTGAGTAACAGCGTACCAAGGTACAGTGCTCTTGAATCACTGTACAGCTGCCTGTGGTATTAATTGGTACATATAATGTATCATGTTTTTGATATCAAGACACTAATGTAGATTTTTTTCTTGCTCTCCTTTATTTTCATGTCTTTGTCCTGGGTAAGACTGCAAGAACCATATGGATTATAACTGTTAAATGTGCTGTTATTTGTAATAGACAGACCAAAAAAAATTATTCCCAGGAAAGATATGAGTAGCTTGATTAGGAAAGAGCTATTTGTCGTTCTTTCATTCTCCCTCTTGCTTTCTATCCTCCCCTCTCTATCCCTTCTCTCCCATCTCTCATGCTGTCCCATCTGTCCTAACAAAGAATCAAAATTAATTTTATTGATTTCAGTTAATATTTTGTCCTTGCTAACTCTCTTACAGTACACACGCCGTCCCCTCATTCATCGGAATCCAGTCCTGTCCTCTCCACTATCACTCTTTCTACGGAAATTAAAGGAGATGATACCCCGTCGAGCCCAACAGGCCCTAACACCAGCACGCTACTCTCTCGTTTTACAACGACTGACTGCCCGGTTCCCTCCCCGCGCTGCCCCAACCTCAGCCACAGCCTGCGGTTTAACTTAGACCCCGATACAGCCCCTTCTCCACCCTGTTCACAGCACATACGCATGTAAGACGACAATTTTCTCACTAACTTTATTCAGAAATAGTGGCTCACAGATATGATCAGGTCTACATTTTTATGTTCTTGATGCACTTTTGGACCTGGTTTGGAGTCATTATTTCATAGTAAGGCATTAATGTGCAGAATGTCAAGATATGAACTGATGTGTACTTTTCTGTCTTCAGGACTCGCTGCGGCATCCATACGGAGCCAGATGAGGGCTCTGTGTCCATCTCAATGCTCAACAGACACATCCACTCCCTAAGGAAGAGGATCAGACATTTTGAGGAGCGTTTTGAACAGGAGAAGCACTATAAGGTGTGGAAGGAAGGCAGACAGCTGGATTCTCTTGAGTCATTATTGGACTGGAAGTTATTTCCTTAGAGTGTAAAAACTGTGTAAAACTCTATTGTTGTCTTTCTCCAAAACAAATAACCAGAGCTCTCAGAGCAATGGAAGGGTTCAATTTTTCTTATTGTCTTCAGTGCATGCCTGAGTGGGTGTGTTAATGTTTTAGTTCTAAACTGATGCTGCTGATGCTAACCACAAACATTATACTAGAGTGAATTACTCCCTCTACTGGTGTATTGGAAAAATTACAGTTACTGTTACACAATCAACTGGTTAATAGGGCTGCTGCAGCACACAGGATATTGGTAAACCTGGATGCCAGCTAGACCCAGAATACGGGACCAAGTAGTGCAAAAGACAGTCCCTGTTCTGTTCATGATGAGACTTTGTTATTAATGTTTTTCAGCCGGCCCATAATGACAAGACAGCCCACCCAGAGGTTGCCAGACTAATGAAGGAGCTCATCAAGAGTCGCAAGCAGCTTAAAGGTCAGTTACAAAACCATGGAGACACAGTCAAACACATGTATTACTGATTGCAGTGGTGCAAGAAGTATTAATATCTTTTCTCAAGTAAAAGTACAAATACAACAATGTAAAAAATATTCCCATAGAAGTAAAAGACCTGCATTTAAAATCCTTCTTAATTAAAAGTACAGAGATATTGTCAGCTACATGTACTTAAAGTATCAAAAGTAAAAGTACTCATTCTGCAAAAAAATGGCCCCTGTGATTGATGTGTTATAATACTTGACATTATTAGATTGTTTATAATGATGCATCAGTGAGTAAGTACCATTTCTTTGTTGTAGCTGGTCGAGGTGGAGCTAGTTTGAACTCTTTCATTAACAGGTAGTTTAGCTGAGTGGTTCCCAACCTAGGCGTCTGGCCCTAGGGGTGTATATGAACGGATATTCTATAATCTTTGCTTTTTTGTGAAAATAAAAAAACCCTCAGGTGGTTTAAATGAAGGAGAATTCACTCTTGAATGGAAATGTATTGTATTTTATAAGCTTATCATATGTTTTTAATGTAAAATCTTAATCTGAAAAGGATCTACAGCAGTCAAATACATGTAGTTGAGTAAAAAGTGCAATATTTGCCTCTGAAATGTAGTGGAGTAGAAGTATAAAGTTGTAGTCCCTGAATGATTGCAACAATACCAACATGTACATGATTCATTGTCAAGGAAACTTATATCAACTTGATGAAAGCCACTTTTTACCTGTAAACATGGAAAATACATTTCATGTTTACAAAGAGTCCATATTTTAGATATACAGGGTCAATGTTGTCATGTCGTCATATTTTTCTGAACTGCCATCCTCCCTTCAGAGCTAAAGCTGAGACAGTCAGAAGAAGGGGGGCTGAGAGGACAGGGGCGTTTTAACCCACCAGCTGAAACACGAAGGGCCAACATAGACCAGAGAGAGGCAGCGCTTACAGGAACTGAGCTGCAGCAAATTAACAACAACAGCAACACCAAGCCAAATGTGGAGGAAACAGTCAACATTATAACCAACAGGCTGAAGGAAAGACGGCGTGAGCTGGGACTGCCTGACGATATTAAGGTTGGTATTGTAGAAATGCCTTCACAACACACAGAAATGCTGTTATAAAAGTTTAGTGGCCAGATTCCCTGGGCTTATATACGTGCAACATGAAAACACGAAAACAGAGCATCATAATCATTTATGAAATTTGTTGGCCAGACTGATGAGAATCAGAATCAGAATCAGAATACTTTATTGATCCCCAGGGGGAAAGTAAGTGATTATCTGTTAACGATTTTCCCTTTGCCTACATGTGCAGGAGATGACCCATTACCAGATGACTATGGAGAAGACTAGCATGCAGAAGTGTTTGCTGTACTTTGAGAGTCTGCACGGCCGACCGGTAAGACCAGCCTGGCTGTGTTTATTATTTCTTAGTTTATGGCTCCCTTGAGTAGTTTTTTTTTTTTTTTTTTTCTCTATGTCCTGACATAATTGGTTTCTCTTTCTTTCTATTTGTATATTACCACCAGTAACAAAGTGGTTTCTGTTTGTGTTTCTTTCTATCTGTATGTCCTCAGAGTACCAGGCAAGAGCGGACTCTGATGAAACCTTTCTATGATCGTTACCGTCTTCTTAAGCAGCTCCTACTTTTCTCTGCTGCTTCAACAGTCATTACGACCATTGTGAGTAACCATCTAATACTGAATACTGAATTTTGAAAAATAGAGGGTTGTCTTGTAGAAAATGAGGAGATCTCTACACAAACCCTCTGTATTTCACCAATGAAGATAAAACTGACAGTGGCTTCTGAGGCCAATGCAGAAGAGTGTTATTCTACTGCCATCTAGTGGCTTGATATAAGAGCTACATCAAATTATCTCGAAAAACTTGACAATAATTTGATCACAGGACAGATACCTCTGAAACTAATATTCTGGATTAGTTGGTGTTGTTCAACATTTCCAGATCTTGCTGTTCTTTGACTACACAGTACTAATTAATCAAACAAAAGGCTAGACAAGCTGTATTCAGGTCAATAAAGGCTTGACAAGTAATGCTGCTCTCTGCTCTTGTATGGGTCACTTCATCTTTTTTGTCAAGTGTTTACTGTGACAGAAAACTGATCCCTGTGTGTGTGTGTGTGGGTGTGCATAGGAAGAAGAGGAGGGCTCAGATGAAGGGTGTCCCAAACAGCAAAGCCCCAGGCCGCAGCCACTTTGGATGAAACCTCCCAGGTGTGTGTCCTCAGATGAGATGCTGCATCTGTCTTCCATGGAAATGCCTGAAACACCTCTGGTGTCCCCGCTGGAGGAGGTGAAGGATTTCCAGCCGCAGATCATCTCCATGGCAACATTACATGAAGCTTCCAGGTATGGTTTGTGCATGTATGTAGCATCAACAGGTCTACAGTAGATTTCCAGTTTATTTTACCTCTCAGAATTAACTGTTGAATCAAATGATCTCATCATTTTTGTATCAATTATAGTACTGTATCTTTTATCATTAGCTGGAAGTTCACATTTATTTTGCTTTAACTTAATTGTTATTACAGTTACAGTTAATTTGAGTTCACAGATGAATAGACAATTTAAACAATAATTGAAATTGTTTGACACTGTCTTCATACAGACAAGAATTACTGGATCACCTCCGGATGGCTCGATTAGAGAAGCGAAGGCTTCACAAAGCACTAAGAGAGTTTGAAGACCATTTCTACACACAGACTGGCAGGTAAAGGTTACACACACAAATAACATACACAGCACATCCAAACTACTTGGCTTTTTGAATTTTATTTTGTCTTTTAATAAACTTGGAACATTTGGTTTTCAACAATGCCTTGTGAAAAACAAAGAAAAAACATCCACAAAAGAAATTCCATCATAATGGTACGACAGTGTAATGCACACTCACGTAACGTTAATACAGCACAGAGAGCTCAGGAAAGGGACGAAGAGATAGAAGACATTTGCTCTGAACTGTACACATCCTTGTACTGTACATGTTAGTCCTCCAAAGTAAATACAGTAAGAGTTTGATTACAATACACACTGTACAAAGCTATCTGAGTAAGGCAACATAGGGACTATCAACGAGTTATGGAAGCTGCTGCAGGTTGTTTTGAAACTACAAAAAGAAGCTTTGCCTTTTGTTTGCATCTTCTTTCCTCCGTATATTTTTAACAGGGCTTGTCAGAAGGAGGACCGTGGACCAATGGCAGAGGAGTACTGCCAGTATAAGACCCTCAAAGCGAAGGTCCGTCTACTGGAGGCCCTGCTCAGTAAACAACAGGACTCAACCAAGACCAGTTGAGTTAACTCACAGTGGGACTTTTATCTAACCTAACAAGACTCAATCATATCTTTAAAAAATCAGGATGATGAGTCTGGTCTTTTTTCATGCCATGCTCATTATGTGGATGCACTTTACATGAGGGGAAACAGTGATGGAAGTTGGTGATGATCTGACTGAAATGCTGGGCAACTGCGGAGTTTTTTTAGTCCACAAAACACGTTCCATGTCATTCATATGACGTATCTTATTATAAACCTGATGTAGCAAGTGTATGTTATGTAGCACTAATCTGTGTCAAAGATGAAGAGCTGTAACAACTTGGTGTTAGTTACATATTAGTAATTTAAATACTGTATGCATATTATGGCACTTTGCTTTTTTCCTTGCCAAAATACAATTTTTGGACAGCTTTGTCCATAGTTAATGTGGAAACTGCATTTTTAAAAAGTGCTATCTTGGCAAAAAATGTGTAAGCTTATATGCAATCAGTGAGACAATCCTGTAGTTTTTGTGCATGTCAGTTTTTTAATCCTGAATTGTGCTATGATATGCATTAAGAATTTCATGGTTGATCTGAATCGTGACCATTCAATTTACATGTTCACCTTGGAAAATATGTGAATGTTGGTGAACTTTGGCATTGTAGTGCAAGTTATATCTGCTGTTGAACTTGTCTTTATCCCCCCATTTTGCCTATATTAAGTTAATTCCCACTAAATGCCGTTGTTGACAATGATCAGAGCTTTTGACATTGTGCACTTCTGGTCTATATAATTTTCTATATATATATACATATATATATATATATATGAATGTATCAATAAAAATAAATATTTTTTCACATTTATTCTGCTAAACACAGTTTATGGTTCTACTTTCTTTCCACTGACTACAATGAAATAAGAGCGAATGTAGCAGATATGGTTGCTATGGTAGAGGTACTGACAGCTTTCATACTCATGCTGTACAGAACTGCATCATGCTTTTTTTTTTTTTTTTTTAAAGGTTAACAAGTTAATGGGTAATTCACACTTGGTCATCAGAGACTCAGTGAGTACACATTTTAGAGGTTGTTGCATTAGTACGGTTTAGATTCCACAGCGGTTTTCTGTCTGGTTTTTAATACCTTTGGTATGAAGAAAGATGACTATTGATGCTGCAGCCCTAGGAAATTGTAGTACCAGTCTGTGCCACTAGTAGGAGGTAAAAAGAAGTCTGATTTTTATCTACTGTGGAATAAGAATAAAACATTTCTAGAAAGACAAACAGTCAAAGTAACTGGAAACAACAAAATGCTTGTCCACACAGACCGTGGACACTCGATCAACAGCATATCAATAATAACAAGGCAAAGGTCATTAATAAAATATGGGACAACAGATTAAATTAAAAAAAACAGGAAATTGAAAAGAAGCAGCCCATGTTTTGTAGTACAGTTTAAAGGGTTTGGTCAGTACGCCAGTGTTGACTTGCAGGGTGGATGGATGAATTTGTGTTGTTGGTGTCCCAGGTTTAGATTTCTCAGCTGGCGGTCCCTTATGTGGATATCTTAAGTATGTTTTAATGTATGTTTTCAACATTTAAGGTAACCCTTCTAAGATGAGGAAATAATGGTGCAGGTGTCAGAGTGTGTGTACCTTCCTTTATTTTTCTCCACTCTTCTTTGGGAATGTTGGTCTCTTGAGAGTACAGAGCGGTGTCAGAGATATGTTGGTGTGCATGTCTGGGAGCCTACTAAATCTGCTGCTTCATGCATGTGTTGGTCTGCTTCTTCAGTACATGGGTGTTCCTGTGTGTAGAGGTCAGTCACCTCTAGTCCTTCCCTTCCTCTCCTACAATCTGTTGTTTCTTAGCGTCCCACACTGATGTTGCAGGTCTTGCAGCTGGGGTCCTTCTTAGCATTTACTGTGGACATACTCATCAGCTGGTGCCCGCTGATCTCAGCCACAGTGCCCAGTGCCAGGTCTACAGGCTCTGTGTAGATCACCTCCAGGATGACGTCCTGAGCGTGATGAAAGACGAGACCTCCATCACCCTCTTCATCCTGCTTGCAGGTAAGGAAACGGTTGTTGCTGATGTCGAGTGCAGGAAGCCGCTGCTTACAGAACTCGTCACCTCTGGAGCCCTTTGGTGCGAGGACCAGAATAACATAGTGGTAGGCTGTATACATGCAGTAGAAGTCTCCAAAGTACAGGTTGGTGTCAGGGTTGAAGAATGCATCAGCCCGAACCTCAAAGCGGTGGCGGCCGTAAGGGGAGTCCTGCGGAGGCTTGCCTGTGTTGAACTCTGTGTTGCAGCTGAAGAAAATGCCCTCCAGCTTGCCACTGATGGGTGAGCCATGGCTGCCACTGTTGTCCTTCACTGATGGCAGCATTCGGTTCCCCTGCACCTCCCTGGAATTTAGATGAAAGATAACAAAATAGGCTGTGAACAAAAAGCAGCCATGTAATCAGTTTCCCTTTAGCGCCAATCAGTAACAAGCTACACATTGTTTTAATCTGTCCAATCTCTCAGTCTCAGCCAATCAAAATAATTTTGGAATAGCTGGAAAGCAGAGGCATCACTTTATCAATTTTATTTAAAATATCATGAGACAGTGTGACACATGGTCTGAATGTGTGAGATGCAGCCTGAGTCTCATAACACAATGAACAGAGATAACTCTGAATGGAATGCAGATGCAGTTTCACTATTTCTGGAGCTGTAATCATATTAGCATATTAAGTCCAGTTTGTCTCAGAAACCTCAAGAGAGAAAATTACTTAACTGAAAAACTCAATATTTCTTTATCATTATGACAAACAGCCAGAAAGCAAAAGCAGCTTTCAGAGAGCAAATTAACAGATGAACATTCAAAGCAGTGAATGCCTCTGTGGCAGCTGCATATCTTCCCCACAGAGTAAATCTGAGCTCCCAAGCTCCAATTATGAATTGCAATTATACTGCTATCACTCCAGAGATTGTCATTATATCCATAATTGATGCTTTGTTGTGGGCATTATGAAATTATTCAGCTCTGACCCCAGGTCACATGATCAGAGGCCTCATCAAGTAGTAATGTCAGTACTGTTACTCCCCACATGGTGGAGCAGTTAAACAGAAGCTTTAAGTATACTGTAGCAGCTGCTACTCAGCCAAGGGGATAGGACTGTCCAGATGACGTCATGCTGTAAAGCAACAAAAGAGTGCTAACAAGCTGTGGCTTTAGTACAGAGAGTGTGCGCTTTGTTGGGTGGTGAGCTTTTCCTCCCAGGGAGAGGACAGAGAGAGGCCATTTGGAGAAAAGACAACACCATTACAGTAGGAGGACTAGACAGGAAGTTAGAGAAAATGCACTCACATCATCACAGACAAAAAGCAGTACACACTGTAACTGTGACAGTATTTCAGCAAACAACTAAAACAGGCTACTCCAGCTAAATTCTCTCTCTCCTCTGGCTGTCACTCCTCCAACATCAAAACAGGCTTGTGCAACTTTTGCTGCCACAGGCAAGTTTTTTCCTCTTTTCTTTCCCCTACATCCCCTAACAACTGTCTGCTATTGTCTGGCACAGTTACACAAGGCTTTGGCCCTTTTCAAAGAAAAAAAATGTCAGTATTTTCTTTTGTACTCTACTGGAAGTGTGCAGAGGAAGTTACTGGAAGAATCAGTCTATGACTCTTCAGATTAATATCAGGCAGAGCTTGCTGCTACAGTAGTTTGATGTACATGTGTGGATTTATGGAACTAACCAACATGATTTGTGCAGCTGCACTCAGCTGAATTTCCATTTTTCTCTGGCTAAAAGCAGCTTTCTCTGGAGTGGAATACATTCATCTAAAACTACGTCATCACTTGCCTACCTGGCATGGTCAAAATACTCTTTATTCTGGTTCCTGTAGAAGACAGAGAAACGCAGCATCCGGCCAGCGATGACCTCTGCCTTCTCCAACAGCTGGTTTAGATGCACTGTGGAATAATCTGCAAAAAGACACAGCACAAATCATCCTGAAAATTAATATACTGTCATCAATGGTAATGCCAATTTTATTCATATAGCACATTTAATTACAAGTAAACTCAACATGTTTTACATTGAAATATAAAAATATAGGCATACACATGAGCACTAAAAAAACCCCAAAACATTAACACAACCAAATAGAAACCCCTGCTGTGGAAATAGCTGTGATGGACCTCAAATCAGCAGGCAGCTTGTTCCAGAGAGCAGGACCATAGTAACTGAAAGCACCCTGACCAGACTTGGATCTAATTCTGGGTACAGCGAAAAGACCACTGCCTGATTGGGTTATAATCAGGAGGATTGGAAATTTAGAAATGTCTGTAGTTAACAAAATGTCAGTAGTTTAATTAAATTCTTTAAGTATCAAGGGTATAAAATGTACTCAAGGACGCTGAGACTCTTCCCTCCCTAACTTCTCCATATTCATAGGTTGAAATGACTCAGCATTAACACCAAAATCATTTTCAGTCAGTCTTGTAATATAATCTACTTTCACTCACCACCATGTAAGCAGCTCTGCCAAATGGGTGTGGAGTTTATCCAAAACATATAGTAAAAAAAAAAATCAGAATGATGCAGGAATTTTCCCCCATTCCAATATTGCCACAAGCACTTGAACACACCGATTAGGAAGATTTGGGTAAAAGAGAAAAATACCATGCTCTCTACTGCAACAATAAAGTTGAATTGAACAAAAATGAAGGTTGATTATTATTATTACTGTAATGTCAAGCAGGTTCCAAAATTCTCCATGTTGAAGAAAAAAGTCATTCAGCAGTGTAGCTGCTTTTTCTCTTTTTTTTAGACCTTTAACCTATTTTCTTTATAGTAATAGAAGGTCTTGGCAGCATCTTTAAGCATTCTCCTTCATCATATTCTCTTACTATGCCTTCATCACACACACACACACACACACACACACACACACACACACACACCAGTTGGATTTTTCCAGCAGTTTTAGCAATGCAAGCTCCACGGTTCTAGGGATGGCAAAGTTAGTCGGTCAATCGGTCGGTGTACCACTAATATGCTAAATTGCAGCAAATGCTAGCATGCTAATGTTGTGATTACATGGTGTTTGTCTTAGACCGCAACAAGCCTCCCCACCCTCTCTGATAAATTCTATCCTCAAGTCTCAATGCCATCATCCCTCTCCCCTTCTCCCCTCCCCCACTCTAAGCCTCTAGCCAGCGATGTTGAACTCAGTGACCTCTGCATCAGAAGATATACAGCATTGCTCCCCTCCTTCCTCTAATCCTTCTTTTTCCTCCCTATCCCCTCCTCCATCTCTCCATCCATCTTTCCATCCACTCAGTGTAAATTAGCCTCTCTTTAATATTCACCCTCATACTGTGTTGTGCTCTATCCTTTACTCTATTGTATCCCTCTCTCTAAACACCCACCCTATTGTCCTCTGTGGTTCAATTGGTCACATCCAAAATCAAAGGCAGCGCTGATGTCACACATCCTGAAAACGTATGCACTCGTGGTACTGTAAGCTGTATAACTCACCAGCAGTGCAGAACTCGATGATCTCGCTCCACTCGGAGACTGCGTAGTCCCCGTCAGTCTGTTTTGATGCGGTCTGGACGGCCACGGTGTACTCTGTGCGTGGGCTCAGGAACCAGTGGCCCCGAACCGTCATGGGCAGGGGCACTGCCTTGGCCACGAGCTTGGTAGGAACATCCTGGGATGTGCAGGAGGAGAGGAGGGAAGGCAAAAGGAGGTGAATGATGACAGGAAGGAATGAGTCAGAAAAAGATACTCC